TCCTGAACTGAACTGGAGCTTGATGTAAAAATCAAAAACGGGGTGGAAGGCACTCTGCAGACAGGGGCTTCATCGCCAGAAGCGTGCGATCAGGCCACCTTGCCTACCTTGCCCTGTTAGTAGTTACGTGGAGGTGCTGACGTGCAAAGGGGGGGCGTGCAATTGTGCTGCTCATTTGCAAACGGGACCCATCTTTGCCATGTCGGTTTGAAAGGCTGGAACTGTAGATTTTCTCTCTGTGGCTTAGGAACATTGCAGTACATGCACCTTAATTCTGGAGCGCTTACTAATGTCAGAGGCTTAATTGCTTTCTAAATGCCCATTGCTATCCTCACATTTTCTTAACTGACGTTTCTTTTTTTGTTTTGGTTTTTTTTTTTGTTTTTCAGTTGTACAGAGCCCATATGGTTTTAGGTGATCATTTTACAGAGGATGTTTGAAATGCTTCAGTGATGATGTTTATTATACTGTGTTCTGTCCTGGGCACTGGGTGTGGGGGTCTGTCTTTAGCAATAAGTATTATACACTATGTGTATATCTGTTTAATATATGGCAAACAAATACGGAGCATGTAATGATGGTGAAAATCCACTGCACAGAGAGCAGATGATGCATTTGGCAGCCGTTCTGCACCGGCCTGAACAACTCAAAAAATTTGAGACTGCATGGAGAAAATGAACTAACGTGAAAAATCGTTCGGGACTGAATTTCCCTTTCCATACACACTGGGCCTGTGTGTGAGCGGTAGATGAGCCAGCCTTATTCTGTGGATTGAGTAGCTGGAACTGATTCAATTTCCATTTACTTCAAACAGCAGCCTTCCTTACTTTGACGCTGGCCAGAGCCACCTCCGTTCAGCTGTAGCCGTCTGCGTCAGTGTATTGTCACTACCCACTCGGAGAGAGGCAGCAGTGCACTGTTAGTAAATCTTCTATGAGAGAAGCAAAATACTTTGTGATTTGTTTTTTATGATAGCAATAATGTTGACTGCATTCTAATGCTCACAATAAAGGTCTGTTGGGATTGTGATGTGCCTGGGCTCCCATTCAGTGGACTGTTGTTTTGGTGAGCTAGTGAGTGCTTGCGTATGTTTTAGAGCATTCGGGAATCTTCAGCTGCATTTTTCGCCTGTCGTCAGGGAGTTACATGCAGTCATCGATACTCATTTATTAGTATACAGTGCAAAGCTTTAGGGAGTCTTCAGTTGCATTTTAGCCTGTAGGCAAATTATGCAGTCAGTAAATTATTTGCAGTACTGAATTACTTATTGTGTGGCAGAGTAATTAAAAGATTTTTCTGTTCCTGAACTGCTATGGTGTTTAACAATTTCAGGGTTGGAGTTTTGCAATGCACTCGAGCATGTTCACAGTGTTGACATCTCTTCTTGTGGGCCAACATCTGCTTTCGAAGGGTGTTTCTAGTTTTGTGCCGTTTGTACAACGTCATTACAAAACAACTTCATTTTGCTTTTAGTGATTTCTTATGTTTTAGCATTGCCTACAAACTGTTGTTCAGGACACTATCGTAGGAAAGAAATAAGCAAGCGGTGCTATGAAAGTTCCTGTCCTAGATGTCCTGTGGAGCAGGGAACGAATGGTAAGCGGCAGGTGGATGGAGTCAGGCAGAATCTGAGTGAGTTACCAACACAGAGACATTCTTCTGTTCTTTGCAGCAGAAATAGGTATGATCTTAAACATGCAAGAAATCTGAAAATTTTAACTCCGAAACAAATACTTTAATTGTTATTGAAGGCACAGCCTCAAAGCAGTCTCTCAAATTTAAGATACGAGGCCCAATTCAGATCTTGGAATAATATACAGAAACACTTTTTCTACTTAGCAGAATTGTTAAAGAAGATGTTTCCTGAGTCAGACCAAACATCTAGCCAGTCCAGTGTCTTATATTCAGTACAAATACAACGTCAGCATCTGTAGAAACATGCTGACTGTGGAAGATCTGTACAAATTGGTCTTTCCCTTAATGTATCTTTCACTTCTGGTAAACTGAGGTTTCCTTTACCAAAATCTTTGATGACCATCAGTTTTATCAATCACTGGCAGATCTGTCCTCTATGAGTTTAATCCATCTTTTTTCATTCATTTCTCTCCGCAACATCAGGTGACATACCGAATTCTGCAGCTTTGTTGTGTGGCCGAAGGAGCTGTGTTTGTCCTTGAACTTGCTTTCGGACTCCGTTGGCTGCACGCTGTTGCTGTCAGTTCACAGAAGGTTAAGTACTGCATTGTCGAAAAGACCAAAAATAGTTTTGTCCTGCCAACACCAGAAGGTTGGCACCCTGTTGCTGTCCTTGTGTGACTGGTGGTGCCTTTTCTCACGACATTACCTTACTTTTGGCAGACTTTGAATCGATCCCGTGTCCAAATCTCTCCAGCGAACCACTGCCGGTCGCAGAACTGGTTTGCGCTTGGGGTTTCAACACGATTGGCATCCTAGCTGTCATGGAATCATAGAATAGTAAGGGTTGGAAGGGACCTTGAAGATCATCTAGTTCCAACCACCCTGTCATGAGCAGGGACATCTTCTGCTAGACCAGGCTGCTCAGAGCTCGACCCAACCTGGCCTTGAACACTTCCGGGGAGGGGGCAGCCACAGCTTCTCTGGGCAACTTGTTCCAGTGCCTCACCACCCTCATGGTGAAGAATTTCTTCCTAATATCTAATCTAAATCTGCCCTCTTTTAGTTTACAACCATTCCCCCTTGTTCTGTAACTACACACCCTTGTGAAAAGTCCCTCTCCATCCTTCCTGTAGGCCCCTTCAGGTACTGGAAGGCTGCTATAAGGTCACCCCGCAGCCTTCTCTTCTTCAGGCTGAACAGCCCCAACTCCCTCAGTCTGTCCTCGTAGGAGAGGTACTCCAGCCCTCTGATCATCTTTGTGGCCCTCCTCTGGACTCACTCCAACACATCCATGTCCTTCTTATGTTGGGGGCTCCAGAGCTGGATGCATGAGAATAAAATAAATAGTTTTCTACCTTGCATTGTCACTGTGATACTATTACATAGAGGAAAACTCTTATTTCCAATGGATAAGTAAGAAAAAAGCCATTTTAACTTTCCTAGAAATGGTTGATTTCTACAGGGACAAAACAAATGCTCTTACGCGGGATTCTTTAGGTTCTTTTGTCACCAGAGGCACTTTTCCAGTTGGTAAGTTGTGATGCAAGCCATTGAGAAGTCCTCTGCCCACTTCTCTGATCTACCCAAGTTCAATGTAGAAGTTACTGGAACTTCTCCGTCGTTCTTCCAGTCTGAAGAATGTCATGCATGGAGAGACTGAAACTCATATTATCTGGTGGGGCTGTGCTTCTTTACTGGTCATCTTTCACTTTTGCATCGTATGAGGACTTTTTAAAACTTAATCAGACATGATAAAGTGTTTTACAAGCTGTTGTTATTGCGAAGAAGATTGAGACTTGGGAAGAAAAGTGTAAGTGTAATAAGTTGCTAACAAATCATGTGAGTCTATGATTTTATGTAGTTTTCTTAAAAGGTGAGAGAGGATTGTCCAATGTTGGTGATCTATTTAACACAGAAAAGAAGGTGGTTATTTAAAAATAAATTAACTTATTGATATGGGCGTAATTTGACAATGTTTTCGGTTCTTAGAATTTTTGCTTCAAATTTGCTGCTTCATTCAGGAGGCTCCCTTAAGTTCATTTCTTAAACTAAAGTTGACTTCTCAAGCTCAAGTTTTATTTGGATGAGAACAACTTTTGTATGGGTGTAGATATTTATGTATTCATACACAGGAATGATTTACCCTTGGGCTTTTTGATATGTAAAAATTGCAGTTGCACAAACATTTTTTGCTAAAAAAGTGTGCAAAACTGGAACACTGAATAAATGGTCTGCTTCTCCCTTGAGGTTTGATTTCAGTGTTTCATCACGCTTGACATTTTTGTTTCCCCCAACAATTATAGTCTGGATTGAGTAGGTTTTTGCCAGTGCATACAACAAAAGAAATCCTCATTTCCAGCACTAGAGCAATGATTTTGGAGACATCCTAGTTTTAAGGCCATATTGGCCGCAGGGACCTTTCCACTTACTGCTTTTCTGCCCTTCATTGGTGAACTAATTAAAGATATTTTTCCATCTCTTCTCAGGCGCTAAAAATAGAGGTCAATTCAGTTTTCCCTTCTCTGAAGGTTATGCAGTGAGGCTTTTCTTAACTTGAGTTTGACCAGCCATAGATGACAAGTGCCTTTTTTTTTTCTCTGAAGAATGTAGATTGTGCATATTGCTCTGCAGACTATTTTTTTTTTTAATCCACGGACTATTAGATCCCATTGAACTTGCATGTACCGAGATGCCCATCTTGGTTTGACGCACATCTGGAAGTGGTTTAAGTGATGCCAATTGCCAAAAGTCACTTTCTCACTTTGTTTTTAAAGAGACTTTTAAGACTTGGCTGTTCTTCCCAACTTGCAGGGTTTGGAGGTTGTTTTCTGAAGGAAATAAAAGTAGTCTTGGGAGTCAACACTATGATTTGTGCGTTTTTTTCTGTTAGTAATAGCCCTCTGATGCCACTTTAGTTTCCTGTCTGCCTTACTCTGTTATCAGCTATCACCTTTGGTAGCAGAGTAAAGGAGGAAAGTGAATAGCTAAGCTACCTTAATGGGCTTGCTCCTCTCCCAGTTTGCTGTGCAAGGAACCTGAATGACAAGTTTTGCCTAACTTTAGAAAACTGGACTAAATACCACCCAGACCCCCCAGCACGAACGCTCTGGATATGTATTTCAGTGACTTGGAAACATCATTGTGCCTGCGAGCACCAACCCTGCTGCCCCGGGAGAGCCCCTGACGCTGGGCTGTTTCTTGTTGGTCTCCTGTAACCGGCCCACTGCACTGGGGGTCAGGCACCAACCCGCGGCTCTTCAAGCATACTTGAGTCAAAATTGTATTTCATCGTCAGACTTTTCATCTTTCATGGTTCAGCCACCCGAGTGCTAGTGCTGGCTGTTCTCTCTTTAGTCTCCTCCATGTGCATGTCCCTACAAATGCTTCGCTAATCCAGAAGTTCGTTTTATTACGGTGTGTGCCTAATCGAGGCAATTAGAGGATTTTTCTCTTTTATGCCTCTGAAGGTTGCCTTTTTGGTCTGTCATCTACGCTGGACCTGTTCTTCCTCTTTTCCTGGTTTGATCTTTCTGCTCACTATTGACTTTCCTCAAGTCCAGTGTAGGTTGCTCAAAAGCCAAATCCAAATACAGTCTCACTCATTTTAAAAAGCCTAGTCAGGCTCAAACAAGCTTTTACTGCTGTTTGAGATCATATTTACCATGTATATCAAATGCTGTAGCATTGCAGTGGTTTACAGCCCAGACAGAAGGATGCTTGAATCGTTGTTAGCACAGTCTTGGTCTGTAGGAGAGTATCAGTAGAGTTGCTTCTAGACTGTCTAGTACCTGTGAATCACAACTAAGAGTGCTGCTGTCACTTTTTCTTGAAATCAGCCTAAGCCCAGCCTCCAAAATATGTGTCTGTTATTATTTAGCTAATTATTCCAGGCCCATTTGTCCAACCACCTTTGCACAAGTGAGGGTGAGTTCTCATAATTCCCAGTGCTAGTAAATGCTAACGGATAATCAGAAGAGGTGGACAAGTAAGAAGTGATACTCTGGAACCAAGGAAATAAAACATAGCAGAAATATGAAGTTGAGGATCTTGCTTGTAATTAGTACCAAAAACCTTGGCTTAGCACGCTGAATGGTTTTACCGATCTTACACCTGGAGGATGAAGCCCAGGAAGCCAGTCTGGGTGCACCGCAGTGCAGGTGAGAGCCAGAGCTCTGGCCAAGGTCATGTCAATATACTCAATTTGCATGTTGATTTAACCAAGTCCCCCCTGCCACCCTCCGTGCCTGCTACTGCTTGCTCTCCTCTCCCGTGACCGGGCTCAGTGGTGCTCCGTAGAGCGAGGAGAAGAACTGGCTGAGGAGAGCCACGAGGCCTGTTCCAGCTGAACGGGCCTCTTGCGGTTTTCTCAGAAGCATCGTATGCGTCACTCACCCAATTTCGTGGCCAGTCTACCAGCACATAAGTGAACCCATCCACGCGATGGTTGCTATAAAAAGGCAGGTGAAGGCTACGCGGGGTGTGCAGGGCTGCCTCACTGACAAATGGGGATGGACCTCTCCCATCGCAAGATGGGCTCCATCCCAGTTCGCACTCTTCTTTGCTGCTTTATTAGTGTAACAGCAGCCAATATATTTGGTAAGTACGTTTGTTCTTTTCCTTTGCTTGTGTCCGGTGGCGACTGTGCTCCTGGGATCTTCGTACTGCTCTGTGTATTATTGCAACTAAATATATAACAATGATGAATCTTGCACATTACAAACGTAGCTTGTTATTGTGTGCTGTGCAGAGTGAGTTTGGGCTCTAGGTTAAATCCTAAACTATGAGGATCTTTAAATGATGAGGGTTATCTCAGTTCAGTACGCCTAAATTTTGGGTAGTAAAAAAATGTTTTCTGGGTGAACAAGACCAGAGAAGGAGCTCTTCTGGATGAGAGCTCAGGGTGAGAAAAGGTGGTGCAGCAGAGATGTGAAGGTCCCAAGATTGTATCTTCTACTTGTGTGTGCCGTCATCTAGCTTAGGCTTGATCCTTAACTTAGACACTCTGTAGTCTGAATGGTGTATCCACTTCTTTGACCTGAGTTTGGCACTCCTGTACAACAAGCAATTTGAATCACGCATTAATCTCTAAATTCAGATGTCTTGTTAGAGCCCTCACTAGCACTGTACAAAGGGATCTCCAGACATCCCAGAGCAACCGGCTCAGTGTCACATTTGAGATTAAAACTGAGATTTGCCTACATGTGGATGTCTATAGGTGAGCTAAGATAAAATCCCTTTACAGTCTTGTGAAAATTTTCACATGAGCTTAAGGGGACACAGTAAAAACTCACAGAAACAGAAGAGATTCAGAGATTTTAGATGCACAGAAACCATCCATGGTGAAAGAAGTCTCTGAGCTGCAAATTATCAGAGGCTGAAAAGTATTCAGAATTCTTACTATGTATTTGCACTACTATGTGTGGTCACACTCAGACCGAGTACTGGATTATGTGAACCTTTGGTCTAGATCACTGTAGCTATGTTTTGTTTGCTTGCTGTATTTTTATAGAACTAGTCAATGGAATTAAGAGCATAACATTGATTGGATTTTGAGGATGGAGAAAGTGTCAGATCAACTAATCTGTTCTGTAAAAAAGAACCTACTGAATTTCATCATTCTAAAACACCATCCAAATGTGGTCTTGAATTCGTTAAGAACTGAAGAGTCTACAGTTTTCTTGCTAGGTGGCATCAGTAGTTAATCACTTACCCTTGTGAGAAATTGAAAAGTGCTCTGACATGAATTAGCCTGAGGCTAACTGCGAGATACTGATTCTTTTTAGGTCTTTTATGAGATTACAAACTACATTTCCTTTTGGTGGAATAGTGAGTGACAGCTTCAGTAAAGAATAAATGCTCAGAGACATCAATAGTGGTGTGTGTGGTTATGGCAAAGGGCTGTTTTGTGGTGATAGCCACAACTAACTCCAAGTACGCAGACTACCTCAGCTAGCAGAAAATGATAGCTATACCAGTGCAGAACAGAGCTGAAGCTAATTAAATACAGGCCTGGGAAAGGTGTTCAGGAGCATCTTGGTCATGTGCGTATCCTGCAGCTGGCAGGCCAATGAGTTTGTTCAGCATTTCCCTGTGCTGTCCTGTGCAGAAATACATACAAGGAGCAATGGGGAAACAACCAGGAAGGACCCAGGAACCTGGGGCTTTTACCACGCAGCAGTTGCGCTTACAGGGTTTTGATAAGAACAGGCTTGTGGTGAAATTACCCTTATGTGTTTACCTTCTTGCTGCTTTCAGAGTACCAGACAGATTCCCAACCGTTACGTCCATGTGAACTTCAGAGGGAAAAGGCTTTTTCAGGAGGAGAAACCTACGTTCCTCAGTGCTCAGAAGATGGCCAGTTCAGGTAATTTATCCCTGCTATTATTCTGTTGTTACGTGATGTGACCTGGAGGGGGAGGGGTGCAGGAGACTGAAGTGACTTTAAGCCGCGTTCAGATCCAGCATCTCCTGAATGAATTCCATGTTGCTGGAAATAATCCCTGGGTTAAGAGGTCAATCTATTATTAATAGGCTATTCTTGGCAACATTATTTGCACGTTAAATACCTGGTTCAGGTGGCTGTGTAATGCAACTGCTGTTTTCCTATGCATGCTCGTGTGCGCAGGGTCTGTGATCGATGTGCCAGTTGGCACAGCTGTGCCAGGATGACTTGGAGAAGTTATCCACCCTGCTGTAAGTGGCACAGTTGGGTTTACTTCTAAAGGCAGTAAAGGAGCTAAAGGACATGGAGAACAGTGGTTTAGAGAGCACCATGTTGCTTGAACACACAAGAAGTTAAAAAGTTAAAGCTGAGGGGGAGTGCAAATTGTAATGTTCTCTACTATTATCTTACTGTTGTTGCCTGGGGTGGGGGACCTAGACCACACTGGATTTGATTTTTTAAAAAGTCTCAAAATGTACGGTAATTCTCAAATACTGGGCATCAGGATTCTTTCCAACCTGCTTGCTTCCTGAATGACTTCAAGTCACTTATCTGAAATTCCTGAAGACTTCAGAGAATTACTAAAATTAAGAGCTCCCATCAGGTAGACTTAGAGTCACCAGAAACACACCCCTTTCTGATTCCATTATTTGCAGCGTTAAAGTACTTCAACCTGTTTGGCTTCTTTGTCTTGGTTTATGTCCCATACTGACTGAGGATTCTGTCACTAACAAAATCAAATATGTTACTTGTGGTCTCCTTCAGGACAGTTCAGTGCAGTAGGAACGGTCTTTCCTGTTGGTGCGTGGATGAGAATGGCATTGAGGTACCTGGCAGCAAACAGAATGGATATCCCATATCTTGTAAGTCAGAAGTTTTGGGGTTTGTTCAGATTGGATAAAGAACCATTTAAATCTGCATTTGAACTGCTAAAAACAATAGGTTAGCCCTGGACTTTGATGGACTCTAATTTGCTATAATTTGCTGGGCGTTGCTAGTGGAAGTTCTGGAGTTTTTCAGAGCTGATCACAGAAACGTGATATACCTGGATGATCTGTTTTCATGAAGGCCACAGTAATGTAAACTGTGAATGAAAGATCAATTTAATGTATTGGCTTTTGAGTTGGAGGGCTTCAGCCCCATCTGTGGTGGGTTTCTGTGTACCAGTTTTCATGACCTCAAGTCCATCAATGTCCTCATGCCACCTGGGTGGCAGAATCAGAACTTGCAGCTCTGAGAGAACTCAGATGTTGCCTTAATAAATGATTCAGTGCCCAGCAAGTACCTTCCTCTAACAGTGCCCCTCTCTGATACTACAGGCTTATCCTTTTGCCAGCTGCAAAAGCAGAGGATCTTGGTCAGTCGCTACATCAACAGCAGCAGCATCTCCTACATCCCTCAGTGCCTGGATTCAGGAGCATTTGATGTGGTGCAGTGTGACATGGAGCTGGGTCAGTGCTGGTGTGTAGATCCAGAAGGAATGGAGATTTATGGCACCAGGCAGAGAGGAAAGCCAACACGGTGTAAGTAATATCCAACAAAACAGTGGGTTTGGTAGAGTGGGAAGGTTTGGTGTGAGTGAAAGGTGGTAGATCAGGAGCTTGGACACCACAGACTATACTAATCCTGTAGAAATATAGGTGCTTAACTGAGGCGTTTAAGTCCGTGTTTTGTAGAGTCATAGAGTCATGGAATAGTTTGGGTTGGAAGTGACCTTTAAAGGTCATCTAGTCCAACCTCCCTGCAATGAGCAGGGACATCTTCAGCTAGATCAGGCTGCTCAGAGCCTGGTCCAACCTGACCTTGAGTGTTTCCAGGGAGAGAGCATCTACCACCTCTCTGGGCAAACTTGTTCCAGTGTTTCACCACCCATGTTGAAAATCGTTTCTTCCTTGTATCTAGTCTAAATCTACACTCCCTTACTTTAACGCCATTGCCCCTTGTCCTATTGCAACAGGTCCTGCTAAGAAGTTTGTTCCCATCTTTCTTCTAAGCCCCCTTTGAGAACTGAAATGCCGCAATATGGTCTTCTCACAGCCTTCTCTTCTCCAGGCTGAAATCCCCAACTCTCTCAGCCTTTCCTCATAGGAGAAGTTTTCCAGCCCTCTGTTCATTTCTGTGGCCTCCTCTGGACCCACTCCAACAGGTCCATGTCTTTCCTGTGCTGAGGGCTCCAGAGCTGGACGCAGGAGTCCAGGTGGGATCTCACGAGAGTAGAGGGGCAGAATCACCATCATAGAATATCTCAAATAATTGAAAGGGACGTGTGAGGATCATCGAATCCAACTCCCTGCTCCTCATAAAGACAATACGAGGCACCTAGGTGTCCAAGTTCCATCTAATGAATCTAAACTCCTTCCAAACCATGGGGCAGATATGCAGCTGTTTGTGGGAAGTTAAAACACCAATAAATACTACCTTTGTTGCCCATCAGGTCCAGGGAACTGTGAGATACGAGACCGTCGCATTCTGCACGGGTTTGGGGAGAAGAGCCCACCACAGTGCTCAGCAGATGGAGAGTTTCTGCCTGTCCAGTGCAAATTTGTCAACACTACAGACATGATGTTTTTTGATCTCGTTCATAGTTATAACAGGTAAAAGCACAGACTTGTGAAATAGGAAAGCAAACCTGCATACCTCTTCAAGTCACTGTCTTCGTGCTTTTTTTTATCCTTTCCACATGAAGCCCTTCTGTGACTGCACATGATGTTATTTTCTATTATTGAATGGACCAAGTAAAAGATCTTTTTCTTGTGAACTAAATTTTCTCATTTAGAAAAAAATGCTCTTCCATCCATGCAGTCTAATCAGTGTGTCCTCACACAGCAGCGGGTACCACATTGCGATCTGTTTTTGGGAAAGTAGCCAGGGCTATTTTTCAGACAGACACATGACAGCAGATGAGATAAATACACAAGGAACAAAGGAATTCAGATGTGTATATGAGGTAGGAAAGATGATTCCATATGGGAGATGAAAACAGATGGACAAGTGGCAAAGAGCAAGTTCCATGTGATGATGGGAAACTCTCATCCATTTAAGCAGTGCCAGGGTTGCTCACAGAGGTGAACCAAGAAGTGACGAACAGGCGTGCTGACATACGACTGGCTTTGGGTGGTTGGAGAGGGCTGGGGAAAACTTCAAAATTCTGGAGCAAGTCCTTGTTCATGGGAGCAAGAAGTCGTTGTCCTGTGGAGGAGCTGGGAATTAATGCTCAGGTGGAGAAAGAAGGGATGGGCAAGGGCAACCGCAGGGAGAGGGGTTTGTTTTGGTGCAGATGTTCAGACTCTCCAGAGCAACCTTTTGGTCTCCTGTGAAGTGCCATTATCTTGGCATCTCAGTCAACACATTTCTCCAGTGGAGGGCAGTGGAGTAAATGTGATGTCTCATTCTGACGTGGCTCTGTAGTAGCAAAGGCATTTTATTGTAAATGTCAGTTTTGCTGTTTTGAGGGTTTGCTTTTTTAATATAAGCAAAACTGAAATGCAGGCCCAAATGCACAGTGCAAATTTGTCAGAGCTTTGGGAGAGGTTGTTTTGGCAACAGCAAAATAATCTGGCTGTTTCATTTGTTGGCCTGTGGAGTGTGGAAATTCTAAAAGAGCAATTACAGAGGAGAAATCAATGCTTTAAATTAACTTTTTTTCTTCCATTGGGAGATTTGTCTGCAAAGACCTGCGAGATTGGGCTTTTCTTGTGGCTGTGTCATGTAATTAATCACAGCAAGATCATTTCACTCCCAGCTGTCTACCTTTCCAGTTATGGCACTGACTTAACCCATTACCATCATGTCTGAGTATCTCAGGTCATTAATATATTTATTTTCACATTATTCCTGCCTGAAATGTCATTATCTCATCCCATAAAGAGGAGGCCAGAACACAGAGTTGAAGGCATGAGTTACACAGCAGCGGACAATAGCAGAACAGGGATTTAGACCCATATTTTATGTTCATAAGGAACCAGTGCAACTTTCTTTGGTTCCACAGACTGATTTTTGAAATCTAGACATGTCACACTAACTCCCTTCCCAAATTGTTTGCTTACACTTTCATAAAGATTCGAGGATAAATCAGTATGTTAAAAAGAAATATGGCAAAATTCAGAAGCTTAGAGCTAAGGCTTTCCCAAGAGGAAGACTTTTGGAAAAAAAGATGAGCCCAAGTTTCCTGCCTCACCCTGGTGACTTGGCTCCGGTTGCTTATTTTATACAGACTGTGCCTGGGTCCTACTTGGATGGACAGCCACACAGAAAGCCATGCAGCAGATTGGCAAAGATCAAAAAAAATCAGAAGTCAAGGCGGATCTTTTAACTTTCTTGCTGTAGTTTTCATGAGGCTGAAGACCTTGTGTCAGTGTCTTTATCCCAGCTCGCTGGAGGTTTTGCCCTATAGTGTTATTTCGTTGGCAGTGGAAAAAATGTGATTTGGTTTTCTCCCTCTGTTTCTGAACAGTCAATGAGAAACGCAGCTACAACTTGATCTGCACTTGTGAAACACAGAAGAGGTTACTTGCAAACCTGCTTCTGAAGATCGGTGATGAGTTGTCTTTGCTGCAAGCCAAAGGCAGAGACTCATAGTTTGAAGAAAAGGTCAATAACCTCACATTTATTTACTTTCCCATATTTTTGAGTGTGAGCATTCTTGCTGAAACACACGGATACACTATAAATTCATGCGTGACTTAAATGTAGTTGTCTTTACTTTAGCTGTTGTTTTGGACTGGGTCTGATAGAGGAGGTACTCTGTTGTCGCTACTCATCTCGAGGGCTGTGATTAAAAAGAGGTGGAGAAAAGAAAAGCAGTGGTAGGAAGTGAGTGTTCCAGGTAAGGTGAGAAAAGTTCTGTCCTCTTGTTTTTGTGGGCCTAATTTATATCCGTTTGTGCTTTATTTAGCTGTATTCTCAGCTTGGAACAAAAATAACCAGAATGACAGGATATGACTACACGTCTGCCCCATATAAAAGTAGTATAATTATGCATGTGACGTCTTAACATTGAGGATGAAAGAAAGCAGCATGCAGATTTTTTCATTGCATCCTGTTTCACTTAGCTAGGTATTGAGGTACTGAGGTGATGAGCACCAAGGACATGAGCAGTACAGAATTCTGCCATTGAATATAACAGCATTGCTCTTCTAAGAAGAGAAAAGATCATATTCCTGACTGGGCAAGGGCCAGTGCATGATAATTTGGGGGAGAAGAAAGCTTTTGAAATGCCCCAAGCCATGTATATCCGTGCGTGCATAGAAGACCATAGAAAGATGGTATTTAGCTGTTTATATCTGAAATTATATTGGTTTAATGCTAACAGAAGTCCCTTTGTGCCCTGAAGTATGACACTTTGATTGCTTTTAGCATGTTAGCATCAGCAGCAGAGTGGGATTTGACGATCCAAAGTGGAGAGAGTCAGTAGGCTTTTAATTTGAAGACGTGGGAGAGTGCCACACGGATGTGCAAGCTCTGAGACACGAGCACCGCTGGATAATGCTGGGGCAGCCCTGAGGTTACCAGCCCCTTCCTCTGCTGGGGGTTCCTGCTGCTTTGTGCATTCCTCAGCTTGCGCGCTGGCGTACTGAGGAAGCAGTAACCTCTGCAGCTCTCCTGGAAAGAGGTGGCAGAGCTCTCAGGCAGACTCCTGAAGGTAGCAAAGGCCTCTTACTCCACTCCTCTTACCTGACTGCTGGGGATGTCACTGGCTCCGAGCCGGACAAGCGTTTCACTGAGTTTCTCAGGGGCACTGCAGATCACACACTAGAGCAGCCCTGAGGCTGCAGGATGGTGGCACTGGACTTGAGACTGGTCATAGTCTTGACAGGCTGAGAGAGTTGGGGCTGTTCAGCCTGGAGAAGAGAAGGCTCCGGTGCGACCTTATAGCAGCCTGTCAGTACCTGAAGGGGGTCTACAGGAAGGATGGAGAGGGACTTTTCACAAGGGTGTGTAGTGATAGGACAAGGGGGAATGGCTGCAAACTAAAAGAGGGCAGATTTAGATTAGATATTAGGAAGAAATTCTTCACCATGAGGGTGTTGAAACACTGGCACAGGTTGCCCAGAGAAGCTGTGGCTGCCCCCTCCCTGGCAGTGTTCAAGGCCAGGTTGGATGGAGCTCTGAGCAGCCTGGTCTAGTGGAAGATGTCCCTGCTCATGGCAGGGTGGTTGGAACCAGATGATCTTTAAGGTCCCTTCCAACCTTTGCCATTCTATGATCCTATGATAGTCCCAATTTCACAGAGTTACTGCAAAGTGCTTTGGCATGTTAACCTTTTTCCCAGTTGATCAGAGCCTAATCTACCATTACTCTCACTGATAAGTGTCATTCCTCAGTAAAAGTCTACTTTGTGTAATTCTCTGAATGTCTTGAGCAGAAAATTCCTCTCCCTTGTTGTTAGATTTTTCCCAAATAAGCCACATGCAGCTGGGACACCAGACCTTTATTGTATTTCGGGGTAAGTGTATGTGTCTGTAAAATAATACGAGTGTTTTGGAATTTGGCAAAATTCTTCAGTTGGTCATATTGCCTTAATCTAGAAAAACTGATCTTCTGTTTGCTTGGAGAAACCCTAGAGTGTCTGTCAGTTAAGATCACATTTATTATGTTTTTTTCCAACTCTGAGCCTATTAAGTTTCCTTCCGAAATCATTGCTTTGCTGGAATCTGGCTGTTATCACTCCTGGAGTATCGTACTGGAAACTTACGTCTCTTTGATCTCCAGAAGTAAGAGTCAGTCTTGTAGTATGTTAAAAACCCTTTCTCCTTAATCTGTTGAGCCATGCTTTCAAAATGAAAAAGATTAGTGAGGTTTTTATCAGCTTTTGTGCTTAATTCAGTGCAGAAAGCATACGTAACATGTAGGGAAGAGGAAACAACCTGTATGTTTAGGCACTCTGCCATTCTGTGCAGATTTGTGTAAGGAGCTAATGAACGGATGTTGTAATAACAATAAGCCAACCTCCATCTATTTTACACTCTGACAGGCTCTCAAAGATGAGAATAGAATGGGAAATGAGCATTAGATGCTGGGTACCTGCTTGGGAAGAGTCAGAAATCTGCCTGAAGGGAGTTCTTATTGTCCTGTGTTTGCTTAAAAAATTGTACTTAAAAAAATGGCATTTAGGAGACTTGTTAGCCTGCTAAAACACTGGTTTGGATCCTGTCAGAGCCCGGTTGCCACAAGGAGACCGAAGGCCTTTGTAATGGCTTTGTGCTGTGCAGACCTCCTCGCCGTCCAGATTCAGGAGGGAAACACAGATGATGCTTTGTTGCTGTCAGCATGCCTCCCTGGCTCTTCACAGGAGGCTGCTTTTCCTTCCAGGCTCCCAGAGGCTTTCCAAACGTTCAGCTCCCTGCGGGAGTCGTTCCCGGAGGTCTCTGGGTACTGTTACTGTGCGGACAGCCTGGGGAGAGAGTTAGCAGACACTGGTAAGTACCCTCCAGCATCTGATCCTTTAACTTGACGGGCTTTAAATTCCCAAGGCAAAGGACCAAATAACAACTATCAGTCATCAGCTTCATCTGGGACTTCAGTTTCATTCTTAAAAGGGGTAAAACCACTGTGACCAGTGTAGTGCCCATAGGAAAGACTGGAGCTCGCTGGTGAAATCCCACCCTTAGTAGAAGCAATTCAGTCAGCAGCAAGTGGAGTTGCTGCCTGGGAACAGATCCTGTCCATTTTGGCATGGTGGAATAGGGCTTCTGAATGTACAGTCTCTGCCCACACTAGAAAGCTGTGTCATATTCGATAAGTCCAATTAGCAAATGCAGGGGAATAGAAAGGGCCTGGAGATGGATCTATTTTCTTCTTGCTTAGGTAGAATCATGGAATGGTTTGGGTTGGAAGGGACCTTTAAAGATCATCTGGTCCAATGCTTCTGCTATGGATGGGGACATCGGATGGTCCTTCCTTTTCTATCATAGCCTCAGGATGCCTTTTAGGCATGTTAATAGTTGATGGGACACTTTGGAAGAAAGAATGTTTTTTTCCAAGAAGGAGGAATAAGGAGGTTGAGGACTTCGAGCTCCTCTTCATTAAATATGGTGGTTTTAAAAAAAAAACAAACCACTCAGAAAAATGCAAAGCATGATAGCTTAAAATTTAGATGGTAAATGAGAATTTCAGCATTTAATTCCCATGTGGCTGAGAAGTTCTCCAAAATTTTGTGCACTCAGAGACGCTACTGTACATCTTTTCATTCACTCAAGGTATACAACCAAGATGATTAGGAATGGGTTTTTGGAAACGTCAGTTCCCCAAAGCATCAGTTGTTCTCCTGCAAACAAAAGCACAGGACAGTGCCAGGAACTGGATGATCCTCCTGCTCATGTTGGTAGATGTAAAGGTGTAAAGCTAATGACTGGGCACTCAGCAGTGGGTTGTACGGTGCGGTACCTTAGGGCTATGCGGTGTAAGTTCACATTTGGCCTGTTTAGAGGGCTGGTTTTCTTTTTCCTGATAGGCTTCCGATTCTGCTACTCTGGTATAAAGCAAGTGACTTCAATCTTAAAAACAGGCTCTGTGCTAAAATTCTCTCTTTCCCAGGTTTGGAACTGCTGCTTGATGAAGTTTATGATACGGTTTTCTCTGCCGTGGAGCCTCCCCGTGTGTTCTCAGAGACCAGCATGTATCGGATCCTGCAGAGGCGGTTTCTGGGGGTGCAGCTAGCTACCTCTGGCAAGTTCAGATGTGAGTAGCACCCAGGTGATACCCTGTAAATGAAGTGACAATTTTGGAGCTCATATGTGACAGCTGCCTTTGGGGAGAGTTGTTCTAGGTGTCTCTTGCACTAAAAGCATATAACATCACAGTTTCAGTGCAAGAATCAAGGTCCCTGAATTTAACTGGCTTTTAGCCTCTGGATTGTACTTCTTACCAGCAGGTTGTACCTGTCCTCCGATAAAGACTTTCCCACGCACTTGAAGTTCACGTTAGTTGAAATCTCATGAATGCTCTGATCTCTTGCTCTGAGATTATCCAGATGGATCTGATGATTTATTAGATTAAAAGCCTGAGAAAGTGCTCCCTGATTTATGATGGTACGCTTGGCAATTGGAAGGATCTTACATTGGGCACAAGCACACTCGATCCCCAGGAGGCTACACAAGAGTTTCTAGTGCCTTAGCCAGCAAGGCTGAGCTTCTGGAGCTGCCCTTGGGTCCATTCCCTCCCCGGCTGCAGCAGGCAAATGGGAAGAGAGTTTCTCTGCCTGCGGGCAGTGAACTCTGCGGAACAGGAGGTCAGGTACCTCCTTCTCTCTCCCACACCAAAGCCCAAGAGAATTGCCTTGGCTGGGGGAAGTTTGAACCCCTGGGTGTGATCTTTCATCCTCCTGTCCAAATTCCTCTGACATTGCTGTCTGACTCTCGCTAAGGAGTTGCATCACCAGAGATATTAAGCAGACACTGACGTAAGTCTTCCGGCCACATAGTCACAAGGTTTTTCAGTTTCTGGGACATGCTGATAATTCTGGGGAGTCTGGAAAGCATCTTCCCCCTCCTGCTGCACAGTGCTGTGCAGAAGCTCTGACTGTAGCTAGGGATGCAGCGGCTGCCAGCAAAGATGAAGCTGTAACAGCCACAAGATGGAGATGTGACCACGTTCCTCAGCCGCTGAGGAGGATCGCTTTGGTGACTTACCCAGCTCCCGCACCCCAGCCAGAAGCCATGCACGTTAGGAAAGTTGTCGGACTGCCCTGGTGGACAGGTTGTTCTGATGGGATGCTCGTCCTGAGCGTGGCTGCAAAGCTCTTGAAGGTGTCAAACGCTTAGGCTGTAGGATTGCGGGTTTGTATAAACAAGCAACATTTCTGTTGGGAGGGTAGAGTCTAGTATTGGAGAGATCATAACTCAGAAAATTCATTTTATGGAGTTTTTCTTTGCCGTTCAGGCTGGTTTGACAAGGATAGAGTCTTCAGATCCCTGTGGAGGGAAATGAAAGAAATTGGGTGCTCCCAGACCAAATCTCCACAGGCAGGTGCGGATCCTTTTGCTGCAGCAATGCCTCATTCTCTTCAGAAACATCGCTGTTTGCCTGCAGCTCAGTCTCCCAAGCTGCACAGCTGTCTCTGTTGACCAGCTGTGCATTTGCATTAAGGGCCAGAGCTCCCCTGGCCTCCAGCACGGCTTCCCGAGAGAGATGCCGCTGCTCTGCCTACCCACAACTACGGCTGAAAAATACGTTAAGGTTTTATTTTCTGGGGCTTTTTTTTCAGAAATAAATACCTACAGCAGAAAATGCTGGGGCCAGTTCTTCAGGGGAAAAGAGGATGGAGAATTTACATTCTGGGCTGTTACTTGAAGTTTCACTGAAAACAGTCAGGAAATTAAATTTTTTTTTCTTTTTTTTTTTTTTTCTCCCAAGTAGGCAAACAATGGGATCAAACAGAGATGGCTCTGAAACTTTAAGCTTTCGCTCCTTAGCGCATACTGTTTTTCTTCCAGGCCCCTCAAAATGTGAGGTTGAGCGGTATGCAGCCCTGCGTTACCAGCACGGCTACGTGCCGGCTTGCGACACTGATGGGAGCTACACGCCGGTGCAGTGTCAGCAGGGAGGACAGTGCTGGTGCGTGGACACCAAAGGGCGAGAGGTCCAGGGCACAAAGCGACGAGGACAGCCCCCTGCCTGCGGTATGTGTGAGGTTTGGAAAAGGAAAAATGAGCACATCTCTCGGTGTCTTTAGAAAGAAACCCGAAGGACCAGTTCACTTCTCGGTGCTGACAGATTCTCGTGCTGACAAAATGAGGTCCAAAACCCTCTCTGGGGTTAAGAGCCACATTCTAATAAACTGTTAAGTATCATATTCCTTTTATTTTCCTTCATGATCTTTCTTTAACCTTTTAGTTTTGCATATAGGAAGGCTTTTCTTTGCAGCCTTGGTATCTGTCTCTTGACTCCAGGAGCTGGGGTTTAAGTCAGAATATCTTGGGACAATACAGGGAAGCCAGTATTAATAGTTTTTTATTTTACCTTCTTCCTTTGGTGAAATGCTGTGGAATTTCTAAGGCATGTCTCATCCTGAGCATTTTTTCCCCATCTCTCTCATTGCATCTTTGACCATGAAAATTGTCAAATTCCATTAAAAAAGCCCTAAACAATTCGGAAAAGGTGTATGGGTTTGGGCGTTGAGACATTTCATGAAGAATACACCATCAAATCAGTGCTCCAAATGGAAATGACGGCAGAAATGTCAAAGGGCCAGAGGGGAAGAGGAAAGTTAAAAACCTTCACTCCAAAGTGCACTACCTAAATATTCAGGATTGCGCTGGAGGGCTGGGGGAGCACAAGGTCTTAAAGCAGGAGCCGCTTTGGGGGAAGGCAATTGCTCTGCCTGCGAGACGCAGCCTTACCAGCCAGGTAGGGGAAGGACCTACCCTTGGTGTCACGGCTCCAAGTCGCTCAGAGTGCTCTGGGCACAGACAGGCTTACTGTGAAATGAAATTTTAATGTGCCTCCGAGGCTGATCACCAAGGATTTTGCAAGGGAACCTCCGAGAGGCCTTGCCATATGTTGGGACTGGTTGTTCTCTCTTTCAGTGTGGTGAGGAGGCGGGTTGAATGACTTGGGTCTACTTGCAGCTTTTATTGGCAGGCTCAGGAAATTTAGAGAGGGAAAGATTTCTGCAGAGGTTTTGCAGACTAACTCCTGAGGAGGTATTTCATGAGGATATAGCTGCAGTCTGTGTTTAGACAGCTACACGCCATGTGCGTGTCTCCAGTTTTGCTCCGTTTTATTTCTCTTTAATACCTTTGACTCTCACACTCAGCAGTGCGAATGCTGGAGGAGGCAGAGACGTAGGTGTGGGTCGCGCATCGGGTACTCACGTGACCTGGGGCACCAGGCAGTCCTGATAGAGACATGCTGCTTTTCAGACCTTTACAGTAAATTCACCCCAGCACTGATCTTCTGTTGATTCCTTCTCACTCTGCTTTGATTTGATTCAACAGTGGGTAGGAGGGGAGAAAGTTTAAAGATCGTGATCCTACATTTGTTTCATATTAGCATACTTGTGGGATTGTGGCTTACATTAAGTTATTGGTCCCCAGAGAAATGTTCTTCATCCCTCTTACCAAGACTGAACACTGAAAACAGAAGGGGCCCATCCTACAGAAAATGCCTTTACAAAGGAACCACTGTGAGGGACCCTGAGCCTCTGCCAGGAACTGAGGAGCAGGACAAGGGTGCAAAAGGAAGAGTGAGAAAGCTGCTGGTCACAGAGCCTCAGATTACTTGCTAATCTATTTTAGCAGTGTTTAAGATTTCCAGCTTTTATCCTTACTGTTAATGAGATTTATGACTGCTTTATCATGTTGCCTGAATGTGGAATAAATGAGGGTGGAACGGGGAGCCCAAGGGAAGCCGTGCTGGAGCAGACCAAAGCTGTTCATCCACCATCCTGTCCCCTACAAAGACAGCAGTGGTGCCTAGGGAGAAAGTGTGAGAAACATGGGAAATACACATAGATTCCATATATCCTTCCTGTTGCCTGCTGGGAGTCCCTAGACTGGATGCTGAACCCAGGTCGTTGTGTTCAGCACTCCCCTGTGGAGTCAGCTTCCAGGGATTTGCCTAATTGTCCTTTAAACTTTTTTCTTTCCTAGCATCTTCTGGCAATAAATTTCATAATGATCGTAATTATGTACTCTCCTTCTGGAGCATTCTAATTTCTGTATTGTGATAAATACTGAGTAATAATTGTCTATTGTGAGTGATGTGGAGAATCCTGGTTTTTAAAAACCTTTATCACATTTTTTTTTTCCAAGCTGAATATTCTTTCCTACTGGAAAAACTGTACTCAAAATGTTTTTGCATCCGTTCTCTATAATTCTGCTACTTTTCAAGGAAAGGTAGCCATGTGCCACATGATTCCAGCACGCATTTCAGAGATCCAGTCAGCGCCATAACCATCCTGTCTGTTTGGTTCTCAGTGTTTTCATATCTACCAAATGTTTTGGTTTTTTGATGTCTTTTGAGCCTCAAGCTGACATTTTCAGAGGTTCTTCTTCAGCGCTGTGTTGCATCCTAACCTGGAGCCATTGCTGTCTGTGTATGAACATACAGATGGGGCTGGATACAGATGCACCTGTGATGTAGCTTGGCCCAGGATATGGGTGCCCAGGGCCGCTGTTGGTACCCTCAAGTACCCCGACATTTACTATTTTTGTTGAAATTTTTTATTTTTTTCCTTTTAGAGCTCATTTGTGAATTCTCTATTACTACTAATTTTAACAACTTGTTTTCAAACCTCTTGTAATGAGTGCTTCACTGTTAAACTGAAGATCTAGGTAGGAAGCCTCCATAAATTCCTCATTAGTGGGCATTGTTTAAAATAACTTTCTGTTTTTCTGCAGTCTATTTCTCTTTCTTAGGTTCACGTATTGTGTCTGGATCATTGGGGGTTTTCATTAGAAGCAGGCATCCTACCAGAGAGTTTAAGTATTTGGAAAAGACTTTATTCGTTCTTTCAGCCATAGGAACAGAAATGAGGATTTACGCTGGAAAACAATAAAGCCAGAGAAAGACAACAGAGATAACTCAGACATGGTGAAGAAATGTTTTCTTTCACTTTGTGTCTTGACTGAAGAATTTTATTTGTGGACCATATTCAACAACAGTTCAAATTTCCTTATCAATGTACGTGGTGCGTAGTTGAGGAACTAGAGACAGGTTAAACTACGCTTTTGTGTGATTTCTGCTGAGACTGCTTAAAAGGTAACCATAGAGTTACAGGTTTTGGAGGTTCTAAAATTTGCTTTTTTTTTTTTTTTTTTTTAAATCTTTGTCTAGGTGCGGAACAAGTGTGTATCTCTGAGAGGCGACGGGCCTTGTCCAGGATCTTTTATGGCCCTGCTGGGTACTTCAGTCAGCCCAATTTGTTTTCCATGCCAGATATGCAGTCAGAAAAAATATCTGGCTTCTCAAGACCCTGCCCTCCCTCCTTGAAGGAACTGTTTCTGGATTCTGGATTGTCATCCCTAATTGCACAAAGACTGTATGTCAGCCAGATTCCTGGGCTAGAAACCACCCTTAGCGAAGCCATCACAGGGATGTTCCCGTCAAGGGAACTGGCTCAAGTGGCACTGCAATTTACTGCCAATCCAAAGGGTTTCCAAGAAAACCTCTTTGGAGGGAAGTTCTTGAAGAATTTGATCCAGTTTAACTTCACAGGAGCACTTGGCACTAGTGGGAAATATAGCATTGGTCAATTTTTCCCACAGGACGATGTGGCAGAGAGGGATAATGGCCAAGGACTTCTGGAATCAGTTGAGGCATTTTCATTGGAGGTATCAAAGGGGAGCTCCATTTTGAGTAAACCTCTTGTAGACAACTTTGGCCGCACAGTAACTCTACAGGACAATCAGAATATGATGAAATTCCTTTCCTCTGTCCTGGAACTACCAGAGTTCTTTACTTTTCTTCAGCAAGTGATTTCTGTCCCCAGAAGCGTTGCTGAAGATTTAGGCCAAGTGGTGAAACTAGCACTGGGATCTCAAGACTGTGGTGAGGAGCCAAGGGACCTGTTTGTTCCAACGTGCACCAAGGAGGGGAGGTATGAGGAAGTTCAGTGTTATGCAGGAGAGTGCTGGTGTTTGGACACTTCAGGTAAAGAAGTTCCAGGCTCAAGAGTTCAAGGCAAACGTCCAAGGTGTCCCACTGATTGTGAGAAGCAAAGGAGAAATCTGAAAATCTTGAAGCAAAGCCTGCCTGCAGGATCTGATATTTTTATTCCCTCTTGTACCAAGGATGGAGATTTTCTGCCACTCCAGTGTTATGGGACGAATTGCTTCTGTGTTGATTTGAGTGGCAAGACTATTCCAGGAATAAGGGGAAAAGCTGGAAAACCAATGCGATGTAAGTCCTAGGGACTGGGAATTTAAAGATGCTTCCTTCTTGTGTTGAAATTTCATGATTCTTTCTTCATATCTGATTATATCTGGAAAGGGATGGATGATGTATACAAACAATATTGTCCCCTAACAGGAAAGCGAGTCAGCCCTTCAGTTGCAGGGGAATGGTGGGAAATACAGTGTATGTAAGCTTTGATATCCTAAGTCTTAAAGATGGTCCCCTCTTCTTTCAGTGCGTAGGGTAGGCATGCTCAGAACAGAGGAGCCTGAGGTCTTGCCCTGTTAATGCGCACGCCATTGGTATATGTCTCTGTCTAAGCGTGTAGCTAGGATGTATAACATCCGTGACGCCCATGAGACCTGGAGCATCTGTGTAACTGAATGTGACCCATGCCAAGTGAAAAAGCCCTTTCACTTCCAGGGTCAAGTCACCTGGGTACAGTCACTGGCTCATCCTTGTCCTGAGAACTGAAGAGCTTCAGTGCCTTAGACCATGAACCTCTTTTAGTCTTTTAGCTCAAGAATATAGCCTCAACTTGGCAGGGTGTCACAGGAATCCAAACATAGGAGAGAGATTCAAAGGCTAATAGGTTTCTCCTAAAGGTCATGCTGTCAAGCTAGAAAAGGGAGTCCCAAATGACTTGTCAGATGTCAATTTGACATTGCAATTTGCTTATAGACTATGAACTGCATTGCCCTTCTATTAATATAATACAAAGGAAGAATGAAGCACATAGGCTGGGGATTCTTGTCTTTCAAGTTTCTGTGAACTGAAGATGACACATCCACAGGGGGATCGGACCAAGAGAAGAGCCTGCTTCTCATTTTGGAAGGAATAGCAGAGTATCCAGAAGACGATGATGGTACACAGTGAAGGAGCTCCTTTGAACAACAGTTTCCAGAAGTAGTGGGGATTTTATCACAGTGATATGGATTGGTAGGGGATTTATATCTAACAACTCATCTGTAGTGCAATCAAAAGCAAACAGGTTCGTAATTCTCTGGTGCTCAAAAGGAGATGAGCTCCTACATTTTGCTAGGTTTCTAGAGCTGCTTGGTGGCAAAATGAAATTTGGCTCTGGAGATGGAAGAAAAGGCTTCCAAAACAAACTCACTCCAGCATTTTGAAGGGTGGTATTTTTACATTCAACTGCAACATTCAGCAGGGAATAGGAAGAGAGGACAACAGAATCTGAAAATTCTGCTTAGGTCCAAAGGGAAATAAAAACAGCATTATCCTACTATTCAGATGGTTGCTTTTGAAGGGATTGGATGAATAAAAATTAACTGCCAGATTATCAAGTGTACCTGAAAATACCTAGTTGGTGTGAACAGATTGAGGAAGGCATTTAATAGCATCAAGCACCTATCCCGCCCCAGTTAGAATTACAGGCACCTAATGTGCTCAGATGTTTTTAAAAATTCATAGCTATGTGTGTCTTTCAGCACCTACATGCCTTTGGAAATCTTACCCTGGTTCAGCATAGGAGCTTAAGAGCATTGGACCTCTTAATAACAGGCCAGAAATGTTGTTGTTAGTATTGGGATGAGTGACCAAGTTTTAGTAATGGTGTTTATAGTACTAGAGGGGTGGGGAGTATTGTATATCTTCAGTGCATTCATAAGATGTGCTGTGCATGTTTTTCTGTTCCCCAGGCCCAAGTGCTTGCCAAGTAACAGCTGGTCAGGAGTTTCTGAAGGCTGTGAAACTCCTGTTGTCAGATCCAAGTGCTCTGTCTCAGCTCTCCAGCATTTACCTCCCGCAGTGTGATGCTGATGGTGCCTGGAGGCGGGTGCAGTGCAGTGGCCCTCCCGAGCAAGCCTTCGAGTGGTACGAAAGGTGGATTGAAGAGAACAATGAAGGCAAGACCCTACCCATTGCTAACCTACTGAATGTTATAAGTGGATATAAAGAGGCGTCTTCCAAAGGCTTTTCAGCTTTTATTAAAGCTTTGTATGATGCTGGGCATCAGAATATCTTCCCAGCATTCACCACGTATTCCTCCTTTGCTGATCTCCCACCTGAAGTGCTGGAAGGAAATGTGACCTATGCATCTGAGAACAGTTTACTGGATCCATATACATTCTGGCAGCTTCTCAATGGACAGCTGACCTATTACCCAGGATCCTATACTGATTTCAGCACTCCATTAAGCCACTTTGAACTTCGTGAGTGTTGGTGTGTTGATAGCAAAGGAGAAGAGCTGCAAGGAACAAAGGCAGAAGTGAACCAGGTCCCAGCATGTAAGTAACAGAATTTCTGGCACAGAAGTAATAGTATTTCTGATCTTTGCTTTTATGCTACAAGAGGAAAGTCCTTTCAGGTGCTGTGAGGGTAGGAGACAATGACTTGTTGGAAACATCATCAATGCTACCGTAGTTGTTGGCCACCAGATGTGGGGTAACTCATTTTTTGTAAAAAAAATGATGTCTCAGCTTTGGTAAAAAGATGACCTAGAGTTCTGTATCAAGTTAGTGACAGGACGAGGGGTAATGGTTTTAAACTAAAACAGGGTAGGTTTAGGCTGGATATAAGGAAGAAATTCTTTACAATGAGGGTTGTGAAACACTGGAACGGGTTGCCCAGAGAGGTAGTGGAGGCCCCATCCCTGGAAACATTCAAGACCAGGTTGGACAGGGCTCTGAGCAACCTGATCTAGTAGTGGTGTCCCTGCTCGCTGCAGGGGGGTTGGACTAGATGACCTCTAGGGCCATCACCCCTTCCAACCCAAAAACTTTCTATGATTCTATGATTCTAAGTTTGTGTAGATTTTGTTATTTGGACATATAATGCTTTACAGAAAGAACACTTTGAAGCTAGAAACAGTGTGTAAAGAGTTGTATAGAAAATTCACAATTACACAAATGACTTCCAAGGATGTGTTAAAATGAGGCAGGAGGAACTTTCTTTACTGTTTCTTACGACACAGTAAAGAGTAACAGATATCCCCTAGAAGTCGCTAGGAGAAGAGTGAGGACAGCATTGTTGGTAAACCCTCTGTCTAGACGTCTCCACCAAAGCTGTTAGGTCCTCTTTGGGGTTACTTCAGCAGATGACTTCTATTATAAATGTAGTCGCTAAAACCATTTTCTCATCACATGGTAATTTTCCAGCTGGGAGGAAGAGACAATGAATGGCAAACTTCCAAATGGGCAAGGAGTGCTGGAGATGCCAGTCCTGTGGGCAAATGGGGAATAGAGGGGACAAAGCAGAATAACAGAGAATCGTTTTAGCAGATAAGCTTTCACTGAGCTGGTTCGGTGTGTTGAACTGCCGTTACTGAGTCAGCAGATGTACAGAGAGGACAGGTGAAGTGTCAGCTACCACTCTGGGTCTGAGGGATATACCTTCAGTTTCCTTTCTTGCTCTCTTTTCTGATTATCCACTTTTTTTATGACAGTGACCGAGGGACAGTTCTGTAGAGACATAAAACTGCAGTTGTAACCAATGAGGAGGAGGTAACTTAAAATTATCAAGGCTTTGGCCCAAAATTTGGAGAATGTTTGGGTGATTCCTGGTACTCTTGGACTCTTGTGGTTGTTTAGCTAAGTGTTGATGCATCTCCTGTGCTTGCTTCAGTAAGCAACTGAAAACCAAGCAAGCGCAGGAGAAAACAGAAGATGCTAGTAAAAGGCCAGCTAGTTTTCACATGCAAATCTTCATTGAATTTACATGAAAGGCACTAAAATGCCTTCTGGTTCTGCAGGTCCTGGTATATGTGAAGGTGTTAAGCAGGAAGCCATGAAATTTATGGAGGAGGCAGAGCAGCTCATCCTGGCATCAAATAGTTCCCACTTCCCTTTTGGAGAAAGCTTCTTGATGGCAAAGGGAATACAGCTCACAGACAACGACCTCCTACGTTCTGCTCAGCCCTACGAGACAGAGGTGGTGATCTCTGAAAAGCTGTTATCGGGCAGTGACTATGCTCTCCAGCTGGCTGCACGGTCAGGTAGGTGAGAGAGAGAAGTGATCTGAGTTAAATGGATTAATGCTCAGGATCCGTGCAAGAGATATCCCACTCTATGTCAAATTCAACTTTGCCGAAAACCAGATGTGACTCAGCAGGTGTAATTAATCAGTGTAATTGACCTGCCAACTCAAGAGCTGATTTCAGTTGTCTTATATGTATGACACGATGCATATATAAGATCTGGACACTTACCAGCCTTTATGTACTTGCAGCATTTGTTCATTTGACTGCTGACGCACAACGAACATTCAGATACTTGCAGACATGCATTTAAAATATCTTGGATTTGCCACTAATAGTTGGTTTTAATTTATCTTTCATAGTCTTGCATTTCTACTGGCGGAGTCACTTTACTTCAAAACGCTCTGCTGGGGAAGCAATACAGCTGGGATTTCTCCCTTACATCCCACAGTGTGATGGCCTGGGATACTGGGAGCCAACTCAGTGCTATGAGAGCACAGGTGAGCAATTGCTAACAAGCTACTCTGGGCTGTTTGAATAAAGAAAAGCTAAGCAGAATTCTAATAACAAATGGAAAACCTATATTCTTGTAGCCAAACTGGAGAGAGGTGAAGTGCTCTACAAGATGCGTGGAAAATTGACTGGAGTGAGGGACTCAGGTTTCAGCTCATTGTTGCTCAAAAATCAGTCGACGTTCAGTTGCTCGTTGCTAGTAGCATTTCTCAGGGGTCAGTTCAGAGGCTGGTATTGCTTAATGCCTTCATTAATGACCAGGACAATGAGATGGATTTCCATCTCAGCAAGTTTGTGGATGGTACCAAATTGCTGGGAATAGATGATACACTGCAGGATAGGGCTGCAATGGAAGAGTCTCACCAGCGCTGCTGCATTTCCATAATCACCTCTGCTCTCAAATGTGGTCTACTTATCTCTGGATAGCAGCGTTAACTCTGACTTAGGTTTACTGACCACTTTCTATGGTGCTTCTGAGGATGAAAATCTTCCCAGTACACAACAAAGCATACTGCAGTACAACATCTAAAATAAAGCTGCTTTTCTTCCCTGGCCAGGTCATTGCTGGTGTGTGGACGAGAGAGGACGTTATGTCATGGATTCCTTGGTCTCACGCTCAGCCGAACTTCCCAAATGTCAGTTGTTTTTTGTTCCTAAATATTTGTCTTTACTTGTTCTTACATATTTTAATATTTATTGAAGATTCTAGTATAGTATACATGAAGCAAGGCTTGTTTCTAACCTTTGTAAGAAAAGAAAAATGAATTTTGTTCTTGTTTTGCTAATTCATTTAATTTCACTATGTGTGATTTTGGCTTGCATCATTTGAGAATGGACCCTCTACTGTTGGTGGCCCTGCCTGAGCCAGGGACATTGGAGCAGATGTCCAACCAGATGTCTCCAGAGGTCCCTTCCAACATCAACCATCCCTTGATTCTGTGGTTATCAAACACCAATCGAGAAATCCCTGCCTGAGGCTGTAGCAGAGCCAAATGGAGATGTGCACAGGAGCTACCGCTTTCTCTAGCTTAAGTTTGAGAACTTGATTTTATTTTAACATGCATGTATGTTTTTCCCTCTTACAGGCCAGACATCATGTCAGCAATCTCAAACCAATGCCTTAATTTCCAGCTGGAGACGGAGCGGTTCAAAACTGGATGCTTCTACAGCTGATCTGTTTGTCCCCTACTGCCTTAAGGTGATTTAATGTGACTGAGGGAGGAAGAAACAAAATCTCCCTGGCTTTGCTTACACAGTGCCAAAGGCCTGTACAGTTTCGGTCTCTGCTCCTTGAGCATCCCTTGTGCATTGCTGTTAATCTAAAAGAAAAGGGGAAGACAAAACAAACAGCAGGGTTTGCCCTACATAAGGCAGAATTTAAATAGTTTTGAGATGAAGACCAGGAATAGGAAGCTCTGTCCCCGCCTAAGCTGCCCTCCTACAGGGTTGCTCTGCCTAGTCATTTTGCGGGACTGTGCTTTAAAGACACAAATTAATTCATGGATGTTTGGGGGGCTCTTTCCTCCTGAGGTCTGAGAGAATGTCAGGATGAGAGGGAGCTGGATGCAGATATCCCAAAATAGGGTCTGTGATGCTCTCCAAACATGGCCGTGAGCAGGACAGAGCCCTGAGAATGGCAAGGAACAGACATTTCAAATTGAGATTATACCAGAATTTCATCTCGATGCGCTTTCAGTCTGCATACTGCACCTCTCAGGACCTGGTCTATGTGTTAAATTAGGTAGACTGTATTTTAATATTATGTGTTTCTTTTCAATGTGTTGTATTAATGGACACATGTAAATATAATCAAATATTTTAACCAGCCTTTGGGATATGGATTGTGATGTGTCTGTATTGATATACCTTGCTCTGCAATGATATGTAGTTGATTCTTTTTAGACAGGAGAATACGCCGTGCTGCAGAGATCCGACACAGATATTTGGTGTGTAGATCCTGTGTCAGGAGAAGTATTTCAACGTGGCAGCAAGGATTTGGATGGCAATCCTGAGTGTGAGTAATGCTTTACCCACAGCCTGTGACGCTCGTGGCAATGCCTCATGCTTTGCAGCGTATGTACTTTCCTCTTCAGAATGATGCCCGTGAAACGCAGGGGGTCTTACAGTTTAATTCCTCATACAGATAAGCACATTATCGTTGAAAGGGTGTCTTGAAATAGTTATCCTTTACTTTCATAACACCAGTAATAAACCAGTCTATATAAACTGATGAATAGTCTTCTATGCATTTTTTTACCTCCCATTTCTTACCACCATAGAAAATTCTTTGGGCTCACGGAGGAGTTTTCTAAGGCAATGAATCCTGAACTATACACATCAGTGAGTCCATTTTACATGGGCCATGTGCAGTCAGTGAGTCCATTTTAAGTGGTCCACAACTGCTCCGTGGAATGCAATTTGGTCTATGATACTTTTGTACTGTCTTCGAATAAAGACAGAGAACTGCTGAGGTCTCATAGGACATGGTTGATCCAAAAAGTTGAAGAAGCCCTGCTCGTAGGGATTGGGATGCCCTGTTGGAGCCCCTGCCTGGTTCTGCTCTTCTGAGCAGTACAGGCAGCCCAAGAGCCTACAGCTCTGCTGTGCTTGTTTGTTCAGTTTTTTTGCTAGTGATTTTCTACTTGCCATCTCCCACAGAAAATTTGGGAGAATATGCTGCTGGCTTCAGGCAAACCTTCTCCCAGAACATCTGTAACAGAGTAGATAATTACTCAGGAGAGGATAGTGAGTTAGATATAGTAGTTTCATCTGATGCAGCAAGTCTGCTTTCTTTTTCTTATATATGGGCTAAAGACAGAAGTCCATGAAGACGTGCAACAAGCCTGATGGGGGATAAATAACTGTGCATTCAGTAAGGAATTAGTTGTGTAATGGTTCATTAAACAGGTTTACAAGCAGATGAACAAAATTAGTAAGAAGCAACTTTCTCTCAAGTTTGAACTGAACTTTTTGCATCTTCTTGTCAGGGGGTGGCTCTGCATGCTCATGTCTTTTTATTTGTTTGTTTGTTTGTGGGAGACCATTAATACTGCTGTTTTGTGGTTGTTTTTTTTTTCCAGTTTTGAAGTTATTAAACTGTGACGTTTTCACTGATTTAAAATGTAAATAATTTTATTGTTACACTTAAAATTTCTTGCTCAAAAATTCTCAGTAAATATTAATTTTATTTGTTAAAAATTAGAATATCAGCATCTAAATTATAAACTATCAAATTCATATCAAAAAAGACGTTAATACAAAATAAATATCAGTATTTTTTCCACTATTTTGTTAGTGCAAACCAATATAAACTGCACTTTAATCTCACAAAAAAAGAAGGTGTTTTTTTTTCTAGTGGAATTAAAATTTCACATTTCTATAATGATATAATGATACGAAACCAGACCGAAAGCACTACTGTTTAGGACAATTCTGCACATTAGTATAGTTATTTTCTGCAGATGATTGTAGAATCATAGAATGATTTGAGTTGGAAGGGACCTTAAAGATCATCCAGTTGCAGCCTCCCCCCGCCATGGGCAGGGACACCTCCCACTAGACCAGGTTGGTTTGTTGTCTTCTGCTCTGTATCTTGAATTTCTCTGTTTAAAGGTCCTAGTTTCTGTAATATGATGAAATCTAAAACTGGTTTACGAGAAGATGGCAAAGGCTACATCCCAGAGTGTGAAGAGGACAATGGGGCTTTCTCACCCGTGCAGTGCAGCCAGGATCGAGAGAGCTGCTGGTGTGTTTTTGACAATGGAGAAGAGGTGCCGGGAACACGAGTAAGCGGAGGAAGACCTGCTTGTGCAAGTGAGTTCCTGCTCAAGGCGCATTGCTTCTGAACAAGTCCAGGTCTGGAACATGACCCGCATCATAAATTTTTCCAGTATTTAATTTTATTAAGGCTTCTTTGTTCATACCTTTACAGAGATTTTTGCTCAAAAGGCTATGGTTATCTCTGTGTTATAGCAGTTTTCAGACCTGTCTGGGCATGATATCTGATTTTCTTCAAGTGTTTTGTCAGGATGAAAGGAGAAGGGAATGAATCTTTAACTTTTCTTTATTCATAAAACTGGTTGAATCAAAGCAAATGAGCTATTAAACTTCGCTAAAAAGTCAATCTGAACAGCTTGCTGCAAACTTGAACCTGTTCCAGTCTGAGCTGGCTCTGGGATTAAAAGCCATTCAACTGACTAAAATAAAATTTGAAAAATGTGTGCTTCTGCCATTCCTACTCTTGGCTTGTGACCAGAGTTGTGAAAAGGATGTGCCAAAACACTACATATTCACAGAGTATTTCCTGCAAGACCAGAGCTGCGAAGCACTGGAATTCACTTATGGTTTCCAGTGAGATGTCCAAATGGGCAACATTTGGATAAATTTAATTTGCAATGGTCTTTATACATCTCCCCATCACTGAAGTGAAGCAAAAGAAATCAAACTTTCTACAAGGCTGTGCTCCAAAGTGTAATGATTAGTGGAAACTAGAGATGTAAGAAGAAAACCTTCAACTGGTGCCTGCAGGGCACTACTGTTTCCATAGTTCTTTTGGGTTTTTTTAAATGAGAGCTGTTGGTAGATTTAGGAAAGTGAGACCACATGATGACAACTTGCTTCGGTTTCCTTTTGTGATTCTGCTATATAAAGAATAGCACTTGCTCACCAACCAAATGCCTGATTGTGTCAGCCCAACTAGCTGTAAGGCATTTTAGTCAATTAGATAACTCCTCAGCTGACTTGGAAACCACCACCAACTTCAGTTCATTTTCTATGAACTTCCTTATACCAATAGAGAGCTATGTGGATGGGGTTTTATGAGAAACTGCAAGGAGACCCCAAGTTTGTGTCTTGGCCCATGCAGTGTGATGTTATGTGGAGATGCCCAACTGAGCTCTGAAGAGAAGAGCTCCAGAGCTAGGGCGGCGAAGCAATGGCAGCATAGCAGTTCAGTACAGGTTTCTAGCTCTTCAAAGGAGCAGAAATGATCGGTCTAACAAGTACCGTGCTGCTGCTATCCTGCTTTCAGGTTACAGGCTAGTGTCTCTGTGGGATACAGGGCTGTGTGATATTTAATTTGTTTGGACTAGCTGGAGGAACTGAACATGATACCTGGCACTCAGCAGTACGGATTGACTTTCCCATAGACTCTGAAGGTGAACAGGGATAAGTGGAAGCGTTTCTAGTAGGCCAGAGATAAGACAGAACTAGTTATAAATGTTGTATTATTAAAAGTCCTTAATATCTCCTCCTCTCCATGAAAGCTCATTTTCTAGATTTCCCCATAAATTCCAAGGGAATTTATAGAATATGTTCTAAGGAGGGTGCAGGTATATCCCATGATCTACCTTTAAGATGATTTTAGATTTTGCATGCGCATCTGATGTTTCTCGGGATCCAGATTTTCCTAGAGGTAGTAGTGACTGAATGATTAATGACCTTTCTTTTTTAAAAGGCTGAGCTGAGAGAGAAAACTGCTTTGAAAATATAGTGGAAACCTGGCTTTACTGAAAGCTATTTGTTATTTTCTGCATAGAAATACTACTGAAATAATCTTTAATGATTTTCCTGGATTTTGAAATAGCGATGGAACTTTTTCATGCTAAACAACTTAGTTATTGTGTAAGAATAAAGAAGCAAAAGTTATTTTTCCCCTCAGTCTATCCAGCCTTATGCCTCTAGTCCTTGGAACTACTAATAATTGTTCAGGAAAAAAAAGAGGGGAGTACTATCTCACTATCTTGGAGATCTTGTCTATCAACAAAAGAAGCTGTTGTGGTGGGAAAATATGATAAAATTCTCCTCCAACATCAAAACAGACAGCTGTAAACAGCAAGTAATAACTTCACAGTGCCTAGTGCATGCAATGAGTTTTTCATTAGCTTAATCATTTCCATCAGAGGTAAAATCCAACTTTTGCTAGTTGACATGCACCAGAATGATGATGCTAAGTATTCCAGCAGTCCTTGCACGCATCTCCTGTCCTTATGCCCACTTTCCACAGCTCTGAGTGGAGATAGAGGACAGACAGCCTTCCAGAGAAGGTCCTGGAGACATTATTTCCTTGTGGAAATCTTTAGAAGCACCTATGAAGAAGTGTCAATATTGGACTGGATTCTGATTTACTCCTACAGGTCCAAGAAATCGGGGCAGAAATAGCAGAATGACAAGATGATGCCGGCTTGATGACAATAGTAAATGAGAAGGCATCTGTAGAGGGTTAAATAAACAAATTACTGATTGTCAGCTGAAACCTGAGAACCACACCAGGAAACCATCCATCATTTCTGTTTTGGGGACTGATTATTTTCCTAGTTGGCACACCAACTCTCATTGGAACAGCCAGTAAAACATTGTAGTAGCATACGACTGAGACTGGATTTGACTTGCTGGATTGTGTTAGAGCAATGAAGAGACCACAGACTGAATTTTACATACTTTGTATAAAGAGATGTTAATGTAATTTACACATAATGGTGGATGAAGTTTACATTGGTCAAGATAAGTATTTCTGTCTCATAAAGTAACATCTTTTGGTCCTAAAGTCTAGGGAGGTTTATTAAAAGTCTTTTAAGTAGGAATGCCAGGTTTCCACCTTTGCTGAAAAAGAGACTGGATACAGAGTCAATGAATGAAGAGGAGGAATGTAGTGGCCTCATTTACAGAGTTATTGCAGAAAAGATACTATAAAGGAGGCTTGGAAAAAATGCATCTGGCAATTCAGAGAGACAGATATGAAAGTATTTATTTTGGCATTGTAATGATCAGGGTTGCAAAATAAATACATACTGTGCACAGTGGATCCCAGATTCATCCTGCAGTGACTGAAGTGGCTGCTAAGCTGAGGAATTAATCTCTGTATCTTCATATCTCTGTCATAAGGGGAGAGAGAGGCTGGTCAGACCTGAACCATCAGCAGTGTTTGCCTTTCTTCAGTGAGTAGGGAGACTGGGACTTACCTGAGCATTGCTGTTTGGAAAATGATCAATATATACCAAGCAAGTGAATTATATGATATGAGAACATCTTTTTCTTTATATTTATTTCTAAGTGAGGAAGTTTTTTTTTTTCTTCCTGTATTTTGTAGCTCTAGAACTCAGAGCTGTTTCATTATTACTAGATATATTCAGTAATTAGGTTGGGATTTGGCTAATATTGAGTGAAGCAATTGGTTTGTACTGATTAGTAGAAATTAATTGTCATTTTAGGTAGCATGCTATAACAGTCCGTTACAGTGAGCTAGCAGGGTTGAAATGACCATACTGATGCAGAGTGAGTCGACAGGGTAAACTTAGTGCTCCAGCTCCAAATCTCTATACTGCTTCTAAGGACCTGCTGGGTCACCAGAAACATCCTGGTGCCATTGAAGACACCATAGTCATGAGCTCCTCAAAGTGGAGCTTTCAAACTTCACTCAAACAGGAATTGAGTGTTGTTTTTGTTTTTTTTCCTGGCCCTGCCTATTTCCACTGGATATCTTTTGTAAAGGTTTGTTCTGCTGATGGGTAGAAACCTCTTTCTCATTTCCTGGTTAAATTTATTCATGACTGTTTTAAACTTATCTGTTCTTAGAAACCATGCACATAGCTTTCTGGACCCAATGCATTACCCATCAAAGTCAATATGTGTCTTGTCATCAACTTGAGGAAACTGAACTGTGCTGACATCAAACCAGATCCAAGCTGAGATGAGTGGGAAGTGCACAGAGTGCAGTCTAGGTTTTCTCTGTTGATACGAGGGTTATGCGGACGCTTTACTTGAAGTGTTTCGTAGTATGCCACTAATAAAACCCCTTTCTCATGTGCCTAAAGGTCCACAGTGTGCTCTGCCATTTGGTGCCTCATCTCTTCTCAACGGAGCTGTATTTTGTGAAAACATTTCTGAGCAAGCTCCAAGTGTTCAGCAGTGCCGGCTGGTGTGTCGCCAGGGCTTCCGCAGCGCCTCTTCCAGCACGGCGTTTCAGTGTGATGTGCAACAGCGGCGATGGGTCTCGGCTGCCCCGCTCCATCAGGCCTGCCAGAGTACGTCTGATCATGGGGTGGGAAGGCTGCAGAGCAGTGTCAATCGATGTGCAAAAATGAGCTTTCGTCACAAAGCTACTGTGTGAATGACAATAATAGGACACAACAGTTCTGTGGGAGCTGCTGCATGAAGGCACAGTAGATTAGCCCCGTCTTCTGCCATTTTCATCTCTGTCTCTTGGCTAGCTCCCATGCCAGAAACAGTCCCACTTTTCTGTAATAATATAGCTATAAATAGTTATTCAATCTATATGCAGATTTTTCTTTGCAAGTTAAAAGATGCTGATCATGAAGTGATTCTGATGGAACCACTTAGTCCTGGAAGAACAGATGCAGACCAGATGTTTGAATTTGGCAGAACTTGACTGTTTATTTGCATATTCAAGTCACTCTTACTTCTGCATCTTTTCGCAGCAGTCTGTTCTTTAGGATTATTGTTGTCTTTGTAATCTGACTTGTGGTTTTTTTCAAACCGTTTTTCTTTCAAGAAAAAAATGGCACTTTAAATCTTGGAAGAATGAGTTGTCTGTTCAGAGCTCATGCAATCAGATATTAATGTTGGCCTTTTCAATTGTTTCAAACAGAGATACATTCTGATCAAAACAGCAGTTTGCAGCAGTGCTGAATGTTGAGAAATGCAGATCTTGATGCCAAGTTTGCAGCTACTCCTCATCTCCAGAGTGGGTTAAACCCATTCCAGAAACCACTGTATTGACAAATTTCCAGTTCTACCCCAGGTCTTCTATTCCAAAAGTAAATGATTTTAAACTTTAAATTTCAGACTGAGACTTTTGTCTGTAATCATGTTTGCTAGGTTTTTGTAGCATGTGAAGAAGTAACTCTCATGGTTGCCTGATGGCAGCTGAACAACAGTTTGTAAGGCCAGAGGGGAGCGTGTGGCAATCTGGCACAAGCTGCAATTTAATGCAAACTAAGGACTTCCCACAGTAATTAGTGTTTGAAATAGAGCATCTGAAGGCAATTGAATAAATTTCACGATAATGGAGAATTAACCGCAACACTTAGTAATTTGTTCCAATGGATAATTACCCCCACACTTACACATCTTGTTTCCTCTTCCTTACGTGTATGTTTAGAGACTGTGGTTAAGACAGCTCCTAACTACTCTCTGATAAGCTAAACAGATAGAGGACTTTGTGCCTTGCAGGAAGAAGTAAGCTTTTGTGTCCTCTGATCCCTCCCACCATTCTCGTTGGATGCTCTCCAGGCTTTCCCATGCTCACTCGTATTGGGAGCGAGGGACAGAACTGTGCTCCAACGGTGACAGTTGTGCAGGATGCAGTGAGGGTCTGTGGAGGAGGTGAATGAGGGAGAGCTTTGATGCTTCTCCAGGCTGGTGGAATAAGAGCCAGCTCCATTTGCATGTGACATGACAGCACCACGACTGTGCTGAATCTGAGATAACAAACCTTACATGAAGCCTGGGATCATCGTAACTCCAGTGGAGACGAGAAATTTGCACCTTTTTTATTCTGCCTAAAACCGGGTGAAATAGATTTTAATTTTGTGACTGATGAGCTCATGGGTTTCTCATCGATTTGTGCCACTTTGGTTTGCAATCAAATAATTGAAGGTCCTTGTAGATGTCCATGTCAACACTGTTATTATGCATTCAAATTTATTCTCTGCTAAAACTTGATTCTAGCTAGTTTTGCAAACTAGGTTTCTGAAAGAGCATTTGAATTAGCATTAATTCTTTTGAACATAGAATTCCTTTTTAAATAGAAACTCTTTCATAATCGTGTCTGAGAGAAGCAAAGGTTGACAGATCAATAACTCCTGTCTTCCTCTTTCTTTTCTAAGTATTGGCATAATGTCCACTTTCATCTAGTTCTCTGGAAATTGCTATCTGCCAAGGCTTATAAAAGATCATCCTTAATGATCCAGATTGTTCCTTATCCTTCTATGAGTTAGTGCTCCAATGTAAAATGTTTCTTTATTATTATATAATTATATCACTTGTTTTTTTCTCTAATGCACAACATACATATTTATTAAACATGTCTCTTGCTGCTTATTATTTACTACAGACAGTTCTACTACTTTCATCTATAAATGGGGAGTTGCTATTGAAGAAAGGTAAAAATGCCAAATCAATGTTGTCTTTTCTCAAAGTAACTTTGAAAGTCAGTTTCCACATTAAATAGCGAGGCTGCAAAATGCCCTTTCTACTTATTTTTTAGAGCTCCAATTACTTCAGACAGTCCAAGCTCAAACACACTTTCAACTACTGCTGCCTCCTGAGAAGACCTGTAGTTCTGACTACTCTGGGTTACTCCAGGCATTCCAGATATTTATTTTAGATGAGTTAAAGGCTCGTGGCTTATGTCACCTCCAGGTAATTTAAATTCCTTATTCTCTGTTGTTGGTGGGGTTTTTTGTTTGATGGCTGTTTGTTTTTTGGTTTTTTTTTTTTTTTTTTTAAATAAAAAGAAAAAGGCAGAAACCAAGAAGAACTTTGCCTGTTTGAGAGAGCTGGAAGAGCAGAAAATGCCGTGAAATCTGTCAAGATTGGCAGCAGTCTCGTGTGGATGGCTGGAAAAAATAGGATGTTTAGTCTCATTGACCCCACATTGGCAGAACAGCTTAATTGTAGCCATAGACATCACATATCACATCAACCCAATATTTATTAAATATGTATTTTGAAGGAAGATAATTCTTTGACTATTCTTACAGTGAGTAAACGACCTGCTAAAATTATCTTTTCCTACTTGTGTTTTACAGGCCTTTTTGGAAATGTTGCCTTTGAGCATAGCACAGTGCAGTTGAATAGGGAAAGGCAAGAACTAGATGGTTCTTGGGTTGACTAAATGTGGTTTCATTTAATTTTGAATTCGAGGTAAATGCTTTTGGAACTACCGGCTCGGTTTTTGTCTGTGATGATTCCACTGTCTATGTCGAATGCCTCAGCGTGGACCGCCTGGGGGTGAACGTCACGTGGAGGACTCAGCTGGAAAACATCCCAGCAGCTTCTCTCTCTGACTTACATGATATTGGTAAGTATTTTCCCTCTGATATTTCTGTGAATTAAGCCTGGTTTTCTTTTAATTGTTTTGCTTCCCTGTGTCTGCTCTTAGAGGAACTAACAAGGTAGTATAAAAGCTCATGGAAAGAGTCTTTATAATGCTGGAGTTGTGTCTTTGAGCTTTTGGTGTTGATATATTTACCTTTTCAGACTGTGACTGCACAGTGGAAAGGAGCTATAATTGAATGTTTCTTTCAGATAGGACTGCCTCTCCCAGCTGCTTTTAATGAGATGATTGAAAATTACTTTATTGGGCATGAGCTGAACTGTCCCAGATGTTAATTTCCAGTGGGCAGGCCCTCAGCGGTGGAAAAGATTGTGTTCCTTATTGGGTTGGCCTCAGAGAAACACAATTCACACATTGCCAAAAATATAACTAATGTCTTCCAAGGTTGTTTTTTTTTTCATTTCTTTCTTTTTTCTCCTTTTCTTTTTGTATTTATTATATTACCTTTGACACTAAAGAATGACCCTTACCTCAGAAGTCCTGGAGCCATTATGCAGAGACCATTGACTGGCAGATCTTTGCTGTGGTTTCCAAGCGAGTTAGGGATGGTGTAAGGAACTTCTTTCAAAGCAGTCAGTGTTTCCCTTTAAAATAAAAGATGTAAAAGACTTATCCCAAGTCCAAATGTCCTCTATTGCAGCCTTTCTCCAGTTGTACTGCTTTGCAATGATGTTCTCAGCACAAAATATAAATAACTGCCTGCATGTGTCCTTCCCTCTAACTTTGGGACTTGGAGATGTGTGCAGATTTTGCCTGATCAAAACCAAGTTCAGAAGCCCTTCAGGATGCAGACAGTGCTTGTGTGGTTCCTGGCTTTACAGTCTGTTTATGTTTACATCTGTTCAGTTGCTCCAGAGTAGAAGGGAAACATGACTATTCAAGCAGTTTGCAGAAGGTGGATCAAAGTAGAAGTGTGTTTGGTTTTATATTAAACTTTACTTTTGAAAGTGTTTTTCTTCGAGGGCTTTATATTTTTGACCCTCTTCACACTAAAATTTCCCCGTAATATTAAAATTACTTTTCAGGGAACGACTGTATGGTTGCAGAAGAGACAGTAGGAGTCTAGTCAGGGGAGATCAGTCAACTGGGAACCAGCTCTCTGTATCCTCTTGGCACCATCAACTTCCATTACCTTCTAAGGCAGCTTTGGGTATTTCTGTTTGAGGTGTTTTCTTGTGTATTTATACAGAGTGAGCAAATTGGCTCTCTGATTTGAAAATCTACATTGCTAAAATAGCTTTATTCTTCTCCTAGCTTTTTTATAGGTAAATGAGAAGTCTTGCTATTGAAGTAGCTGAGAAAAAAAAATTGCAAAACAGAAGCGCAGCATGCATATGTTCCCAATGAAGAGCTTCAAACTCAAACCACTCATGAATGCCTCATTACTTTTTTTTTCTTGCAGATATTTTCATATATTAAATTTCGAGGCTGTGCAAATCCCTTCCTGAAGGATCTTATGCCACTCGGCTTTGTAGCTTAGGCCTCAGGTCTAAAATAGTGAGGAACCCTTGCAGCAAATTCTCTCTTTTTTGTTCAACGGGCAAAAATACTAAAGATTATAAAAGTGAGCTTTTGGTGGAAGAACATATACTTAACAGTTCCCATCAGTGAGACTGGACAAAATCAATCCCTGCTCTATGCAACTGGTATTTTAAGCTATGTCTTTGTGCTCTGCATTTTCCTTCAAAAAAAAAAAAAAAAAGAATAAATTTACATTTTTTTCTTTCTCTTTTCTATCACTTTCTCGTTGGCCAATATAAACTTTGGGTACTGGTATGATCCCTCTCACATTCAAATTAGTGTTTCGTTCAACAGGAGCGAACCTAATCAGAATTCTTCCTGCTGCACAACGTAGGATGTAACTATTTGCAGGCTATTTCTGTGTGTGAAAAGATATATTGGCCCCCCTAGAAGTCCAGGTCCTTAAAGGTATACCAGGCTCTGGAGAAATGCCTAGTAAGAATTTACAACAAGTCTAGCAAAGTGTGAGATGCGTAGTAGCTTGAATTGTGCAGCGAAGCAGGAGCAAAACCAGGGAAGCACTGTTGCATCTGCCATGCTTTAGAGTATACTGAAGGTCCTGGAAGCTCATTTTGGACCAGAAGCTAGGTCCCATGTCAGCAGGACAGTGTGGCCCCAAGCTGACCAGGAAGTGCTGGAAGGGCTGAATCAAGGCAGGTCCTGTAAGACGTTATCAGCGGGTCTGGCTGGCTTGTCTGTCATGTTTGTTCTCTGTTGAGACATTCCAGGACATACCTGTCTAGGGTCCATCTATCCTGGGTGGACTGTTTGGTGGCTAAGGAATTGACTGGAAGGTTGCAGCCAGAGGGTAATGGTCAACGGCTCGATGTCCAGATGGACGCCAGTGATAAGTGGTGTTCCTCAGGGGTCCGTACTGGGGCTGGTTGTGTTTAACATTTTCATCAGTGGCTTAGACAGCGGCATCAAGTGCACCCTCAGCAAGTATGCAGATGACACCAAGCTGAGTGGTGCAGCTGACATACCAGAAGGACGGGATGCCATCAGGAGGGACCTGGACAAGCTCGAGAAATGGGAGTGTGCGAACCTCATGAGGTCCAGCAAGGCCAAGTGCAAGGTCTTGCATCCAGGTCGGGGAAACCCCTGCTATCAATAGAGGCTGGGGCATGAAGGGATTGAGAGCAGCCCTTCCAAGAAGGACTTGGGGGTACAAATGGATGAAAAGCTATACATAAACCACCAGTGTGCGCTTGAAGCCCAGAAGGCCAGCCGTATCCGGGGCTGCATGAAGAGAAGCATGGCCAGCAGGTTGAGGAAGGTGATTCTGGCCCTCTACTCCACTCTGGTGAGACCCCACCTTGAGTACTGCGTCCAGCTCTGGAGGCCCCAGCACAAGAAGGACATGGAGCTGTAGGAGCGGGTCCAGAGGAGGGCCACAAAAATGATCTGGGGGCTGGAGCACCTCTCCTATGAGGAAAGGCTGCAAGAGCTGGGGCTGTGCAGCCTGGAGAAGAGAAGGCTCCAGGGAGATCTTCTAGCAGCCTTTCAATAGCTGAAGGGGGCCTATAGAAAAGATGGGGAAAATATTTTGTGATAGGACAAGGAGTGATGGCTTTAAACTAAGGGAGAGTAGATTTAGGCTAGATATAAGGAAGAAGTTTTTTACGATGAGGATGGTGAAACACTGGAACAGGTTGCCCAGAGAGGTAGTGGAGGCCCAATCCCTGGAAACATTCCAGGCCAGGTTAGACGGCACACTGAGCAACCTAGTCCAGTTGAAGATGACCCTGCTCATTGCAGGGGGGTTGGGCTAGATGACCTCTAAAGGTCCCTTCCAACCCAAAGCATTCTATGATTCTATGATATGCATTTATACATAGTGTGGTCACAGGAGGGTCACATATAGCAGTAGCGTTGAGAACTCTTCAGCACAGGGGAACATTTTAGACTAATGGAAGTTCAACAGACCTCAGTGGATTCTTACTGGTTTGACAGTTTTCTGCTTCCCTACATGTGAATTTCCTCCAGCTGTCATTTCAAGTTTATTTTTAATTCTGCTACAGCTAGTCACTAGACAATTTGGAAGCATATTTGCTTGAATAAAAGGCTAATCTGCTTATTCCTGCTTTCAATTACGAGACTATTTCTGGCAAAACATTTACTAATTGTTGTTGGTTATGTGGTGATCCCCAATTACTTACTTGCAAGTGAAGTGTCATTTTGGCCTGGGGTTGAACAAAACTAAGTGATGTGTTGTAGATTGTAGTATGTGTCAGTGCAGCAGAAGGATAGGTTGCTCAGTGCTGGAGGAAGCAGAGCACTGAGATGAGGATGGTGCTGTCAGATGTAATGTAAAGTCTGTTCACTTTAGCCCGTAAGTATAAAAACCTCATGCCCCTCCTCTGCAAAGGGGGGAACAGAGTCTTCATAACAGCAGTCAGCTATGGACCAACACTCAGGAAGAGAGGGCACCTATGCCTTCAGTATTAAAGGTCTAGGATGATCTTTCAGAAAAAACATTGTACATCTGTGGCCTGTTCAGCACAGGGAGGAGTGCAGCGCTGCGTCGCCAGAGCCCTGTACCTGGCTGTGAAATTCTCTCCTCGCACAACTGTAAAACCACCCCTGGGCTACAGTGCAAAGTCAGGAAACTCGCCACGCAAGAAGGCAGTGGTACCCTCAGCTATTTGCTTTGAGCACTGAAATTGTCCTTGCACAAGGCATTGAAAGGGAAGCTGTCTCGGCAACTAAGAATATAGGATAAGAGAGGCACTTGCGGTTTCCAGCTTTAAATACCTGCTTCAGCAATTGTGAAGAGCGTGTTGTATAAGTGGATATATCGAATATCAGTAATGTGATGGATAGTATGGAAAGTGATTAATATATCATTACAGACACTGGCCTTCAAAAACAAACCAACAAAATGCTGAAAAAGAAGTAAATGATACCCATTGAAAAAACAGGAATAAATTAAATCTGAATGTCAGATAAACCTGGTTTTCAGCTGCTGAATTTTTGTAACTCAGAAATCAAATTTTATTCTCTGCTTTAGCATTTGAATATATTATTTTTTGTTAGTTTTTTTTTTCTGTTACTTTAGCACTCTCTACATATACTGAGATTAGGATTTTGATAGACAGTACAGATTCATGGTTGTGTGCTGTTTGCTCACATGCTTATATTTCTGTATCTGCCCATGGTTTTAACTTAAAGCTCATCAGTCTCTGTGTGGTTATCTGTTCCCATATTGGGAGTGTCTTTCATGCTGTTCTGTTGTATTTTTCCCTCCCTTTAGAAAATGCAATTGTTGGGGAAAATCTCATTGAAGAATTTATAAAAGAGATTAAGGAGGGTGACTTTCTGCTGCACTTGGACTCCAAGCAATTCCTAGCAGATTCTTTCGTTGATTTTCCCCGGGATGAAGAGTTTGACCTGTCTCCAAGTGTGTTGCTAGGATGTAGAAGCGGATTTCGAAGAATTTCATCTCCTCAGAAAGCAGTCCCAAATTCACAAGGGTGTGGTATGTCTCAGTTTAGCTTTACCTTCTTTGGTGTTAGGAATCAGTATAAACCTAAAGTTGGAAAATCATCAGTGATCTTGTGTTTATGGTTAATATATGAAAGGTGTTAAGCACCAGCGTGAAAGATGAATCTGAGGAGAGATGGGAATTAGTGCTTTGCTTACTGTTCAGTACTTGTGTTACAGACAAACTTGAACCAATGATTTGGAAACTGGCATCATGGCACTAACATTGTATAGAAGGTTTTGCAAACATATTGGTGGAGTTTTTAGAGCTGTCTGATATTAGAAGGTCTTTCTGTAATGTACATGATCCTTAATAAGAAGATTTCACAAAGACAATAGAGCCAGAGCTTCAGATGATGATACATTACCCAGAAGAGAAACCTAGACGCAGAAATGGCAAAGGTTCTGAGACTGTGACTTCCTGGGCCAAGTCCAGCCAGCTCAGATGGAAGCTTTCTCGGTGCTGGCCAGCGCCCAGACCTGATTGCACTTCTGCCCCCTTTTCATCTTCTTTCCTTCTGTTTAGTCTGCTTCCCTGGAGCAGGCTGCCTTTTGGCCAACATCCTGCTTAGGGCTGCCAAACTCACCTTTTCGACGGATCCCCGTCGCTGTGCCTGGCACCCTGTGTACCAGACCATGCTGCCAAAAAGCCTTTGCCTGAGCAGCCCCGGTCTTGTTTCTGTCAATCAACATCAGCCCTCCTACAGGGCACCCCTCATCATTCTCGTTGGCGCAGTGAGCCTCAGTGAGTCTGTGTCTGTCTTCTGTCAATTTGGGATGTATTCACTATGTCTAACTTTTCTGAGGGGTACAGAGGAGGGTTGTACCACTTCTAGGTATAAGACCAACAGTAGCAGGTGTTGGATAAGTTATCCAAAATGGGGAATATTTTCAGATGGGAGAACTTCAACACTATGCAGCTGAAGTTAGAGACCATAGGAGCAAATCAAAATACATGAAAACAACTTAGCTCCCTGCTTGGTGTGGTGTTTCTCTTCAAGTTAGGAAAGCTGCTTAATGCCTGGGTAAGGGCTTCAAAGTAATCAAGTGATGAATCGGTTCTGAGCTGCTCCAGTTTCCAGCTCGGACCTTTAAGGGTAAATTGACTGCAGCTTCAGTTCACCTCCATGGTCTGAAACTCTTCAGGTTTTGGTTGTTTAAACATACCATGCAGGAAAAAGATTAATTCCTATTGAGAATCTGGAGTCTGTAACAACTTGCAGTTACTTAACAAGATGTAATGTTGTGCTGATTAAAGGTATCATGGTTTGTTAAGCAGAGTCCATCACTTAGAGTAGAAGAACTTACAAAGAATGGGATCTTTCTACCAAGTATTTCCTGCCAGGGACAAAGGCCTCTAAGCAGCAGTGAGTTAATTTGCCTTGTGCTTTAGTTCATACATATTTGAACGAGCTAGCTGTAGGAAAAAGTCACTCAGTAAAACAGACTTATGATAGAGATGTGGAAAAGAGACAGTTTCCGCTCCAGCTTTTGGCAGAGATTTCATATTCTAGAGATGCCATGGTAGGCATGCTGCTAAACACTGGTTTGTGTAGTAGGACTGCATATTTTCTTCTAAACAGGGGATTTAGGAATTCTGTTTCCTCTTTTATATATATGTATATACACACACATATATATATGTTTATTTTGCATTATGGATATATTGTGGTCATTTATCCTCTCTGGGTCTGTTCCTCTACTAATAACAGTGACTAGTAGTAAGAAGTATCACCTTTGATTACAGAAATCAAAGTTGTGTGAGGGTGACAGGGATTGTTTCTTTATTCTCTCCCCTTTCCTGTTCCACCTTGTTGTTGAAATACAGATTGTCTTTTCAGATCTTGATCTTATTGATTTGCTTGTTTTTATTTCACTGTAAGTGACTTGCCCTTGCTTCAGGAAGCATAGACAGATCTTAGAAGCGGCAGCTTTCTCGTGTTTCCAATAAACTTAATACTTTCATTTGGGGACATTCAGCTTGCATAAACCTGCCTCTGCATCTCATACATTTTCCTTGCAGTCATCTGTTTTCTGAAGTTTGCATCTATTGTAGCTTTGTTTCATGTTTTCCCGTCTGCAAAATGGGTAACATTTGTCATGTGTTAGTTTTTCTTATGTGATGTTTTTTTGTCTCAGTCTTACATGGAGTTACTTTACCACACAGATATTTACGAATATAATTCCTGAAGAGTCTGAGGTAACAGTTTTGTTTTAGCTAGATTTTAAAGGGACAAAAGACACTTTCTTTGCTGAGGTGTGAGCTGAAAAGAAGAGAGTTGGAAACTGTCTGGGAGACAGCTTCATGGACTCAACCCTTTTTCCCCCTTTTATTTCAGGAGAAAGCCTGAAGCCTGCTTGTGAGTTATCTTTGGTTTATTGTATGTTTCTGTGCTGCTTCCTTTTATTATTTAGAATGCTTTGTGCTAGTCTATCAGAGTTGCTCTGAGCAGAGCATAACCCACATCAAATAAAGTGCTAGATTTGTAGCTGAGCTGGCAGCTCAAGACTTCATTTCTAATATTCTAGATCAAGAATCTGATATCCTGAAGTTTTCCAGTGTCCCTGGAGGGAGGTAAAAGCAATGCAAGCATTAGGTAATGATCAGCGGTGGCAGTCTTTGAGCATGCTCAGTGTAGTGGGAGCTGGTCTTAAGTAAAATGAGGCTACTGTGAGGAGCAGTATTCCTGTGCGGAGTTGCTTTGTGATTCCCCAGTGAGCTGCTCTTTAGCCTGAAATTGCTATTCAGCATGTTGTTCCCCTGGTGTACGCAGAAGCCCGAGTGTGGTTAGAAGTGAGGCCAGGTTACAAATCTGATGTGCAGGAGCAAGGGATTCAATTTGTGATTTTAAATGTAAATTTAATTTTATTATTTTATTTTATTCTTTTTTTCCTATTATATGCATACAAATTTTGGGCCTAGTACTAATGCTTAGCTCTGAGATTTTGGCTCAAGGCTATTCTCTAGTTTCCTACATTGTTAAGAAAATATGAATGTTCAAGCTTGAAAGAAGTACAATATTATGGTTTGTCTGACTTCTAGAATCAAACTTAAACCTCTATGTGATTGTGTGGAGTGTAACCTAGAGGTGAAATGACACGTACCTTCAAGAGTTATAGAGTCTAGAAAATATTCATCTCAGCACCAGAGTTTTTTGCTGTTGTCTGTGCCTTTTTGTTAATCTAATGTGTGAGGCAAAAGGCAATTTTACTTGCTTAAAATGTGGTTGGAGACACAGATGTTACTTTCACATCATGACTATAACTACAGAAAAAGTAGGATGATCTGAAAAGCTAGTTTGTTCCTTTTTAAACTTTACTTGCTTAATTAGTCTCCCTCACCCTAAGCATATTTTTCTTCAATTTAGGCGTGGATTACTAATTTCATTTTAATTTCTACTATTGTTCATTTGCAATGAGTATGATCCTTACTGCATGTGTTGGAAAATGTCTTGAAAATGTATCATACACTCTTGTGTATCAAATAATATGTAAGAGACAGGAGAATTCTGTCTGATTCAGGATGTTTTTTGGTCTGTAATTGATTTTAGATATGTGTTATACCTAGAGAAATTGCCTTGATACGTACATGGGAGGAAAATTTCAGTCTCACATTTGTCTCATCCTAGAATTTCCCATTGGACCATTTAGAGAAGATGCAGGAAGATATGGTCATTTTTATACTAGCTGTCATTTTAGTATATTCTAATTTAGGTGCTTCTGTAAGTTAAATTAATTTACATTCCAGTGTGTTGGCCAGAACAGCAATTCAGCATATGGCTTGTAGTGGGGGCGGCCAATTTTCCATTACTGTTTCTCTCTCGTACAAGCTTAAAATGCTGTCAAGGCGTAGGGCAAAAACAGAAATGAAGTTTTTCACATTGTCAAAGTCCCAAAATATACATGTGATAGTGTTTTGAAGGAAATCTACATCTGGAAAGCAACTGTGAAATAAGAAGTAAAGGTATTGTCCTGTAAATGTGTCTGTGACTCTTCTGCTTTAATGTTCATTTGAATGATCTGGAGAGCAAGACAGTTTTTGCATGATCTCCCAGAAGACAAAGAGTTTTCTTTGTAATACGCAACAGGTCAGCTGGAAATATTACTCCTAAATTGTACTGAAAATGATATATATACAGACTAAGAATATCTTTTTGGTTTGTTATTGGGTTGTCATGTGCACAACTAGTGACTTTTAATCCAGCCATTACTGTTTAGTTTGGAAGTGCTGACCAAATATTTCGTTACCAGGAAATCTGAAGGAAAGTGTTACCATATGGTGGGTTTCTGCATGATGTTTCAGGAGTTTCTACTCCTAGGAGTCGCTCTGTTTCTGTCTGTAGTGTTCGTAGAAGTTACTCTGTAGCTTGTGTTCCCTTGTTTTCTTTCACAACCTATCCACAAAGTGCATTATCTTATTACAAATGGATTTGACAAATGGAAATCAGGCCTGGACTTGGCATTTCCAAAGACCTTGACGTGCACTAATTCAAGAACATTTTTAGGGTGATCTGAGGAAAAAAAGGCCATGGTTTATATTCCTGTCATTGATGAGTTTAATGAACATTTAAGGAGTGTTTACCTGTGTTATACCGCTTAGAAATACATGTATCAAGAGCTTGAAGCCTATGGTAAGTCTGCCAGTATGATACATATGTACACCCACACATATGTGGGTGAATGCCTGAGGTGGTTAGATTCCAAAAGAGTAACAAATGTTTTTTCTCTTTGCAGTTGTTTGTCCTCCGGGCAGTCATTTCCAGAACGATGAATGCATTCCCTGTCCTCTTGGCTACTATCAGCATCAGACAGGACGTTCCTCATGTATAAAGTGTCCCGTGGACAAAACTACCGAGTCCTATGGGGCATTCAGCGCAGATCACTGTGAGTTGAACTCATTTCTTCCCTTATCCTTTGTATTCTCTCTTTGAACAAGTCATGGGGTTTTTTTTTTCATCTGTAAGTTTAAAAAAAAAAAAAATAACCTCCCTCTGAGTTTTTTTGGATGGACATAATCTCTTCTGGATACATTCAAATAGATTTTTCCAGGACAGAAAAAACTGTCTGGTGTCTTGACCAAATATGCATGAGAAATGAGTGGTCAGTCTCATCCAGGACGTTGTGGTTCCTTGAGACGTGTTCATTGGCCTCAGGAATGATATCTGGGTATTCAGTATCAGTGGGAAATAGCTTACGTAGTTCACTCATTGTCACTTTCATGAACACTAAAGTAGTCTTGTCTCTGTGCAGCTCTTTCACTTGCAAATACAAATTCTTCTCACAAAACAATTATCAATATATTCACAAAAGTTGGCGTATTCAGTTTAAATGACTTATTTTTGCACGCAGTTCCATAAAGAAAATCACTTAAGTCCAAATTCCATTTCATCTGCAGCATTAGCTCATGCATACAAAGAAAAATGGGTAGTAAGAGTGGGTTTTTTGGGAGCATCGGTGGGTATAGCGATGCTTTGTTCTGTTTCAACCTGTTTCTTTTCTTAGGTGGGATAAAATAAACAGGTTCATTTTAATGCACCCTGATATCAATTAGCTTTTGCTTAAAGAAGAGGTTAGATTGAGATGTCATTCTTCATTTCCACCTGTGTTCCTGGTGTAGGTTTTGGACTCCTGTGCTTGAGAGTTTGCTCCTTAGGTTTTCTTTACTGCACTTCTTGTTTTCTTTATTGCAAGTGCCTGCAACTAAACCTGCTCCCTGCCTGGTCTCTGCCTCACCTGAGTCTGAGTGTCAGCTCTTTCCAAAGGGCCATGTTGTACCCATTTAGCTTTCTTCTTCCTCTCTTCTTCTGTCTCTCTCCCTCTCTTTTTCAGCTGTCTCCTTACAAAATCTGAAGAGTTTGCTGAATTAACTGCCAGATAAAAAAAGGAAAATATTGACTTCTAAGCACAGCACAAGAAAATTGGAAGGTTGAAGCCTTCTCTGTGCTGCTTACCCTGTTTTCCTCCCAGCGGTTGTGCCTCTGTGGCAAGGATGACTGCGGCACGAGAAGCGTTTCCTACACTACCTTAGCTCCTGGCTTGGTGCATTGAATTGAAACAATGCTGAGGCTGCCACATTTTGATATGTCAGACTAAACTCTGGTCGTTTCTTTGTACATAAACAAGCCTCGCTTGCTTCAGCAGCATCTCAGAAGGAGGGCATCAAGGTGGTTAACCTGTCAGGCTTAGTCCACTTGGGATTCTCTGCTGCTGCCTTTAATGTTCGTAAATTTTCCAGATTTCTTTCTCTGTGGAGCCCAAACACCTGTTTTCTACAGACTTCTAAATCATTAAAAATGTTAAGCAGTTGGGAAAAATGCTGCTAATTAAAATCAAAGCTTTTCATTCTTTGAGAATAGAGTGCAAATATCTTTTCTTTCCCACTGAAAGGGAGAATTTAAAAAAGGTGGAAGTGTAACAAATAACAAATTCATGTGATGACTCTTGTACCTTGGTTCATAACATTTCATGGATCCGTTGCAGTAGGCAGTGAACAAGCCTGTAGGAAAATACAGTTACTCCTCTGCACTTCTCTGCTTTACAGTTTTTGGCATAAATGAGAGCTGATCCATGGCAGAGAATCCTAAATATGTTTGGAATATGAATTGCAGTAAAAACAAAGCAGTGAAACTACCATGTTTCAGAGCATGAAACACAGTGCAAATTATAGATTAATATTCAGTTAATATTTTCCTACCCCATTGACAGGACTGGAGGCAATGGACACAAATTGAAACACAGGAGATTACCTCTGAACATCACAGAATCACAGAATGGTAGGGGTTGGAGGGACCTCTGGGGATCATCTAGTCCAAACCCACTGCCAAAGCAGGGTCACCTACAGCAGGCTGCACAGGACCTTGTCCAGGCGGGTCTTAAATATCTCCAGAGAGGGAAAATCCAGACCCTCCCTGGGCAGCCTGTTCCAGTGCTCTGTCACCCTGAGAGTGAAGAAGTTCTTCCTCATGTTCAGATGGAACTTCCTATGCTTCAGTTTGTGCCCGTTGCCCCTTGTCCTGTCACTGGGCACCACTGAAAAGAGCTTGGCCCCATCCTCTTGACACCCACCCTTCAGATATTTATTAGGTCCCTTGTCAGCCTTCTCTTCTTCAGGCTAAACAAGCCCAGCTCCCTCAGCCTTTCCTCGTAGGAAAGATGCTCCAGTCCCCTCACCACCCTTGTAGCCCTCCACTGAACTCTCTCCAGTAGCTCCTCATCTTTCTTGAAGTGGGGAGCCCAGAACTGGATGCAGTACTCCAGATGGGACCTCACTAGGACAGAGTAGAGGGGAAGGAGAACCTCCCTCGACCTGCTGGCTACACTCTTCTTCATGCACCCCAGGATCCCGTTAGCCTTCTTGGCAGCCAGGGCACACTGCTGGCTCATGGTTAACCTGTCATCCACCAAGACACCCAGGTCCCTCTCCACAGAGCTGCTCTCCAGCAGGCCAGCCTCAAGCCTGTACTGGTGCATGGAGTTGTTCCTCCCCAGGTGCAGGACCCTGCACTTGCCTTTGTTGAACTTCATCAGGTTGCTCTGCGCCCAACTCTCCAGCCTATCCAGGTCACGCTGAATGGCAGCACAGCCTTTGGGTGTAACCACCACTCCTCCCAGTTTTGTGTCATCAGCAAACTTGCTGAGGGTACATTCTAACTCTTCATCCAGGTCATTGATGAAGAAGTTGAACAAGACTGGGTCAAGTTCTGACCCCTGGGGGACACCACTAGTTACAAGCCTCCAACTAGACTCAGCACCACTGATGATAACCCTCTGAGTTCTGCCATTCAGCCAGTTCTCAATCCACCTCACTGACCACTCATCTAGCCCATACTTCCTGAACTTCCCTAGGAGGATGTTATGGGAGATAGCATCAAAAGTCTTTCTGAAGTCAAGGTAGACCACATCCACTGCTCTCCCTTCATCTACCCAGCCAGTCATGCTATTGTAGAAAGCTATCAGATTGGTCAATCATGATTTCTGCTTGGTGAATCCATGTTGACTACTCCTGATAACCTTTTCTTCCACTTGCTTAATGATGACCTCCAGAATGAGCTGCTCCATCACCTTTCCCAGGATGGAGGTGAGGCTGACCGGCCTGTAGTTCCCTGGGCCCTCCTTCTTGCTCTTTTTGAAGACTGGAGTGACATTTGCTTTTCTCCAGTCCCCGGGCACCTCTCCTGTCCCCCAGGACCTTTCAAAGATGATAGAGTGGCTCAGCAATGACATCTGCCAGCTCCCTCAGCACTCGTGGGTGCATTCCATCGGGCCCCATGGACTTGTGGGTGTCCAGATTGTTTAAATGATCTCTGACACCATCCTCCTCGACCAAGGGAAAGTATTCCTTTCTCCAGGCTTCCTTTCTCACCTGCAGGGCCTGGGATTCCTGAGGGCCGGTCTTAGCACTAAAGACTGAAGCAATGAAGGCATTCAGTAACTCTGCCTTCTCTGCATCGTCCATCACCAGGACACCCACCTTGTTTAGCAGCCGCCCCACATTTTTTCCCTAGTCTTCCATTTGCTGCTGATGTAGTTGAAGAAGCCCTTCTTGTTGTCCTTGACATCCCTTGCCAGCTTCAATTCCAGGTGGACCTTGGCCTTCCTCGTTGCATCCCTGCAAAACACTTTTTTACTGTGTGGGTGACTGAGCACTGGCGCAGGTTCCCCAGGGACGTTTTGGAGTCTCCAACCTTGGAGATGTTCAAAAGTTGTCTGGATATGGTCCTGGACAACCAGCTGTAGGTGGCGCTGCTTGAGCAGGGGGGTAGGACCAGATGACCTCCAAAGGTCCCTTGCAACCAGAACCACTCTGTGAAACCCAGTGACAGCATTATCAAAGTACCTTTTTTTTGTTTCTTGTTTATTTGTAACAGGTGTCACATACTGTCAAAGCAATGAGCAGCGTCTGCAGTGTGATGAAGATGGCCAGTATAGACCTTCCCAGCAAGACCCTGACACTAAGAAATACTTCTGCATCAGTAGCTTTGGAGCAGCACTGGACTGGACTGAAACAGATGATCTCCTTACAGATTACCAGTGCCTAGGTAAATTTCAGAAGAATATTTTGGATATGTTGTGACCCTGAATAAGTGAAACTTCCCTATGAAAAGACTTACCACTCCACAGCTGGCTTGCCAGCTTATCGAGATTCACTTTCCCATAGTCGTGGCTTCTGACTTAAGCTGCGTTCCTCCTTAACTCTGTGTTTCTTAACTACATTTGGGAAGTCATTTGCTCTAAGGGAAGAGAGAGAAGAAAGTTTCTTGCAGTCTTTGATAGCTGACAGCTTTTTGATGTACACTGATCCTGCTCTCTGCTTGGAAACCCAAAAGAATAACAAGAGGGCTAAGGGGAAAGAAACAGAAATTATTAATTTCCTTGTAAAATTATCACTCATTGGTGTATTCATGTGAAATAGACTGTGTTTGACAATGACCTCACAGCCATGTCGTAACGTCACCCTCTGGGCTCCTACTGTACTGTATCTAAGTTGGTGAGCATACCTTTGCAAGATGGGGGAACTTACGTCTGCTGGAATACAGTTGTGAAATAGCAGTTCTCAAGGATGAATAATTTGAAAAAGTAATTAACCATGATATTTCTAGAAATTATTTAAATGCATTTACGGAATTAGTACTTCAGTGCTCATCTTCTGGGTGTGCCCTTGGAACCGTGGGATTGGGCTTCAGACAAACTGAAGTTAAATAGATGACACAAAGCCAAAAGCCAAAGGTACAAGGTCATCTTTTAAAAGCCCAAAGAAAGAGCAGTACAAAATAAGAACAATACAAAATAAAAGCTTCAGCAAGCTGGGTCTATTACACGTAAGCATAAGTTACTATGCTTCAGAGATGCTACTGAAGCATCACAGAAGTCATTCATCTGTCGCCAAACTGCCTGCAGTAAAGCCTAATTACATTTCTCAGCCCCAAAGCTCTTGCCTTGCCCAGAAATAGTTCTCCAGAAGTTTTTATTACTCATCATATGATTGGTATCGAATTTAATGGAATATTCAGTTTAGAAACTGATGTCATGGTGTGCTCTGAATTAGACAATGTCTTATGACAAGTGTGATCAGTGGAAGGAGTGTGAAATGAAAGCCCTGAGTTGTGAAGAGGTTGCAAAACTGTCTTCAGTCAAAATAGCTATTTTTTGCTCTGACTGTACTCAGAGATGGTAGTTATGAACACGAGGTTTTAGCCTCTGTTGCTCTCAGTCGCGGGGTAATTGGGATGCTTCTCTGGGCAGAGGACTCACGGAAGCTTAATTCTCCTGTTACTTACTTACCTTGAGCCCTGCTGCACAGGCACTTCTGACTTTGTCCAGGACAGAGCAGTTGTAGATACCTGTGCATATTTCTGCGGATCGTGCCAGAAGATTTCACTGCAAATAAATAGCTATAAGTGTTGACAATTTAAGCTTTAAAAAAAAACAACAACAAGAAATACCCAAGAAGTCTGGTTGCTTTTTTTTTTTCCAATAATTTCTAGGCTAGTTTAATTTAATTTAATTTTTTTTATAGATCATAGTGCATTTCCAGAAAGTGTTATAGAATGTGAAACTGATTATCTCTATTTTTACTTCTTACCCTGCCCCTCTACTTCCTTTAACTAAATTCAGCAACAAGACAGCAGGGCCTGAAGACTGATCTTGCTTTAACAGGAGGCTGGCGAACGGGCAGGGTCAATAAATAACCCAACTGTTCTTTATTTTTTGGGGCTGCAGTAGGAGGAAGAATTTCCTTTTACGAATGCACGGTAATAACTGCAGCAATCTGTACTTGTTCTTATTGTTCTTCTCTCTCATTATATCTTAAGCCACATTTAACATTTATTACAATAACAGGGATGGGATCTAGAACTTTACACTCTAGTAAAGTGAGATGGAGGAGAGCTTGTGCTATGGACTAAGCCTGTGAAATGGTTGAGTAGTTACATTACTATTGAGAAGAGGGCAATATGTACTAACAAGTGCTTGAAAATGTGACCTGGTAATATTTTTCATTGTACTTTTTTTTTTTTTTAACAAAGTAGCTTCAGTAACGCAATTTTTTTTCCTTAATATTACAAAAGAAAATTCAAGAATTAAAAAGAGGCAGCTTTTCTATTAAGTTTACAATGTTTTCAGTTTAATGTTTTGTTACACTTTCTGTCTCTTCTCTACTTTCCTCCCATATTATTGCAGAGAAAATGGAGAGGTGGGAAGAAGCCAGAATTAACAAAAAAAAAAAATCAGAAGAAAACAATTTAAAAATGTCATTTTTTACTTTGAATTTTGCTTTACAAATGAGGTCAGAAAGCAATTACAAACAAAGTAAGAACACTGCTGCTTTTCAGTTTTATGAAAATAAGTGAATTCTGTTTTTAACTAGGCATCCCTGCAAGTTGCAGGTGTAGCAGGAATTCAGTTTAGTGCAGTATTAAGCTAATGCTTATATTTTTGTGTTCTGTATTTCTAGGAAGGAAAAATCTTCCACCTCTGTTTACACCATCATTCATCCCTCTCCCCAGCCAAGCCAGAGTGCAAGGATTTTTTTTGTGTTAAGTGTTTGGCTGGCCATCATGTTTTTTCTGGGCAGAAATAACAGTTTTATCAAAAGCATCTGCTGACTCAGGCCTGACAACAGTGGACATTTGCTTCTGATTTAATCCTGTCTGTTTTGCTGTAAGAGTACAAATGATTGTTTTAAGAACTTATCCCTGACTTTTATTTTGTGGTTTATCCAGACTTTCCAGGGTGAGGGGACTGGGATGCTCCTGCTGGATCTCCGCGCCCATGTGTACAAGGGAGGGGAGGTTTGAGCCTCCAGCTTTTCCACACGCAGACATCTCCCATGGGCTGAGAACAGACCAGGGCTCCTGCTTCTTAGCTCTTTTGGGTCTCGGCCAGGCGTTGGCTGCAATGATCCAGAGTTTTGCACTCATCGGGGGCATTTAGAGGACAAGTCTGGTCAACACAAGGGTGATGTTAAGTCTCCTTGTTCTTCCCTTCTCCTTAATATACTGTGCTCCCTGAAATATATTGGTATATCAACTGATGGACATGCTGTACCAAAATACCTTTGTAATACAGCTAGTAGGAACCTGAGCAGGGTAGTGATGGTTCCACCAGACTATAATCTTCAGGGCACAGCCAGGCCCAAACCTTCTGGAACTTAAATCGGATTCCTTTCCCCACTTAGCGACCTTTGGGTTTTGCATCTCTAGACCCCATGAGCTTTTCCCAGTTTGTCACCAGTGCTGCTTGTCACACTTCCTCACGTTCAGGTGCAGTGGGTCAAAATCAGAGAGAGTAGATAAAAGGGTTTGGGAAGAAAAGTGACAGTCTGGTGTTAAAGGTTGAATAAAGGAGTAAAAAAGGAGCATGCAGGACATACTATCTTGGATAGATCCCGGAGCCTGAAGTCAGTGGAGATCAGACTGTTGTGCTCCTGTAAACAAATGACAAGGCTCCTAGATTTCCTTTCTAGCCAAGTTCTGTTGGAGATGGCATTTGTTCCAGTGGCTGTTTTGCAGAAAGTTGGTTCCCCCGCTGACTCAATAGTTGGTTCTGTGCCATGAACAAGTAATGGGAGATGGCCAGTCTGCTGCTGGAAGAGAAGTCTCACTTGAATATAAACTCCCAGCCCGTTCCTGGCTAAATGTTTTTGAAAAGATCTTGTGACACATTTTTATTCTTGAATTTTTATTTCTGCCTAAAGTCTGTCTCTCTGCAGCATAGGAACTAATAATAGTACCTGGTTCGTTGTTTTGTTTGTTTGTTTTAGTGCTCAGAAAATTTGAGAGAGTTCCTGCCTCCAGACTGATTTATGGATCAGAAGAAGCTCAGATTCTGGAGTCTCAGTCATTTGGGGGAGACCTGGAAAGTCCATCTTTTCAGTGCATTTCAGGTGAGGAAAATTCTCAGACAATCTGTAAAGACAACACTTACCCATCACAGAAAATTATGTGATGAGCTTATAGTTAAGTTCCTAGATGAACTGCAAGATATTTACAACTTTCAATGACCTTGTTTCAGGGAAGAGATTGGTCTTTCTTCCAGAAAGAAGTCTTCTGACTTTGCATACCACTTCAGACAAGTCATCAGACTTTAAAGCCAGTTGGTATACTTTGCCATATGGATGGGAGCTGAGATTCAGACCAGGGAATTCAGACTTTTCAGATGTGCAGACAAAAGAAGGATTAGGTGTTCAGGACATGTGAAAATCAAGTTTTCACCTCTGCCCAAATTACCTGACTGGCACGTAAAAGAGGAATAATCATCCTTGCTTAGGTCAGAAGGATATTGTAAGGAGTGCAGAGATATTCCTGTGCTGATCCTTACAGTGTATATGCTATAATTACATCTGGATACCTCATGTTTGCTGGTTTATATTGATTCAAAGTCATCTAAAACCAAGGGGGATTACTGCACTGCTTGCAGGGTGCTTTGAATCAGTGCCTTGCCTTGTGTCTCCTAATGCCTGGATTTGTGAAGGGAGGTAGTGTGGGCTACGTTCAAAATGAAAACACCCTGGCAGCAGTAACACAGCTGGCCTGTTTTTAGAGTAGACATCACCGAAGTCTGACAAAGTCAGTGGCTTTGTCTGACATAACCTGGTCTAGCTGGAACAGTCATCTTATGCTAAGAGGTGAATCCATGAAGCCTTATGCGTGTCACTGGAATTGTGATTTTCCTGCACCACTAGCTGTACACTGCAAGGTTTGTTGCACCTTTCTCTGAAACTGGAGACTCTCAGAATAAAGCGTTGAGCCAAAAGGACCATGGGAATGAGGTTAGGGAAGAGAAGATGCCCCTTTGACAAGCAATCTGATTCAGTGTGCGTAGCCTGTGTTCTCCCTAGAAGTTACATCCACTGTCAAATGGCAGCGCTACTGCAAAATATTACTGCTGAGGTGCTCACTGAAAATTAAGGGTTAACCCTTCACTCTGCTTCCCAACAAAGTCAGACAGCTTAGCTTACATTGATGATGATGTTTTGTTCTAAGCTGATTGATTGATTTTATACTAAAGACATTTGGAAACTTTGAACCACTTTGCCAGCACATCACATCTGCATGATACAGTAACTCCATGGCAAACAGGCTGTGACAAATATTGGAGTGATAGGAAGGAGGGAAATATCAAATTTTTTCAGTCATACCATCTGCCTCTGCAGCAATCACCTGGCCAGTGCAAAGGAGCAAACACCCATCCCCCTCCAGATTTAGGAATGGCTGAAGATGCTTCTGCCCTTGCACACGCAGCACTAACTTGCTCTCACAGCTCTGCCCCAGAACAGGAGGTGAAGTTTTGCCTCAGGCAAAGTTATGCAGCAGACATTAAATATTTGGGTGGGTGGTTAGACCTAATTCAACTGTTTTTATCATCAGGTGGTGAATGTCCAAACACCTTTTTGCATTACTTTAAGTTAATTTAAATACCTATCCCCCTACTAAAATAGTGGAATACTAAAGTTCATCTAGCTAATGAAATTCATGTGTTTTCAGTCTGACAGAGATATGAAAAACTAGGTAAATAGCAGTAAACAGTGGAATTTCTAGCAGAAATTTTGCACGTGAAATGCTAGGAAACCTAAGGTTTCTTTTTTGTTTTTCAGGCTGTGAGAGCGAAGAAGCATGCGGTTTTGCCACTGTAACTCCTGTTGGTGCTGAAATGGTGTGTGAATTGTACAGTGCTGCTGAGGTCAACTTCAACTGCACCACCTCTGGTTTGGTAAAAATGATCATGTTTAAATATATGTGTTTATCATAATACTGTAACTTCAATGTAAGTAGAAGGCTTCAGAGAAGAAAGGCAGGCTGTTGCCTGACTCCTTGAACATTGCTCTTCACTATGGCAGTAAAAAATTCATGCAGGTTGCTAAAAAAGCTACACACAAGTGTTCCCAGAACTGACTTCAGAATACCTCAGTCTTTGGATGAAATATTACACAGCGCTTTTGTTCTTAAAACACACTGAGCTCCCACAGACTGGGTATCGGGTTAGCCTGAAAGGGGAATTCAGCTGGATAGTCCAAACTGGAAGTATCCACGTGGGTCATCACGTCACCTGAAACAGCTGTCATTTCTCAGTCCCTTCCTCTGGTCCAGGGTTTGAATCATGTACTCTTTAGCAGTGTAACAGCTCCCTATTCCCTACTTTTAAACATAGAAAAGTGGCACTGAGGAGTCGAGATCTCAGTTTGATGGAATAAAATAATAACTGCATGGAGCTGTGGCGATTATAAATCGTGCGTGCTAATTTCTCCACGTGACTTTCTGAATAAGGAAAATGTGTTTTAGGAGATGAAATCAGTTAGGTTGTATTTATTGTGCATGCCTGTTTTCTGTCTCAGGTGCAAGGTGTTTTGGGGAACCCGGCAGCCACTGGCATTGGTCGTCTCACCTGCCTGCTTCATGTCAGGAATCCAGAGGCAGATTCAGTGATGGTCTATTTGAAGACAGGTACCAGAAGCAAATCACTCATGTTAGACTGCTGGGCCCAGACTTGTACTTCTATGTAGGATCATGACTAAATGCAGGGGAGCATCTTTGTTCAAGAAGGTGTAATACATTTTGGAGCTGATAGCCAAGGAACCTCAGCAAATCATCCCTTCATGTCTTGTTCCCTAGAAATTAGGAATATATCTCTTGTAAGCCGTTGTGATAGCTGATAGTCTCACAAAAGCTCAAATTTTATCTAATATGTTATTCTGTATTCTATTCTGTTCTGTTATATTGTGATTTCTCTTTATTAAACAGTTTGTTGTTTGACTATGTAAGGCATTATTAATAACCATCTTGTACATAACTTCACAGTTTATGTTAATTTTGACTGTAAATTGTCCTACCAATATACCAGCTGAGGAATACCCTGCTCTCCAGTGAATCCTAAAGTAGTTCAACTGATCTAATGAATGTATAAGACACATGTTTTTGGCCAAAGTGTGATTGATACCCCTGCACGTCCCATCCAATGTGTGTCCAACTTTAAGCCTCATGCCAAATTTGAAACAAGGCAACCAGATGTAGAACGCTGCAGGGTTTGAGTCAAAACTCTCTGCTGTCACTTCTTTCTTTTTACTTCTATCCAAACGTTTGAGTCACCATTTAATAATAATAATAAAAGAGCTTAGTCTCACCTGAATAAAGACCCCTGAGGTTGTTGCAAAGTACTCTTGTTGATACCAGATCTACTCTGGATTGCTGTTGATATTGCTGATTAGATCCAGGATTATGTGAGTCATGTCCTCTTACATATGTGTGTAGTCAGCAGAAGCCTTAGTTGCAGATGCAGTTACGCTGGCCAAATTACACATTTTACTTTTTTAACGAGAAATTTGTTTCATTTATACCTGGTAGTTATTAATGTAGCAGAATGTTACCAACCATACTGTGTACTTCGATTTAGCAGCCTTTAGCTGGTACACCGGGCTGTTTCCTACCCTGGCAGTACATTCTGACCAACTGCCTAGGTGTAATTGCACCAAACCCTCTGGCGATCTCATCTTGCATTTGAACCTGAAAGTCCGGTAAAAGACTTTTAAATCTGAGTTTTTATCATGAAAGTTTCAACCACCTCCAGTCTGCAGGCAATCCAAAAGCATCCCATCTCTTTCTGAGCTCTTTTGAACATTTCTTTCCTGTTCTGTCTACCTAGGACAAGAATTTAACTCATCTGGACTCAAGACCTTTGAAAGGACCAGTTTTCAGAATGTGCTTTCTGGCGTGTATCACTCCATGGTGCTCTCTGCAGCCAGCGCATCTCTGACTGACGCTCAGCTCTTCTGTCGGCAGACTTGCAGCAGGGACTCTTGCTGTGACGGCTTCATCTTGAGTCAGATTGCTCTTGATGGAGGTATTGTCTAACTGCAAAATAAAAAAAATCTGCAGTAGAATACCAACATTGACTGGGTAGAACCCATTTTTGGACAGAGTACACCTGCCTCTACATCATATCAGGGTTTCAGCAGCCTACCTCTACACCACTGACATTTTTGGGTGTAGGCAGAATTTGAGTAATGCCCAAGACTTGGCCTGGAGAAATAGAGACCTGAGATGGAAAGCTGATCTTGGAGACAAACAGTCATTTGGAAAGGATAATTCTTTTGACTTGCTTTAGACATCTGTATCCGATGGGATAAATCATTCTGAAACAGCCTCTCTCCTTGCATAATGCAGCTCGGTTGCCAGAAGTTGGTGCCTTTCAGCTGATGGGGGAATTAAGACCATGCCTCTAGAGTGCTTGTAGTGCGAGCGTAAAGCAACTCCCTTTCTGGAGGAGGGAGAGAGGATGCTAAACAGGGCATTATGTTATGTTATTGCATGCAGGAATGGTATAATCTCCTAAATCAGAGTGTCTAGCTAGGAGAACAGGTGGGATTGGGATGGACGGAGTCTGGCAGAGGTGGGACCTAGGCAGAGCCCAGATTTCTGCCAACAAATTTAAGCACTTTATGTCAGTGCCTGCTTTTTGCAGTTTTCACGCTCACATGGGATCAACTTTCCCACTGGAGGTGCATTTCCTGTGGGAAATGTGAAGTTTTAACTGAAAATATCTCAAGTTTTTACAGACAGGGTCTTAGAAATCCAGGTATGTGCAACTGGCTGCTACGTGGCAAGCACTTCTCCAGTTTTGAGTGGAAATGGATCCTGGATTTGAGAAAACTTTCTCTGTGGGAGTTCTTAAGCAGATGTTTCCAGGAAATTATTTTCTGTTTTGGCATCTCCAGTGTTTTTACATCAAAGTATTCTAGGTGACCTTGTAAAGTCCATTTCTCTGAATGTTTACCATCAAATTTTTTTATTCTCCATACTTGTGAGTGTAGAAGCAGCTGTGGAGAAGATTAATGTTGTAAAGTCCTCTGTTTATTTTAGGTGGCCTATTTGGATCAATAATAGCAGCAAATATATTATTTTGACTAGCATTTTGTTTAAAAAAAAAAAAGAAAAAAGAAAACTAGCACATTCAATTTCTCATGTACACGGTCCATAAAAAAAAAAATAAAATCAATCAGAGTGGTCATTATAAGACCATAGAAATGCCTGAGCCATGACAACAAGTACAAAGCAAAAGCTGAGTATTGTGTAGGTGTTGTGGCAAGAGACTGACACCAGAAAACCTGGTCTTAAGTGTGCTGGTTCCCCAGCTCACAGCATGATGGTAGGGGAGACTCAGGCCTGGGCTGACTAAAATCAGGCACCAATCCAGGAAACCATCCCAGTAAAAATATAAGTGCTTTCTTGGTTCAGAGCCTCAGATTGTGAGATTGCCAAAGGATTGAATATGTCTCCATGATGCTATAAAGTGCTGAGAACACGGTTGGGTATTATCAGATAATAGTAATATTTTATTAGGTGGTAATAACATGTGCTTGAAATCTCTGAAAAGCAGGCTACAAATGTTTGTTTTAGGTATGAATAGCTGACCTTAGTTCTCCCCTTTGGACGTATGGCTCTGATTTTTTTTTTTTTTTTTTTGTTTAGCCCTAGTAAAGTGTATCTATCCCAGTGACACAGGTTCAAGCGGCATTTAGAGAAAGTACTGGGATGCTTCGGTGAAAAGCCCTGTGTAGGTGTATAGCAGCTCTCTCTTTGCCTGAACCTAGGTACCATTTTGTGTGGTTTGATGAGCTACCCAGACGTGCTGATCTGCAATGCAAATGACTGGAGTCCAACACCAACCTCTGTCATAGATGGGATATGTAAAGGTGTGAGCTATGATGAGAAAGAGACGTTTTCCTTCACCCTGGGGGAACAAGTGTTCGGTGGAAGTATGTCAACGAATTATCTCAATTTACATTACTTTTTTCTAATTATTCTATAGAATCTGCCTTTTCACCAGCCTGATGTGGTACTTCAGTGCTTTTTCTCAAGTAAATCCATTTCTGTACAATCAAAAGAGAATAAGAACTCCCTAACTGGATGCATTGTTAAATAGACGGACATCTCACACTTTACTTTGTGAACATTAATTAAAGTCAAGAATATGCTGGTTTTAGTATGTTACCCTGTAATACTTCTAATATTTAATTTGGGCAGATTCAAGCCAATAATCTGAAATAAAGGTAAATTCTGAAGCAAATGCAAAAAGATATATGCCCAGAGCTGCACAGATAAAATAGTGATGAAAAATAAAGTAAATCCTTGACACCCTGGATCCAGACTGGCACCAGGACACCAGGGTTCTTTTTCCTTAGGGTCTTCTCTTGTAAATAAGTTGATGCATAGTCTAGTGATGTGTTTTTAAGGCATTTCAATATATTGAGCATTTCAAAACTACCTGTTTAATTTGAGCAGCTATACTAACAAAGTTTTTTCTTTATTAGCTTCTGAGTTGGCAGAAGAGGCAGAAAGAAATTTTACTACCTTTCAGCAAGTTTATTTGTGGAGAGGTGAGTTATGCCACAGAAGTTGTTATAAAAGCTTGGGATGAACTGTAGGCAGTGACTGATGTTTGTTCTACAACAGAAGTGTCATTCTCACTTTATTTTGTACCGTCCAAATTGAGACACTGCTCAGAAGTCTTTTCTGGCAGGGGAGGATGTAATTTAGAGTAATTCTACTACTGTCAGTTTCGTGAAATTTGGGTAAATTCTTGTCTCTTAGAATATGCTTTATAACTTTTAACACCTGGTATCATGGAGACACTTGGCTTTGTCCCATCAGTGTCCAGATACCATAATAATTTGTCACAGGTTATTTTTATTAGCATGATAACCATGTATGTGTTGTTTTTGCAATTTTACTTTCTGAATGCCTCAACTTACTGAGCAGGACCTGCACAAACGATTTGTGATACGGCTTTGAACAGGACACAGCGTCCAGAGCACTGATGCTGAATGCATAGTGACAGTGGATAGGACATGTGCTTTTGTCCTCAAAACAGCACGTTTTGGTTGGGTTTTTTCCTATAGAGTTATACGTAGATGGTCTTAGTCCTTTGTGATTCATCAGTTGGTGGAACTACCTCAGGAGTTTCCTGAATGCTGAACTTTATAATGTTTGCTAAATTTAGGGAACTAAATGATGACCCTGTCTTGTGGATGAACGGTAAATGGAATTTCTGTACTCTTTCATTCCAGGCTCTGATATGATCACCCGGACTAAAACCTCTGCATGCGATGCTACTGCTTTGAAGGCAGAGAATGATCTAACGTTATCAGGTATTATAGTACGGGTGGACAGAGGGGGCAGCAGAAGGGGGTGCAGATTTTAACCAGAAAGTATCATACATTGCCATATATATATTGTAATGACGTAGGTACTGTGAAGTCCACAGGAGTTCTTTTAGGTAGAGAATACGATACAGGTTTTGAGAGAGGTGTTAAAAATGTGAGATTCCTGGAAGGCCCTCCTGTCTTTCTTTTTTTTTACATTCCCAGGCCAGGCTGGAAATGATAGTGTTAAAATGTTCTGTGAAAACTTGTTCTTTCATATTTACTGAACTGTAAAGACCTCAGAAATATTATGTGGCTGAGATAAAATTTTGCTTAAATCCAGGAATCAAATCCTTAGCCTGGGTGCCTGGGCATATTTGCTGTTACTGACAACATGACTGTAAATATGAAGCTCAGAGGAACTCAGGATGAAACTACAGTCACAAGTGTTTCTTCCATGTGTGATCAAAGTGAGGGACCTCTGAAGTTCTCTAGCTCCTTTGTTATTCCAGGGTCTGCTCTTCAGACTAACTCATTTATATGTCCACAATAATTTGTATTAAATTACTAGATTTCCTTTGGGCCTTCAGCATTATAATCCTAAGAGAAAGAGAGCAGTGGAGCCTGTTAAGAGCACTTTGGTTCATCTCTAATGAACTGTAATCTTTGATGAGGAGCCTTGATGAATACCTGAGCATGTGGTTTCATAGGTGTCAGATCCTAACACAAACGGAGTTGCTGCTTTTGTTTATCTAATATGAGTGGAAGGTAAACTAAAATGCCCATTTTTCTAGTGGCACTCCTATATAATTAGTCATATCAAAGTCTAGACTTAAAAATAAGAAAAAAACCTACATTTAATACATGGGTGAAATTCTCTTGTATTTACCTGCCAAGGTGTGAGTGCAGCCCTCAGGGTTCTCTATTTACCTTGCTGCAGCTGATGATATCATTAAAACCTCAAGTTATGCAAGGAATGCAGCTTCTTCCTCCATCCCTTAGTCTTAGCCATGACACAAACTGTTTTAAGAGAAATGGAAGGTTGAAGTTAGGACGTGAGATATAATGAGACTTATGAGTCACCTTTTTAAAAAAGTTATGGGTACATCTGTGAAAATGTCTGCAGAGCTTTTATTACTTGATGATCATCCTTAAAGAACATGGTAACATATTTTTTCTATTTTCTGATAGAAAATTCAAAGCTATTGTGCACTCCCAGCATATTAGTAGGTCCTTCAGCATTTCATCTGCAATCATTAGCATGTCTTTACTTTCCTGTTTTCATTTTTGTCTGGCTGTTTCAGTGCATATAAAAATTAAGTAACAGAATCTCTCACAATGTTGGGGATGAGACCTGCTGATGGCATTTGATAAATAAAATGGTGTTTGGGAAGAAATTTGTAAGAGATCAGTGAAGAGTATCCACTTCTTTCAATATTTTACTTGGACCCTTATTTAAAGGCATTAATTTGGAAACAGCTTGAAAAAGCTGTGATTGGTTCAGAGCGAGCTCAGGAGATATAAAGTGTTGTATACATGTCTAAAGATCACAGGCAGGTGGCAGATAGGAATTATTTAATGTGGTCTGTGGGAGCAACTAAAAGAAATAAGGTTAAGTGACTGAAATAAATATTAAGCTGTTGAATTTTAACACTGAGAGGTGTAAAAGCATCCTAAGAGTATACAAGGAAGTTGCTGTACTTTGGAGTAAGCAAACTAGATTTGTCAGGGTATTATGAACATCCTCTGAGGGATCATACTGCACTGTTAGGCAGATGTGTTGCGTGACAGAGTAGAGAGAAACTGCTTATTTCTAGGAGCTGTGATTTTCATCTGGGTTTTGGGTGGTTGAAATAGTCTGGCAATGCAGTGTTGTGCAGTACGGCTCAGCGAGGAGGCATTGCCTACACAGGCATCAAGAACGGTGGATGGACAGTTCTGTTATTACAAGGAGTCTTTGGTGTGTGCTAGCCCTACAAAACAGTTGCAGCTGTTTTACTGTGAGAGGCAGAATTTTATATATAAATAAACTGATTTTATTCCAGCTCATAATTAAGTTTTTGTGTGTTTGAGCAGTTTGTTTGTTTGTTCGAATCTCAGATTCCACGAAGGATCTTTTCTACCTAATGGACAACAGCCGGATACAAAGTGACCAGGACTATTCTCTCCCATACCAGCAGTACTGGATCTTTAGGCAAAAGTACTCAGCAGAGGAAGCTGTGCTTTGGTGTCTCACACGTAAGACATCTAGGAGACTGTTATTCTGTAGGGAATAACAATTATTCTGTATCTTTTAATAAGTATTATAATAATGATTAGTAAAACCTGTGGACTTAGAGATTTTTCAGGGTAAAAACAAAAAAATTTCTTTGAAGTTGCTAATGGGGCCACCAGTTTCTTCCTTACAATCTTTGTCTACTGTGGCAGAAAGGGTACCCATCATTCTCCATCAGGGCATCCCTGTTATGGGCAAGAGAAGTAGAAGATACAGCTTAGGCAATACTCTGCTGTTATTGAAATGTAACCCTCCAAATACATAGATGACGTAGTGGCCAAAGGAGAAAGTAAAATTCAGATATTTAGGGTTAATGATAAAGTATATTTTGATGTGATAAATAGAGAAGAGTTTCTAGCTCGGACTACCAGGAAGGCAGAAGCAAGAGTACTGAACAGTGCACAACATCACTGTCAGAAACTGGTTGAGCTATGCCTGTTTAAAATTGACATTAAGCATTGACATATATATTTACTGAAGCCATTCTCACAGTAATTATAAGAAATGCATTTGACAGCTTTGTTTGTTTTCTCAATGTATATTGTTACCCTGGGGCAAGTTTTGGTGCAAATCGCCACAAGCAAATGCCTGAAGGGTTGATTCTGGAAAAGCTATTTATATTTTTGTGTAACACATGAACACTTCAGAAATATTTTTTGCAAAAACTTTCTAAGACATTGTAGAAAATACTTGATTTTATTGTCCTTTTTATTTTTTAAAGTAAGAGACCTACAACTAATGCAGAGTTATTTTATACACATTTTGTTTGTGAAGTTTGCTAAAAAGCAAGAGAGAGATCTTTATGAATCACAGTGTTAGAGTGACGCCAGTACACTAGGCTAATGCTTGTCACAGCTGGGGAACATATCTTTCCAATTAGCTGTGGTGTAGCTCCTTTTCTGTGCTCTCCAGGTAAACCTGCTCTTCTGTCTCCCTAGAAACAGAATCTGTCCCTGTTTCCCTTGAACCATAATAGCATAATCTCGACGTTGTCACTTTGAGCTGTTTGCTGATGGGAGCTCTAAGTGTGCTGAAGTCATAAAGAGGAATAGAGAGAGGAAGAAGCCCTTGTGTGTATGTAACTGTGGGTGGTTTTGCTTCCCAGGTTGTGCACAAGAAGATGAGTTTTGTCGAATGGCAGATCTTCAAAACGCCACAGACATATACTTTGTGTGCACCCTCTATCCAGAGGCACAGATTTGTGATGGCAGCATCAATCAAATACCGGAAAACTGTCGAACCGTGCTACCCCGACAAACACAGACATTGTATCATAAAATAGGCAAGTTTTGGGATTTGGATGTATAATGTGTGCTCTAACCCTGATAATGCAAGCTAGTGTTTTGGCCCTTGATTCTGAGATAAAATGTCTGAGTGTATGAATGAATCCTGGGATGTGATGGGGCAAGAGGTTAGGCTGTTCTGAATATGTTTTTTCATTTTTAGTTCAGAATCGAAAGACGTTAACCAGGATTTCCACTCTCCACCTCAGTTATTCCCAATTCAGAGAGGCCAGGGGTAGCTCAGATAACTTGTATATGAGGTCTTAGATCTTTTTATAATGTGAGTGAAGTGGGAATGTCATTGGGACGTTGTCGATCTCATTTTCAACATAAAAATTTTTATGGTAGTTAAGCAATGCAAAAATCGAAAGTCGTTGATTGTAATTTTTTTTTTTTTTAACAAATCCAGAGTTATAGACATGTGGATTTTAACCTCTGCTCTTTGAATGCTTGGGAAGTCCAATGATATTCTTATAGGGCTCGTGTGGATGCTGGACAAACGAGCCTGTCATCACTGTACAGGAACCTATGCTTTTCCTGTGAAAAATGTAGTGGTCCACTGAACTAAACTATTAATTTGTGTCTTTTGGGGGAGCTGGAAGTGCAGCACAAGTTGACTAATACATGAGTACGCTGGAGTCTTCCAGTCTGGAGTTGTTCTCCGGTTTTTGGACCTTGAGGAAGAAGTAATGTCAGTACAGGTCTCAGAAACAGAAGCCCTGTGTTGGAAGTGTTTCCCCAGTGATGTACTTTACTAAGTTTTTAGAGCTTTGCTGTTGGATTTCTCTTCATTTTCAGGCTTAACCATCAAAAGTTTACAGTAATGGTGTAAAAATTACCTTTTGATGGATCAAGACCGTAGTAGCACAGAAACATAAACTTTACCCTTTCTGTGTGATTACTTGTTCAGTGTATGTAAATTGCAATGTTAAGCTGATTTTTCCAATTATATTTTTCTTTTTGCTTCCAGTCACTCTAAAAAGCTCTGTGAAGAGCTTCTACACACGTGTACCATTCAAGAAAGTAACTGGGATCTCAGTGAGGAATAAGACTGACATGAGCCAAAAAGCTGTTTCAGATGGGTAGGGCATAACTATTCCTTTTCTTTTTTTTACTGCAAGTATAATCATGCCTGGAATACCAAGGCCCTGTTATGCACATGAAGGGGGTCAGATGTGTTGATCCAAAAAAAGCATTATTTGAGAATACTTAACAAGGGAAAAAAAGCATAAGATTTAAAGGAAAAGTATAATTGTGTTGAAAATAATATATATAAATAATAATTATATATATGTGAATTATTACTTATACTGCTATTAAATTGCTGGTTGGCCAGTTAAATCTCTTGGCAATAATACACCAAATTAGTGTAAGCTGATATTTTTAGGGCAGATATCAAAATTCTAATCAAAATTATTAGATGTAGTTTGGTAGATGTACACTGGTAGAACATAATTTCATCTACAAATGGAAAATGTATGGAAGTGTCTATACAGTATGAAGAACAATGAGATGTTCTTATCACAAAAGGCATCTCTGCAGGTTCTCAGTGTCTATCCCCTGTGCAGTATCTGCTCTTTCCTTCTCCATGGCGGAGACAGATTACTACTGGCAATAAAAGTAATGATGTTTTTCCTTTCCTAGCTTTTTTGAGTGTGAGCGTCGGTGTGATGCTGACCCCTGTTGCATGGGATTTAGCTTTTTTAATGACTCCCAACTACCAGGTATTTTTACACTATTTTTGTTTTTAAAACCATTTCAATCTTCCTTCATTATTACAAATGTTACCATTCTTTTGCTGTGAAGGGCACTTCAAAAGCCCTTGCAGAGCTTATGTGACTCTGTTTAGCACCTTTTTGAGTAATCATAGCCATTTCTAGGAGTGTAGCCCAATGACATGCTTCATATCTCAGAAATTATTGAGAAAACTTCATGAGAATGAGTCATTAAGAGGGTCCAGTCACAACAGCATGAAATTAAAAACTGATAAAACTCCAGGGAACTGTTACTTCTCATTTGTCAACCTCTCTTCCAAAATGCGGGTTGACTTCTTTTTGTGATTTTTTTTTTGGTTTTTGTTTGTTTGTTTCATGTTTTAAAGCCTAAGGGACTTAGATGCCTAAATATTACTGAAATTAAATGCACGTTAAGCGCTCAATGTCAGTGGATACTTCGGGGCAGCTTAGCCTTTTGGCTTTCTTGGATGTCTGAACTTCTCTGCTCCAAAATTTTAGTCTTCTGCTTGAGAAGATTGGTTGGGAGTAGATGTTGCCTATCTTCTCCTCTTTAGCATTTTAGCTACATAAGACATCTTAAGTAGCATTTTCTGTTAGTCAGAGGAAATCAGATCTTTAAAAGTATGCATGACTTGAAAGCCATTAGAGTTAAACAGAGATATTTTACTCACCTGACGTGGCTAAGTTAAAGGGTGTTGTCACCCTGTGTTCCCTCTATAGCCAGCAGATGTAGAGATGCAACTTAGGGTCATTAAGAGCTTTGGTTGACTGAATCCTGTTCTGGAGAAACTTCTCTTTCTCTCCACTGGCTCTAAAGGAAGTGCTCTGTCTAAAAGAAAGTCTTTAGCAGGTGTTTAAAATTGAATGCCATCCAGGTCAATGAAATAATTTTTAATATTTTATTGCAAATTCAGATTTAGGCCACTAAAATGGCCAGCCTTGTTTTCAGAAGTGTCATCTGCTAATCAACTCTCCCTGAGGTCATTAGGATGTGCTGGTTTTATAATTCATTTGAGAATTTGGAATTCTTCATAAATATATAGTTTTAATTCCCTGTTTTTGTTGAGCAGACATAATTTTCACTCAGTCAAAAATTAGTAGCTTGGAAAATGAATCCAATGTAGTTTAGATTGGAATTAACTGCGCAAATCAAAAATAGTTGACAGTTTTCATACCTCCATGTGACTATGTGAAATCTGAAGTCTTAACTGAATATGTCTTTAACTTTCTTTAAACAGTTCTAAAATAAATTAAGGATTTTAAAGCATGGAACATGCAAAACTGACAGCTCTTATTTTATCTGATTTATATTTATTATCTGTGGCATTTCAGACATCCTGTCCTGGCATTCACATAGTCAAGAGAACTTTCAGTAGTGATTTTTACATGAGCTAGGAAAAATCTTCAATGAAATTGCTAGCTGTGTTTTAAACCCTCTGTCTTTTTCAGGTACAAAATTATTCAAGTCTTTGAAAGGCAGGATTTTTATCTTGATGCAAGTAGGGTCTGTGTTTCAATGTACATGCAGATTTTTAATTTCCAGGATTGCATTAACCAGAAAGGGCTGCTTGCTCAAAGAAGAGGTCCTGAGCTTTGCTCAGTGGAAATAGTCCTGGTGACCTTAATGGTATATAATGGTTATAATCCACGTTCCTTCACATTGAATTCATTGTGATTTTTCAACACTGTTTTCAATAAAAGTGTTGACTTGTCCCATTTTAGGTATTTCCCTCCTTTGATTTCTAAGCCAGTGAAGTTCCTTTTAACACTCAGTGGAACTGCTTTCCTCAAAGTACTATCTAGAAGAGGAAAGTTTTCCTCATTGTTTCTATAGCCATGTATTTCCCTGGCAGGTGGAAAGATTTTGTGCCTGACTCTGAACAGCCTAGGAATCCAGACATGTGCTGAGGAAGCAAGAAGTTCTTGGCAAGTTTCAAATTGTAGTTCACCAGACACTGAAGTCAGAATCCACCCGTTTGGCTGGTATGAAAAGCCTGGTAAGTGATGCAGGGCACGTGGCTTTTCTGACTGGTTTCTGCACATTGAAGCTTATTATTCAGCTTCAGTGTGTAGAAGCTTCAGCTTTCAGATGGAGGACCCATTTGCAAGGATTACAAATAGACAAGGCAGACAAGTATGTGCAAGGGAAAGAAAGGTGCAATTCAATCTCCATTTTAATAGAAAATGAATAGAAATACCTCAAAAAGAGATAATTTAATTTCTTAGATTTTATGGGAGACTGGTGGCCAATGTTGGAATCCAAATGTGTTTTGTCCCACTGCACAGTTGTGGTCAGGACATCATTGTTTGTTTCTCACTGCTTGGATTATGGTTTAACAGTGTGCGTTGTTGCATAACTTCAAAAGGTTTGGTTTTGTTATGGAATTTAAAATTCACTTTTGGCTGTTTTGATAAAGAAAGGGCCAAGACCAAATTCCAAGGTAGCACTGTGTTCTTCAAGCACTAAGAAGCCATCATGTGTTTAAACAGAAGTTCCGAGAAGTTAGGTTGTTCCCTCCAGAGAAATCAAAACCAGATCTAGTCAAAGTGAATTTTCTTCTCCATTGCAAAACAAAAGACTTCGTTACATTTCAGTGGATTTGGCATTTGTCACATTCCTCAAGAGTGGCTCTAGTTCTACTTTGTTAAGCTTTGATTTAATGTAACTGAAAAAATAATGCCAATAAACACCTGTCTGACTGCATCCCCCTGGCTGGGAGGATAGCCTGTTATTGAGTTTAAATGAGCACGACCTTGTTGAACTCCACTGAAAGCAGTGAGGTCCCAAGTCTGGCAATGTTGACAGAATAAGGGGAAAAAAGTTGAATAAGGAGTAATTTTTCCTGCTTTTAAACTCCCTCAGATCTTACAGAGTAGAGAAGGACTGTTACTGGAGTGGAAAGGGGTGGCATGAACTGTAGATATAGGGAGGGACTTCTCACAAAGTGTGTAGTGATAGGACAAAGGGAAACAGCTCTAAACTAAAAGAGGGCAAATTTAGATTAGACATTAGGAAGAAATTCTTTGCTCTGAAGATGGTGAGGCAATGGAACAGGTTGCCCAGAGAAGCTGTGGCTGCCCCCTCCCTGGCAGTGTTCAAAGCCAGGCTGGATGGAGCTCTGAGCAACCTGGTCTAGTGGAAGGTGTCCCTGGTCATGGCAGGGGCTTGGAACCACATGATCTTTAAGGTCCCTTCCAACCCTTACCATTCTGTGATTCTATGATATATACTGTTCAGTGCATGTGATATAAATCAAGTATCCTGGCAATACACTGCATTTTACAGTGTTGGTAAACTTAAAGAAAACCCTCATTCACACCAGAGTGTCTGAAATACAAACTTGATCCTGAGCTTTTCCAAGTCCCATGCTGGCACTGTGTCCACTAGACCATTCATTTCCTCCCCCACTGGGGTAACCCTTGTTAAAGATGAGGCACAACATGGGGTTGAGGAGGCACCACGGAAGCTTGTAGGGTTTCCCAGATCCTCAGTGTGGGCTTGGAGAGAGATAAACTGGGGGTGAGATGACAGTGACATTTCCTTATGTAGTTCGGAAGCTTCAGATATGTTTCCACCATAACACACAGCAAGGCGCAGATGTTTATGCAAATGGAGATATTTGCAGACAAAAATTTGTATCAGTTGTGCTGGTGTGTTGGGGGTCTGGGAACCAGGAAGAGGAACAAGAAAGCTCTGAGGCTAAAAGGGAAAATGAGTGAAATCTGACGGAGGAATTTACCGTCGGCAGTGGGATGTAAGCACAAAGCAGGGTCTTTGGTTTTAGTCCACAGTCTTGCTGTAGCAAGGTACTTGTGTCTCCGCGTGTTAGAATACGTTGATGTGTGAGCTGTTTGCCCGCATGGCTCCACCCATTAGCAATTTGACTTTGTATGTGTAGTCTTGGTTGCAGCTCAAGTCAATGAGGAACATACAGTAGCATTTTAAAGAGAGCTCTGGATAACCCCAATTATTCACTCCTGTCAAGGTGAATGGTAAAACTCCTGAGTTTTTAGAAATATCTATTGATTACATGCATGAGCAGTACAAAGTGGAAAAAGCAAACAGAAAATGTCATCCATCTTCAGCTTCTGTAGTGATGGTAATTTATTTTGCCTTAGAAGAGAATTTATAACCGATTAGATTAGCTGAAGTGTTTGACAAAATATGAATGCACAGGGGAAACTTCTTGTTTATTGTTTAAAATGACAAAAAGTTTAACAGAAATATTAGCAAATTAGAAGTTTCATGTGTGGAAAATATGAATGATTATTTTAATTTTAATTTTGAAAGTTTCCTGCTGAAACTGATTTTTTCCTAATTCTTGTTCTAAGAAATTCCAGTTTCCTTATCAGGAAGCCAAGAAAATCTCGTGTCTCTTGTGATGTAGAAAATCAAATACAGAGAGGGGCGTGGAAAAAATCACAGAACTACTGAAAGGAGTTGTTCATAACTAACTGCACTTTGAAAAGAGTTTGTGGGACTGTTTATAAATACAGAAATTCAGGGTTTCATGTATGAGCTCAAAAGGGTTAGATAATGAAGCAGCGTCGCATCCTTACTCTTGGTGTTTGTGGTGAGAAGTTGCAACACTTATTTCTCAGAAGTAATACTGAAAATATGGAGGTGTTGATTATATTTTAACCTTCAAGTGTAACAGTTTTAAAATGTTTTGTTTTTTTCTGCTTTTAGCTGACTTGAAGAACACTGTGCCTAACCTGTGTCCACCTCTTAGTTTACCTCTCAGCCCAGGAAGTGGTAAGTGTATTCATGTATTAAGCGAAAAAAAAAAGAAACATCCTCTGTTTTGTGTGTATTGCTAAAAGATCACACTATAATGAAATGGTTGTGTTCCTTGTGAGTTTAGTCATTCAGGTGTTTATTCGTTTTTATTAAGTATGTATCATTTAAACGGAACAATTGTTATCATCCACAATGCTGGCCTAATATCTCTCAAACTCACTTTCACAAGACGTCACTGACGCAAAATACTTGGCAGGATAGATGATGAAATTTATTGCTGATAATTGTGGATGTCACATCACGTTCGATGGATATAACTTCATATTTTAGTGCAGTGACCAATGAAGGAAAGCTCTGGCAAAGGTAGCCTCATGAAAAGCTGTTTGTTAATTTACTGCTCACTGTTGTGGGGTTTCTAGCACCTTGCTTGTAGCATCTGGTGCCTGCCAGGATGGCAAGGGATGTCAGATTAGACAAATCACCAGCAGTTTCTGCCAGTACTGCTGAATGCAAGGAATGACACTGAGTTTTCAAATAGATACAAGCGATTGCAACAGAGATGCAAAATGAAATTCAGCAAACCTAGTTTTCCCCAGAAAACAGGATGATGAAAGGGAGAAATCCTCCAGAAATTAATGGATATTTATGTTGCTTTGTAATGGGTGGTACAGAAGAATGATAAACTGTACTGCCTTTAGTCCTTGTTAGTGGTTTCTTGCAAGGGTGGGAATACAATCTCAAAGATTATTCAGAACCGGATAACAAGAAATGTAGTATCTGAGGTGTGTGTTGGCCCCACTTCTGAAGAGATGTTGTGACTTGCTATGGCACCTTCTTTTTTGTATCAGGAAATTTTTTGAGCCTTGCAGTAGGTTAATCTTATGGTACTCATGTTATTTTAAAAGTGGGTGCATCCTCTTAATAAATGAAACTTAACTGCTGTCTTTCAGGGTTTTGTGTTTATTGCCCCCTAAAAATATATGCAAGTTGTCAACAGCTACAGGCTTCCCTGATGTGTCCTTTCCAGAAATACACAGCATATCTGCTAAATGCTGCGTGTAACGGAAAGGAAGCAGGTTGACTAGTCATTAGATAACTCAATTTAACCCTCAGGTTAGACTGAAATTGAGAAGTCTTGTCCGTCTCTGCCCTTGATTATCAGTTTGACCTCAGCAAATTTGTTAATCTGTTTGTGTCTGTCTTTTCTTAAACCACATGCAGCTGGGCTTGCAGAAGATGGTTAATATTCAGTAAGGAGTTCAGAATTTATTACTAACCATTTCATCGTCATACGTATGAGTAGTAGTCATGATCACGTTCAGACAAATTGTATTACTAGTAGAATCTGTGCTTTTATGATGGTCATTTTAATGTAATAGAAGGAAAACACCTAACTTTAAAGGTAAGCAGAAAAAATTTTTGTGCGAAATGCTGGAAGGAGCTAGTGGGGTCACATGTAGACCGGGCAATTCAACTCCTTTGCAAAGTGTTTTTCCCATGGCATGAAGAAAACTCCTTTACTAAAGCTTTCTTCCTCCCAGTGTGCAGCTTTGTGGTAATTTTGTCATTTTCCTTTTATATTTTCTTGCTTTCTTAAATCTAGGAAAATAGTAACCTAAGCAGCACTATAAGGAAATTAGGCCTTTCTATCTGTCTTTTGGTTTTTACTCTAAAGACTGCCCAAAACTCAGCCACGGCAAGTGAGGTGCTCACCTTACCCTCAGTGACAATCTTGATCTGTCACACCTATTTCCAGGTCATCTTTCCAAATGCAGAGCAACTACGTATGTCTCTGGTTTGCCAAGGTCTGGTTAACCATCTGGGTGAGCAGAGCCTCCCATGAAAGGGCAGGATTCTGCACTGGAGTTGTTATCCTGAGTACAGCAGTCAGGAGAAGTCACTGAATTACAAAGAGCACAACTCATCTGGACATCAAATTAGTACTAGCGTCCTGTATTCTTTGGGTCTTTCACTCCAGCGTGTGTAGCAATGCATTCAAAATGCAACTGGGCACAATCTGTCCTTCTTATATTCTGCCTCATTTTGATACTAAAAGTACCAGCCTGGTTATTTAGGTCAGGTTGTTATCTCTGTCACGTTGTCAGAGCTTCTGGAAAAATTTCAAAAACGTTGTTTCCAAATTCTTTATGATTGTATTTTTTATATTAATATAAGCTATGGAAAATTAATGGATTTAGATTCGGGCATCATAGAAAAGCTAGCAGTGACTGAATTTGCTACATTGTGGCATTGCTTGTACGTGGGAAAAAAAAGTAATACTGTGACTCCTGTGTGGTAACCAGACGATGAGTGTGAGAAAATGTCACTATTTGAAGGGCACTGTTGCGTGTGTATATATGGGTGTGTGTGCATGTAAGCACATATATATTAAAAAAAAAATATAAAACTTTCCATCGGAAGATCAGAAAGATTGACTTGAATACTTTGCCAGAAGGCTCTGTGAAACAGTAAAGTTAACGTCATGTCCAGTCTCGAGTCTGAGTTTACTGTAGCACAATTAAGGCCTAAATTTTAATAGACAGTTAATGAATATGACTGTCTCCTTTTCTAGGTAGCCAGTTAGCAATGCTCAGAACAGAGTGCCCAGCACTTCACTTCCCTTCCTTTGCAGTTAGGGTGCTGACTCCCTTCCAAGTCCGCGGTGTTTCCAGTCCCAACACGTTGTGAAGAAACCCAGATCAGCAAACCTATTTTCAGCCTTGTGGGAAGTAGGTGCTTTTCTTGTTCTACTCCTCTTTCTTCTTGATAGAGAGGGTAAAGACACATAGGACCATAGAACAATGGAAAAAGCCTCCAAAGGAAGGGTTTCACAAGTACGTGGACAGCAAAAGAAAGAGTAGGGAAGATGTGGGTCTGCTGCTGAATGGGGCAGGATACTTGGTGGTAATGGATATGGAACAGGCTGAGGTTCTTAGTGCTTTCTTCACCTCAGTCTTTACTGGTAAGTCCAGCTGTCAGACCCTTGAGACCAGGGGGAAAGACTGCAGCAAGGAAGACTTATCCTCAGTGGAGGAGGATGAGGTTAGGGAGCAAGCTGGACATACAAATCCATGGGGCCTGATGGGATGCACCCACAAGTGCAGAGGGAGCTGGTTAATGTCATTCTGAGGCCACTCTCAATTACCTTTGAAAGGCCATGGTGATGGTGGATTTTCTTGAGTCTGGAAGGAAAGAAAATGTCACCTCCGTCTTCAAGAAGGAAGATCCAGGGATCTATAGGCTAGTCAGCTTCATCTTGATCCTTGGAAAGGTAATAGAGCAACTGATTCTGGAAATCGTTTCCAGACATGTTAAGAGCAAGAAGGTGACTGGGAGTAATCAGCATGGATTTATGAAGAGGAAAAACATGCCTTACCAAGCAGATAGTCTTCTACAAACAGGTGACTAAGTGGATGAGGGGAGAGCCGTGGATGTTGTTTATTTTGACTTTAGAAAGGCTGCTGGTGCTGTTTCACATAACATCCTCACAGAAACAGTTGAAGGAAGGTCTAGATAAATCAACAGTGAGGTGGACTAAATGCTGGCTGAACTGCTGGGCACGGGCTTGCAATCCAACTGGGTGCCAGTCACTGGTGTACTCCCAGGACTGATACTGGAAATAATACTCTTTAACATCTCGAGTAGCAACCTGGGTGATGCAACAGAGTGCACTTACAGCGAGTTTGCAGATGACAGAAGGTTGGGAGGAGTGGTTGACAGGCCAGATGGGTGTGCTGCCATTCAGTGGGACCTCAACAGGCTGGAGAAATGGGCAGACTTACATCTTGGATCAAGCTGTCTTCCATCAAGTTGTTTTTTAGTTCTGCCTGAAAACTGGCTAGGACCTTCATCTAGCAATAGCATGGAGAGGCTGTTTTAACATTTAGCCTTCTGAGAAATGTCTTCTCTCTTGTGCTCACACATACTTCAGCTTTTCTTGTTCAAACTAATAAAACTATTGGCTCCTTTACTGTCTTTCCTTCGGTGGTCTGGAGAGCAAGATTTGCAAGCTGAGGGAACATCTTACATTAGCTAGTTTATGTAGTTGTAAGAAGGTGCATTTTGAGGAATGTGGGACATCCCACAGGAGCCCAGGTTGTTAAATACCAGCTTCTCGATCTTTACACTTATAGAAGGATGTCACTTCAGATTTGAGCATCTCTGAAGAATCAGTGGAATTCTTCTGCCATGGAGATGTCAAAGTGCTATTCTTTAATTAAAAAAATAACACAAAACCACAACACAAACAAACCTGTCAAGATTCTCCATTTTCTCCCTGAGTAAGCTGGAGAACACTCTTTAAAAAATTTTATTTTGTATCCCTGTGATTCCTCCTGACATCCTGAGCCTCCTGTTTGCTTTCTCCAGGTTACTCTCCCTACAAGCAGCACTGCTAGGCATTTCTAACACTCATTATATGTCCCCTTAATCTGAAAAAAAGGGGAATTAAGTGCTCCACTGCTGTCTGGCAGAATAGAGGTGAGCTGCACACTGTCCTCGGTGACTTTTACCTGAATTCTTGTTGCTTTGCTGTTGCTTCAACATCTTTTGTCTAATTTGTATTCTTGCATTACCCTTTCTGATACAAGGTTAAACTCTCCAAATCCTTTTCATCACTAATCTGTAGTCCATTTACCTGAATGGGTGGGTTTCGTCATTAACTAAATGAATACTTTTGTTTGTACTTCTATCACATGGAGCAGAGCACACTCCTAGTCTGTTTTGATTTCCACATAGTTTCTGTTATCTGAGAAATAATGCTTGAAAACAAATAACCTAAACAGATCTGGAAAGTCCGACTTGTTAGATTTGGAGCATTTTTTTCCCCTGAAGAAGTTAGTATGCTGTGATGACACTAAATTATGGAACCATCTGTGGCGAGTTTCAGGTATGATCTGTGACCTTTAACGATGGGAGGACAGCTGTTATTTTAAGCATGTTCATGCTGAAAATGCTAATATGGCATGCAGCAGTCTGGGTTTACTTACACTAGTATTTAAATGACAACTCCACTGAGCTATATGAATAGGGAGGAATGTTATGTAAAAGAGAAGATAGTCATGTCTCGTAATTAGGTTTGAGATGGAACTTTCTGCAGCCAGCTGTAAGATACAGGCAGATAAGTGTTTTAAATGAGAAATTATGTATTGATACTTTACGGTTGTAAAATACTGTTATTCAAATGGTTTATGCACAGGGGTTTGAGCTGTGGAGGTTTTAATGTCTTTCCAGTTAAGACTGAAAGAAGTAAAACAATCTATGAAGTGTATTACCTGGCTTTTTAGAAGGAATACTTGTGCTGAAAGCAAACTGGAGAACCTGCAAATATTCCTGTGCATGTGGAAGGGAGGAGTGACACTGGTGTTTAACTTCTGCTTTTGTACTTTTTTATGCAACTTATGAATTCTATACAGTAATTATCCAAACTTTAATGAGCATTTGTGTCTTCAGGTTTCCTAGTTTTAAATAGGATAGGGCTATCTGTCTTAGATTTGTCAGCTGCTAGTAGACAATGGTCCTTAAATGGTGATCTCTGCATGGGACTGCAGATTGTATACAGATCATGTGGGCTCCATTCCCACTCCATCCGTACCAAGTAATTCATTGAGAAACCACCGAGGCGTATGGATGTAATGATCTGTTAGACCCTTCCTGGTTCTGCCTCCTGTGATCCTCTAGTGATTTATAGGCATTCCCTCAATGAAGGACTGAGCAGTGGCTATGGGATTTTCCAACGCGAGAATAAATTTCCCATCGGGCTATCTCAGCACATGGTGTGTTTCCATTCTCAACAGACATGCCAATGGTAGTACAGGTGCTGGTGTAGCTGACACAGAGGATTAATAGTATCATTTGCCTTCCTGCTTTCCCACAGTGCTGAGGACACGCCAGAGAGATCTTTGGTGTGAAACAAAGATAGCCTTTTTTTATCCATCCTTGGGAAATGATCTGCCATGCCCCCATACAGCATATTGGACCTCTGGTGTAGAATTACTCTATCTTTGGTCTTAAATCCAGTTTTTATTCTGTTTGTAAACACGAGGATTTTAGTCTTTTGAAAACAGCTTATTTTAAACCTGGATAAATATCTGGTACAATTTTTTATATCCTGCTACTGTGCCATTTACTATAATTGGCACTACTGGAGGAGGCAGAAAGTTTGCATTTAACACCAGCACAGCAAGATTGCTCACTGCTAAAGGCCATAAATAACAATTTGTTAGTTTGTGACCTGTTTGTCTGAGGTGTGATTATAGCCATTATGCACCTGTTTTAAGAAAATGACTCATTTTGAATTATTCAGATCTCAGTCAACAGACAAAAATGAGAAACAGCTATATTTTCAAAAGACTATATTCTTCGCAGGTCCACTCAGAGTTGATTTGCTGGTTTTGGAGATTGTTGGTGTACAGACACATTAGCAGTCTTCGCTGGGAAAAAAACTCTGAGTGCTAGGAGTATTAAGCACCGAGTTCAGTCTGTGATGAGTCAGGGCTATAAAATATGGTTCACAAATTTCAGAATTAAGAGCAGAATTTGTCTTTCAAACATGAATTAGGCATACTGGACCCTGATTTAGGCATCTCCTTAACCTCATGTTAACCTCATCTGATTTGTGTACCTCTTCAGTTTTCTCACAAATTTAAATTGTTGTTTTATTGCACTTCTGGATCTCTGTTTCCATATATCAAATGTCAAATTTTCCATCAAACTCAGAATTGACCCCTCTTTGCTTCCACTGAAGTCAGTGATGAAACTTTTGTTGACTTTATGAAAAGGATTTTATAATGCCATTGCCTATAAAAGTGGGAGGCTGAACTTTGTGCCCCCAGGAAATCTAATCCAGTCTTGTGATCCTACGACTTAAGCTGGAACAGAGAAATGCCAGTGTGAGTCCTTTTGCAAATCCAGTCTTAAACCTTGCCTACCCAAACAAGAACATCTGGAAGAGAGAGACTCTCTATATGGGACATCTATAATTTCGCAATAAAAGTTACAGGGCTGGCTGGATTCAGAGTGCTGTAATTATCCAATCAAAGCATTTGCCAAAATGTGGTTTGGTAGGTCAGAGCCTAACCTATATATAAACCAGGAATGTCTTCCAGCCCATCAGGTGCACTATGAAATTTCAGTAAAGCAGTTCCAGTTTGTAGCTGTGTGCCTTGTGAGTGCAGTTTCTAGACGGGGTATGTTTAGATCAGCCGTGGAAAGTTCTGTTTTGCCCACATAATCAAGTGGGTGTGCATGGCTGCAGGCATTGCTGGATCCGCTGCCAGGAGAAGAGAAGAAGGAAACAACTGATAGCCAAAATCTCATTCTTTCTCAGCTAACTGCTGGCTGGCAATGTTCACAGTGGTGCCATAGGCAGCTCTCAGTTAAAAGGTTTTGCTCTGCCACTAAAATAAACATTAGAGTTTCCACATTTATGTGCATCTGGGGTCAGCTAGGCAGAAGATTGGAAAGGGAGAACATTGCAAGTCTCAATACATGAATCTGATCTGTAATTATGAATGTGTCATCCAGGACTGAGAATGACAAGAAAGAAAAAATAAAAAGACCCACAAACCAACCCAAAAAAACCCCTTGTGGATAGTGGGAGGTTGCAAGGGTCACTTCTGTGAGATTTGGGGCAAAGAATAAGCAAAATAAAATGTGTTTTAGGTATATATGTATGATCTGTGGATGTTTGCATCTTGAATAGTTACTCTCCTGTGCCTAGAATGGACTGCGAAGTGCCCGTTGTGTTTATGTGTATTTAAAATGGATGCTATTAACTTCACTCTGTCCCACATAAAGGGATAAAATAAAAATCTTTTAATATAGAAGTAGGAATCTAAGCTTGAGATTAAATAAAGAACACATTACATGTACCCACTAATGGCAGTGTGCATTCACAAGCTTAATTTGAGTACCTTCAAAAGATTTTAATTACAGTAAGCTAGTAAACCTCAGGCAAAGAGGTACAGGAGGCCAAATTCAAGTGTCAGGGGTGTAAATCCAAGGAATTTCTTTTGCTTTTGTGGAAGTGTTTTGAATTTATTTCCTAAGAGAGTAAAATTTAGCTTAGTAAGAATGCTTCTGAATGTTTGACCTGTGGGCAAATGGAGGCATATGAGGATTGTGAGACTTGCCCTAGGTCACTTGATAGTCAGGGAAGCTATGGGAAAAGAGTCAGTCTGGTGAAATTATTTTCCAAAACCACTGATGCACCCAGACTTGTTGACTTACAATGGAATCCAGACAAGTCTCTTTTTTGAAAGAACCGCAGCTAGTAATTTGAAGCTTTGTGTCTGAACCTGGAGAGACTACTTGTTCCAGTAGCAGGACCTCAGTTGTTAGTACTATAGACAGTGCAAGATGGCAACATTACTCTTCTGTAAAAACATAGTTTAAGTCGTATTGATAACAAAAAATCTTTCTTGTTCATGTTTTCAGAAAAAAAAATTAAGAAGTAATTGAAAGCACAAACCAACAAGATACAATCTGGAAAAGTAAGACTTGGAGAGAATGCAGTGGTTAATTCCTCATCACTTACAGCGTTGCTTTCTATTTTTAAGTATCTTTCTAAATAAATGCCACAAACTGTCACCCTAGATGTAGAAGCTGAAATTTTCTAACACAGGTCATATTAGATGGCTTTAAAATAGAGAAACTATTGATAATATGAAAAGTAATAATTTCCATATGACTAAAATCACTGGTTCCTGTAAAACAATTGAATAGTCAGGGCTTAAGGGGAAGAAAAAAGTTAAGTGCAGTAGGTCTGTTGCACAAGTCGAGCTGTGACTGCAAGGTCATTGCTCCCTTACTAGTTCAGATTCCCTCTGAATGTAGTGCTGATGATGACTTCACTACTCCATGATGTCAAGTGGTCTTTAACATATGACACAAAATTTACCTTTATTTCTACTTATCTGGAGACTTTCAACCTCCATTTCTTGGAAAAGTTACCCCCAAATATATCAGGAATAGAATCATCTTGAAGTGGTTGAAAAGGACCCATGGAACCCAGTGCTGCTTTCTTGCCTTGGGTTCACGGGCGTGACTAAGGCTGGGCCTCTTTGGGAACATATACGGACTACAGTAGGTAAGTTCATCGCTCCGTCAGACGATTTCTTCAGCAAGGGTGAGAGCAAAGGAGCTAGCACTAAGCTAACAGCCTCGACAATGATGGTAACACATCAGATTTCTGCAGTTTTTCCTCTGGGACATAATGGTCATAGCTTTTGCATCTGTGTGGTAAATGAACTCCAGCAACAGGGCAAGATCTGCTCACCAGGAATAGCAAGGCAACAGCTGACTCAGCTCTGTCCTTACCCTACAATTACATGGAGAGTGTAATGCCAACCTCCTGTTTAGGATTCGGTGCCCAGAGCAGTGCCCTTTTGCTTTTAAGACATATTTAACTGTTGAAAAGAATTAAAATAATTAAAGGCACATTCTTTCCCAAGCCTTCTTTTTTGATTTCTGTGTCCAAAATTGACAGCCTGCAGATATTTTTATCTGTTTATATATGAGAAAAGAATGTTTGTGGCATGTTTTTAAATCCACTGTAAGACAGAAGAATAATTCTTGCTGAATTCTAGAGTCAGTGGGTGTATGTGTATATATGTGCTCAGAAATGTACATGCGTGTGTGCATGTATGTGTGTGGCTATACAAATTTGTATATAATACACAGGTGTATATATACATATGTACAGATTTGTGTATAAGTGTGTATATACATATGAAATAGAATTAAATCTTAATTATGTAGCAGTTACATAACATTAGAACAGTTCATAGAATTTCATTGAATTCTATCTACGAAATCATATTAAAATGACCAAAATAATCCTTGTAACCTTTAAAAAAAAAGTCTGTTCTTTAGTGAAAATTGCATGTGCTTCTGTGGGAGTTATCAGAAGGTTATCAGGAGTAGTCAGCATGGATTCACCAAGGGGAAGTCATGCCTGACCAATCTGATAGCTTTCTACGATGACATGACTGGCTGGGTAGACGAAGGGAGAGCTGTGGATGTTATCTACCTTGACTTCAGCAAGGCTTTCGACACAGTCTCCCATGATATCCTCCTGGGGAAGCTGAGGAAGTGTGGGCTGGATGAGTGGTCGGTGAAGTGGATAGAGAACTGGCTGAATGGCAGAACTCAGAGGGTTGTCATCAGCGGCGCTGAGTCTAGTTGGAGGCTGGTGACAAGTGGTGTCCCTCAGGGGTCAGTACTGGGCCCAGTCTTGTTTAACTTCTTCATCAACGACCTGGATGAAGAGTTAGAATGTACCCTCAGCAAGTTTGCTGACGACACCAAACGGGGAGGTGTGGTAGACACACCGGAAGGCTGTGCTGCCATTCAGCGTGACCTGGATAGGCTGGAAAGCTGGGCAGAGAGGAACCTGATGAGGTTCAACAAAGGCAAATGCAGGGTCCTGCACCTGGGGAGGAACAACCTCATGCACCAGTACAGGCTTGGGGTGGACCTGCTGGAGAGCAGAGAGGGACCTGGGTGTCCTGGTGGACGACAGGTTAACCATGAGCCAGCAGTGTGCCCTGGCTGCCAAGAAAGCCAATGGGATCCTGGGGTGCATCAAGAAGAGTGTGGCCAGCAGGACAAGGGAGGTTCTCCTTCCCCTCTACACTACCCTGGTGAGGCCTCATCTGGAGTACTGTGTCCAGTTCTGGGCTCCCCAGTTCAAGAAGGATGAAGAGCTACTGGAGAGAGTCCAGCGGAGGGCTACAAGGATGGTGAGGGGACTGGAGCATCTCCACTACGAGGAGAGGTTGAGGGAACTGGGCTTGTTCAGCCTGAAGAAGAGAAGGCTGCGAGGGGACCTTATAAATGCCTACAAATATCTGAAGGGTGGGTGTCAGGAGGATGGGGCCAAGCTCTTTTCAGTGGTGCCCAGTGACAGGACAAGGGGCAATGGGCACAAGGGTTGGACTAGATGACCCACAGAGGTCCCTTCCAACCCCTACTATTCTGTGATTCTGTGATTCTGAGTTTGGTCAATTGCTTGTAAGAGAAATGAAGACTAAATATAACATTTGTGAAAACTGTTGTCTCATTTTCACTTAGTCTCTAAGGTCGGGACTTGGTCTCTGTATGTATCATAGAATGGTTTGGGTTGGAAGGAATTTTATAGATCAGGTAGTTCCAACCCCCCTGCCATGAGCAGGGACACCTTCCACCAGACCAGGTTGCTCAAAACCCCACCCAACCTGGCCTTGGATGTAGATGTGTGCAGGCAACAGAAACATCTCCATTTCAGCTACTTGCGTGAGGGTCTCCGTACACACAACATGGACATCTGGCTCATGTAATTAGTGGATTCCTGAGAGTGATTTGTCTCATTCTAAAGCAGACATCTAAACCAGGATGGAGATACTGTATAGTAAAACTGTCTGTTCCTCCTGATAGTACAGGGAGCCTAGTGTAATTAACTCAGATGCAGATGTCTATCTTCCAGGTGACTGAGGTGAAGCCTACCTTAGGGAACCAGCTTCTGTTTTAGTTACAGAAGTGGATGTCTGCTGACGGTTCCGGGAGTGCTCAGTCACATGCAGGAATCCCCACTTGCTTTCCAAGGTGTTAGTGGCTGCGTGTCCTCGGGAACTTGTGTGCAAGCATTATGACCCATGACCTTTAATGTAATTAGGCCTGTTCAGAAACCTTTTAGTTCAATCAGTTTGATTTACTTGCAAACCTGATTGGAACTGCTCCAGATTTATCTCTTTATTAACTGAATACCTGTGTAACCCTAGTTGTACATGACTTCTGAAAGTGGGACTGGACCATCTAGTCAATCAGAGGCCTCTGAATGTTCTATTTCATTTATTCCCCGTTGATGCAAAGGAAGATGAAAGTCTTTCACTGGGGAAATCTCCAATGCTTTTACCTCTATTATTTTTCCCTGAATTTTTTACTGATTCCTCTAGTTATATTATTTTTTATGATTCATTTTACAGAGTATTCGGATGTATGGCAACGCTTAAATGTGTCCTCTGTTCTCATGGATTCATCCATATTAAACTTCGAAGTTGTGCACGTTAGTAGAGATATATCCAATGACTTCTCCACTGCCAGAGACTTTTGTCTGTTTGGTAAGAAATGATTATTCATAGCTTTACAGAAACTACTGGCTTGTGAGCCTGAAAAAACAAAAGCAGGTTTCCCCCCCATCCCCAGACATACACTGATTTTACATATTTTTAAAGACTACCCCAGTGTTTCTGAATTTAGGAGAAGGCACCTGAAATAGTTTATCTAATGAAAGACATAACAGACATAAAATGCCATACAGTGATTGCATGCTTTTGACACCTCTTGGGTGCAGAGTTCTCTTGGATCTCCAGGCATTGTACAACTTGGAGAATATTGTAGTGGATAATTAGAGGGATGATGTAATTATTTTCTAAAGAACAGTGAAGGGAAGCTCATTGAATGAGATGGTAGAGCCACCTACCATCATCTAACATAATGTGCAGGTGTGGTGTGTGAGGGCAGGTTAACTGAGAGCTGGGATGAAGCAGGGGTTGGGCTGTAGTAACGATAAAAGGAACTCTTTAATCAGTAGCCTGACTAGACAGCAAAGAGTCATTTAACTTCAGGACTGGCAAATCCTTAATGCTGCAGAGTGGTAGAAATCAGGAAAAGTTCCCACCTGCTGCAGAAGATGGTCCTTGGAATGATCCCAATTTTTGCAGTAGATGGTCCTCACCTTATGAGGGCGAGCAGTGTAACGTACTGGGTTTTGCTTTTCGTGTTACTGTTTGAAGGAGCCTTTCTGAAGCAAAAGTTGCTATCTGCCTCTGAGTACAAACTGGGATGAGTGAGAAGGGTCGCTTTTCTTACTCTGAAACCTTTCCCTGGGGCTCCCTGGAGACTGTTTGAATTCAGCTGAGGTCCTCAGTACTTTATTAGAAGACGTTTTCTTCTCCTAAAATCTATGATACCAGGTTTCTTTTGCTGTATTGCTCCATTTTAAAGCCTATATAACCTTTTGTCCTTTGGCTGTTTTGGAGAATGTTCTGGAATTCTGGGGACATTTATGCCCCTTTCTTCTGCTTTAAAGCTACTTTATATCCTTGTTGCTTGACCTGTTGTAAAACCTTTCTTTTAAGCATCTTGTAACAATGTCGTACAAAATACTTTGAGAATACATTTTTACCTGCTCTTTTTCTTCATGTTTCACCTCACAGCTTGTTCAAAGAACCAGTCATGTATGGTGGTTACATTGGAAATCCAGCCTTCGGCAACAAGATGCCTTTTCTACCCCGATACACAGATATGTACACATGGCCTACAAGGGCACAGCTGCCGGGTTTTACTCAGAGAGCCAGCTACGTATGTCTATAGAAGACAAGGTAAGAACAGGTTAAGGTGGCGGAGGAACGAACGCAACTGTGGTGGCCTGTGCGCAATTCTTGTGGATGGAAGAGTGAGGAAATCCTCACCAGACGTAAAGCAATATGCATGTCTTCTAGAAAACTGTCCATTGTTGTTTCAGCGGAATTACAGCCAAGCGGGATGGAACAATGTTCCCAAATACTTTTTATAAAAATGCATGAAATCATAGTGTTACCATCTAGTGTTGAAGCAGATATAATCAAGGAATTCTAATCTATGAAAGTTGTTTTGGGAAGTGCAGAATGGTAAAACCAAACAAAAACCCAGTGATAAAGTCCAGCACCTTCCTTTTCATCTACAAAAGATATTCCTATATGTTCTTCCCTTTAAACTCTAAGAATGATGCAAGGAGTGTTGAAAACCCACTGTCTGTTGAAAATCTTAAGGACCATCTCTGGAGAAAAGAAGCAAACAAAATGAAACAAATAAAAACCCCTAAACCAAAATGAACTAATATTTTAAAGAAGTGAAACTGATTTAAGGAAGAAATAGAAGTTGTGTAGACAGGTAAAAATTCTATTGTTTGGCTATATACTTATTTGTAACTGTAAGTTTTGTTGTTTTTTTCCCTTGACTTTAAAAGAGACTGCTTTCTTTTCATGTATTACTGATTATTTCTTTTATTAGAAGTAATTAGAAACCAGGTAACAATAAGGGGAAAGGGAACGAATATTTCCTTTTCTCTTAACTGAAATTTCTGTGAAGAATTAACAAATTAATGAGAAGGTCTTGGGTTCAAAATCAATGAGAGAAAAAGGGGTTTGCTATTGTCAAGAGCAGCAAAATCAAAGACTGAGACATAAAAGCCAGACTTGTGTGTTTGTATATTTATGTACGGTTTTGGTTTTAGTCATGTGACTTAGAATTTCATTCCTACCTATCAAATACATTGTTTTAGGAGAGAAATAGTATGAGGTATCACTTAGCTCTGTTTTAAACTAAGTCATAGTTGGAAAACTTCTTCTCTGTGTAGATAGCCAATGATGCAGAGAATCCTTAGATAAAAAAGAAAAAAACTTTGGATCAAACTATAACCCTCTAATATTTAATAATTTTCTGCAAGCAAAAAATAAATTCATATAGCAATTATGTTTGATCTAAAATGTAGATACTGGCATAAGTTCTGTGGAAGAATATAGCAATATCCACAATAGAGTGTAAGGCAAGAGATGGTGATGAAGGCCCTCTGGCACCCTACGCTCTTGCGTTCCCTTCTCTGGCATGTAGAAGGCACACATGTGCCTGGCAAAGTTAACACTTGCACTGGTAACGCCCACTTCAAGAACAGCAGCCCCTATACAGGACTGTAGGGGATTTGGACACGAGTTGTGCTTGTTGACTTCTGTTGAAGCTCTTCTGTCTCGCATGGCCTAACAGGTGCTGGAAAGGGGACTGAAGTGCAAGTCTTTCCTCGTGAGAGCCCAAAGCAATGCGCTGTGTGATTATCGTTCCTCTCTCTGACTTGCTATAAACTTTTAAATGTTTAATATTGTGCTTTTTACAGTTGGGGGAGAGGAGGGAGTCTGAAAATCTCTTTTCCTTTTTGTAGAAATGTTCAGATTTATATTCTAATATGATGTTTGATATGGAAGAAGTGTTTGAGTGAGGGTTCGCAAAGTTAAATGTCCGTATCCAGTAGCTAATGTCAAGCATAACATGAAGTATTTTATAGGGAGACAGTAACAGAAATTTATTTATGTTTCATATAAAGAAGTGAATTAGACACTTAACAGTTTCAAATGAAGGTAAATGGGATTAATTTTCATTTCTGAATTGGTATGAACCTGAAAAAGCAAATTATTTTTCCTTTGTTCCCCCTCCCCACAACAGATTTATTTCAGCCCGTTTCTGAATCGGGTTTAACTCCATCTGTGTACACCCCATCCCATGGAGAACTGATTGGTACATCCCAGGTGATCCACATTGGCTCGGAGTGGAGAAATATCAGCCAGTTTCTGGGGATCCCGTATGCTGCGCCTCCCCTTGCAGAGAGACGCTTCAGTCCTCCGGAGCCGTTTGCTTGGGTGGCAACCTGGAATGCTACTGCAGCTCGGTAAGAAACCCCTTTGATCATCTGCAGAAGTGCTTGTTCCATCCAGGGATATGAAAGCAGCTGGAGTGAGGACCACCATATGCATGTCCTTTCTTGCAAAAGAGCCTATAGGATACAGATAAATACAAGTTTGTGACTTTGTTTAGCAAAAAGAATAATTTCTCCATTTATATGTTAATACATGTAAGCACCTCAAGAAAAAAGGCAGATTTGAGTACATTGCTTGAATCTATGCATAACTCTCTGCTGTCAATCTATTTTCACTCTGAGTATTTATACAGGTATTTATAATACTTATACAAATACATTTTGCTCCTGCTGCACCATAAAATTGTAGGGTATTTAAACAAACCGTGGTGCTTTAATGCTGATATAACCAGAAGCTGTGGGCCTCATATAGAAATTCTCTGCCTAGTAGTGTCCAGGAGATCAGGCTGAAGGACCCAGATAGGCTTCTCTGTCCAAAAATGTGAAAAGGCAAATACTTGCTAAATGACTTGGACAAAAGTACAGCAGTTATAAACATTTTAGGTAATTCCTTAAGAGGAAACAAACCCTAGGAACTGTATTAGCAGATCATAGAATCATAGAATGCTTTGGGTTGGAAGGGACCTTTAGAGGTCATCTAGCCCAACCCCTCTGCAGTGAGCAGGGACATCTTCAGCTCGATCAGGCTGCTCAGAGCCTTGAATATTTCCAGGTATGAGGCCTCCACTTCCTCTCTGGGCAACCCATTCCAGTGTTTCACCACCCTCATTGTAAAAAATTTCTTCCACCTATCCAGTCCCAATCTACCCTCCCTTGGTTTAAAACCATTACTCCTTGTGCTGTCACAATAGGCCTTTCTAAAAAGATAGACTAAATTTCTCTTAAGTCCCAGTGTCTAATGATTCCCATTGGCTGGCCCTGGCTCTCCAGGGCTATACAGACATCACCGTCGGTGAATTTTAATTGGAGGCACTCTGTGGACATAGCCTTTGTGTGCATGTGTGTGTTTCACTCAGTCTTACAATGCAAGTCTTAATTTTTTTGCATTGGGGAACCAAAATGACAAACTGTGAATGCGTATTTCTTTACCAAAAAAAAGAGGGTTTGGGTGACACTGCTTAGTGTATCTGTGCTGTGCAACACTTCAGGACAGTGGATTTCTTCTAAAAAAAAAAAATCAAAGCAAATAGAAATGCAACAACAAGAAGAAACAAGATATGAAAGTGGAGTGGTTTTTAATAGGTTCTTTCTCACAGTACGTCCACATAATAGAAAGTAAAGTCCAGAGCACATGACACCCATGTGAGTGAGCCATACTGCACACATACAGAGGAAATTGATAACAAGAGAGCTGGTACCCGATCACTTCCTATCAATAAAAAGCAGACTGTTTCCTGGCACACGTAAGGAGCTGCAAGGAAAAAAATAATGATAGAAACAAGAAACAGGAGACTGAAGATGTGGAACATTCAAAAGGAGAGAGTCTGTTGGAAGGACTCAGTGAACTTTCTGTAGAGGGACTTGCAGAAATCAGGGCTGAGAGCTGAGGTTGAGTGACTTGAGAACTTTCAAGGCAGCTACTATGGAGCTGACGTCTACTGAGATTGTCTGTTGTCCTTCCAGCCACAGCTGTGACGAATTGAGTGAAAAGACGTGCAGCATTGTCTTAGGAAGTTGAAAGAGCATCTGGTCTTTGGTGGTCTCGTCCTTCAGATTGCACCTGAGTTGTGGAGGTGTTAACAGCATAACCACAGTAGCTACTCAGCCTCGTGTACGTTGGAGGGATGTGGTGAAATAGTGGCTTTTTGTTTCCTCGGGTGCACAGTGACGTTAGGTTAGCACACATCCCATCAGCTCTTTGTGTCTGCAGCCACAGCATGGTGTCTGCTAGGACTTTGGTAAGACCCATCTGCCTCTGTGGTCTCTCTTTGAAGACCTGGTGTTGTAATAAGCAACTTGGCTGAGATTTTCAGAGCAATTTAGGGACTTCAGTTAATCTGCTCCTTTGTGCTGAATTCTCAGTAATTCCTTAGGCCAATGAAGAACTTGGTAATTATTTTTTATTATTCATTTAAGGTTAAAAAATGAATTATTTGAGCTTAGCACCATGGAGGTGCACTTGGAGAATCAGAGAGATCTCAGTCTCTGTGTATATAAAAAGTATTGGCAACTATTATTTTTAGTACTCTATACTGATGTTGTGCAATATTTGTACATAAAAAATTCATGTTAGCACAGTGCCATTGCTGGCAGAACACAAATACTTGTTTATCAGCCTAGACCTGATAAAAGACTCAAGGAAAAAATCCCTAACCAAAATAGCCCAAAAAACCTCCTCCAGCTGTTGGTTTCCAGATGCTGGAGGAGCTGTGGACTTGCCTCAGCAGGTGGCAGCCTTTTCCTGGAGTCAGTGCCAGCAGGAGGAGATCCTGGGAGCTGGAGGTGCTGGAAATCTTGATGAGTTGACTGCACGATTAATAGCATTAGACCTGTTGTTCTGGCTGGGTTCCTACCTGGGAATTTGTATTTTTTCTGCCTAAAATGGCTTTAGCAGTTTTAGTTGGAGATGATGTCCTTCTCTACACCAGCGTTGAGAGCTATTGAGTCATATCACCACCCTAGGATCCTTCCTTATGGAAAGATTTTGTAGAATTGCATCAAAGCTGATCCTTTTACCTGTGGTTTTCTATGAATCTCTTCATACCTTCAGTGTAAAATTTTACAAGGGCATTAAAAATGATAATATAGAAATATTTCTCTGAGATATTACCGTCTTTTCCAGAACCTCTTTTGGCTTCTTCCCTAATAAATTGTGATGCTTTTCCATAACTCATTACGTGATATAAATACGGCTGTGAAGTAGAAGGAACTGGATTCAAAATATTTGAACTGCAAAAATCATCCACTTGCTTCTTGTTGTGGAGAGAGCTTCAGCATATGAATCTTATTCAGAAGATGGCCAAAAAAATTATTTTCTGCATGTGGCTGGTTGGCTGAATTCCTATTGAAAGGTTATTTTCAACGTTGCTGGGCACTGTTAATGGTCTGCTGTGACACTTAGAGCAAACAGATTTTAAAAATGTGTTAAACATTTAAACTTAACATATTTTCTCACAGACTGTTAGAAATTAAAATTAGTGTAAATAAATGAAGACCACAGACCAGTAGGAATTAAAATAAATAACTGGAATTTCAGCAAAATTTTGGATTACATAAGTGTGCAGGTAAGTGTGCAAGGGGAGACCTGTGCCTGAGACTTCTAGCCCTGCTCCCCTTACCTCTGGTGCTGGTTTTGTGCAGTTTATGTAAAGCATGAGTTTTCTGAAGGCTTGTTTTCAAGCTCTAATCTTTTTAAAATGAGGCTGGTTTTCTGAGGGAAGGGTGCTAGACATGAAAATACAATGTGGTTTTTGCATTTGTATATGTATGTACAGACCCAAGTATATGTTGCTAAGGTATAGGTGGGCATAATTTTAAATGTGATTGAGATCTACAGATCTGAAGATCTTGTAAACTTGATGCATCAAAATATAAGGAAATAGCAACATTGGAAGAAAGAGTGCAAGCCTTTTTATTGTAATTTTCTCAATGTGTGTCTCTAGGGCAGCTTGTTGGCAGCCAGGAGATGGAGAGGCCCCATCATACTCTGTCAGTGAAGACTGCCTGTATCTGAACATCTTTGTTCCTGCCACCACTGTAAGCAGGAGATGAGTTGAATTTTTTTGTAACTGAGCACTGTCTCTTTTCAAAGTACTTTTAATTTGCATGAATTATGATTTTTCATGTGGTGTTCACAAAGCCTTGAAGGTTAAATTAGGAACTCTGTTGTTTTTACTGGTGCAAGAGTATTCCTTATAGGCTTTCAGTGAGCTATGTTTGGGTAACTAGGAGAGTAGCAAATTAAAAAGCTAGAAATAAGAGAGAGACGAAGAGGTAAACAAATCATGAGAGGAAGGTGACAGCAAAGGAGGAGAAATTAAGAACAGAAATGGCAATGTCCCTGAAATGAGACCATTTGTCCAGGAGACGAGAACGCAATACAACACATTACATTGACACTTATCCCCAGTCGAGCAGCAGCAGATGGGTTTTATTCTCCCCCATCTTTACAGTTCCCCTGTTGATATCCGTGGGAAATCTGCTGAGGAACGCAGGTAGCAAGCAATGATAGATTTGTGCCCAGCCTGCAGAGCATAGAAATAGATGTTGTGAAGATGACTGGGCCAATGGTACAATCTGAGAAACTGTCATTTGAAAGCTCTTGAATTTCTCATTCTAAATAGATATAAAATAAAGCTTCAAGTTAAAGCCAAGCTTAGGTGATTGGGCAAGCCCGTGGGGGGCCTGGGGATAAATATGCTGAATAACGCATGAATCCCACTGAAGAGTAGGCCCAGAGCACAAGAACAGAGTTTTTCCTTCCACTGTGCTGGTAATTTTCAGAAAGTGATGGTGGTTATGATAGAAATTTATGAGTCTGTCATACTGCGTGTCTGGAAAGAGCTGGTCTAGCTATCTGACAGCAACACACAGAGTCCCTTGTAGGTCCTTTTAATCACCAGAAAGACCAGCAGTCTGTTTTCTCTTTGCAGCACCAGGCTGTCATTTTGCCTTGAGTGCAGTCGTTGCTTATTGAAAACATCAGGTCACAGTCCCAGGCAGTTTGCCATCTCCACCTAAGTGCTGATTTCAAGACAGCTTATTCGCAAGCATTGTATTTGCTGCCCTCTGGCAGATAAACTGTCTTGTCTTTTCTTTGTAGTGGTACTGAGAACTCAATCCGTCGTGTCTTTTGTAGAGGTGCAAGGTAGAAGTAGGTCTGGTCAAGTCAATCATTTTCACAAGCATAGGTCTAGCCCAAGAGAGAACCAAAACTTCTGGTTTTGCAGAAGTAGCTGGGAGCAGAAGGCATGGCATTTTCCTGTTTCTTTTTGTGGCGAGCTCTGTTTTTACTCACATACGGAGAGCTATAGTTACATATTTTCAGATGATGGAAAGTTAAATTAGCTAGTAAACACAGAATATAAACCCTCCTGGAGAGCAGTGCATGCAGAGGTCATTCGGGAGCATTTTGAGCCTGAACAAGAGCATGGTGCAGGAGCTCCTGCCTGCCACCGAAGGACTCTTTAAGTGTCAAGCAGTGAAGAAGGTGAATGATGTCACCTCAGTTTGCTTCCATAGCTACATGTACCACATAACCCTCCAAATAAAACTGGCACTTCTGAGAGACTTTTTTCCACCTATAACTATCACTACCTGTCACACTGGCAAAGCAAAGCTGTGCTTCGGCTTCATTTGCAAAGGGTTCAAATGTAAGATCAAGAGTTGAAACTCTCTACTAAATAAGAATAGCAAGTGTATCCTCTATCCTCTTCCACCCCTCCACGTGTTATTTCCATCCTTATCACATCATCCTTGTGCCACTCAGTTCTTTAGAGAGCAGTACTATACAGTAGTAAAAGCACTTGAGGTTGCCTGGCTTGGTAGAGTTTAAGTCTATCCCTGCCACGTAGCTCATGAAGTGTTTTACAGAAGGATAGAGAAGATGGTTCTGAATGTTATAAAGCCTTTCAGACTTCCAGCTGACTTGTAGCTTCCTGGTGGATGCTGAACTTTGCCCCTTGAGGGTTTGCACATGGGACCTAAGTGCCTGCAGGCATGAGACCAAGGTGGAGCTGCTGGGCTGCCCAGAGCACAACCCTCTGCTAGCTAAGCCAGGGAGCCATCTGACCATGTCTCAGCTGGAAGGCTTTGTGTAGATTTTATGCGTCACAGTGTGACTGTTTGCATTTTGTTGCTAAATATGGAGCAAACCCCTGCACTGAGCAGTAGCCACGTGGCAGCTGTGGCCTGTCTGTGGGGAACGTGATGGCCCTTCTCTGCCCAGTGTTGCCGCACGTGTACCCTGCTGCAGCCTGGTGACGACACTGGCGGTGCTGCTTCTCAGCCTGGTACCAAGTGCTGGTGGGTGAAGAGACTGGCTCCAGCAGGCTTTAGCTAAGGTCTTGCATTTCTTCTGCCTCACAGATTTAATTGCAGAGGTTGGCTGAATTTGGCTGAGAACAAGGCTTGAGAGAAATTCACTTTTATCCAAAATAAATTATCCAGCAGCTAATGTACAGTAAAAAATTAATTTGCTGCCAAATATATACAAATACACACAGGTAGGCGGCATGAAATATCTCGTATTATGAGGCATAGTTCAATTACAGCATAAAAATAATTGTGCTATGCTGTTAAAATGGCTAACAAGAAATGGCAAGGCAGTTATGTTTAACAGCCCTCATCTAAAATGCCCAAATCCGTGAGCTCCGAGACTGAAATCTCTTGGGATTAAACCCCAAATTATTTTTCATGATAGTTTACCTCTACCTGGGAGAGGGATCTGTCGTTGTAAGGTGCAGACTAGAAATGGGAATGCTACCTCCAGGAACTTGGCCCTAGGCACAGCCCTGGTGCTAAATCTTCCCCCGAGTTGCTTGCAAAACAAGCAGGTTTTGTTTTGCCATTTTTAGCTTTCATCTCCCATCTTTGCCTTCCGTAGGCTTTTCATCACTAGAGTATTGGGTAAAGTAGCTCTGCACAGTGTAATACACAGCTTAGAGGGCAGCTGGAGGTCACGGTGCTGTGCAGCCTGTGGACACGTGGGAAAGGCCTAGTTTGAACCTCAGGCTTAGCGCTGCTGAGTTGAGGGGATGGAGCAGGCTCAGCATCATCTTTAATACCCTTTTAGCTGACATGGCTCAAAGTGGTTGCATTTTAGAATGAACTTCCGTGTGAAAACAGATTATTTAATTTTTTTTTTATTACCCCCCCCCCTCTCTGTGCTGCGTGCGGTGCAGAAATGGGAACCAGGGACAAGGCACTGTGAATTAGGACTCAACTGTGAATTAGGCAATTTCTATTCAGGAGCAGAAGTTCCTGAGAGCGAGCAGCATGCTTCAATGCTTGCAGATTCTGGGGTTTTCTTGGTAACGTTGTGTTCGCGAGAAGCCTCTGAAGTGATTCTCCAGATAGATAAGTGAGGAGTGCACATAACCATGGCAAATTAAGGACAGCTGAGGGGATTTTGCCTCCTATCCTGTAATTTTGGAGGAAGCTGCAACAATTGCTTCTCTGCTGCTTCTCCTCTACTGCCAGTCGCATTTTTGCTGGAGACATCCTTTGCCAGAGCAGATGGAACTGCTGTGTTTAGTTCAGCTCCATCCAGAAAATAACAGCAGCAGAGCCCAATGCCCTCTAGCTGCAGGGAAAAACAAACCTGAGATGCACTTTGATGCTGCTGCAGGGGCCACCAGCTCTTCTTCAAAAAACACTAGCAACTGCCAAAGCAGAAAGCGGGATGGGTGGGTGTGCGTTGACCCACTGCTGAGCAGAGGGGAGAGGAGCCTCCTTCAGCACAGTACCAAAGTGGGTGATAGGGGATGAAAGTGCTGAGTGGAAAATTGAGGCTATGCTTTGAAAAAATCTTTTTGGCATTGCAGCAGGTTATTCTGCTATTTGCGACGGGAAGAAAAAAAGAAGAAAAAACTAAACAAAACCCCTCCATGTGTTTCACTGGTATTTCTTCCAAGTGTTAGCTTGATCTACTGGTGATTGCTGAGGTCTCCTGGGCCAGTTCTGCTTTTGCGCTGCTCTTGCAGCAGCAGCCTGGCTGCAACCCTGCTCTGCATGCAGAGAGGGTCCACACAGATGTGGTGCTGCTTTGGGAAAAAGCCTTAGTTTCAGAGCAAAATCGTGTGGCTCTGCAAGGAGTGCTAACATGGGCAGCAGCCCATCACAGCTCCTTCCCATCCCAGGAGTCCTGCTGGGCTCTTTTGGGGCAGCCTCCTTCTGTGCTTCATGAGAAGTAAGTCTCTCCCATGCAGAGACAAAGTCCTCTCTGCAGAACACCCCTATATATCCTGCTGTATATCTAGCAGGGGAACACCTCCATGGAGATTAAACGAGCAAGGAGGAGCTCTTGTCAAGTGAGTTTTTTGAGATTAGGCAGTGTTTAAGTGCTCGAGACTGGAGAACAGGAAACAGCCCTGCACAGATATGAAGTTAGTCCTGCTCAAAATGAAGCAACCCAAAAGGGTTTTTTTTCCGCCTTCTTTTTCCTACTTGTTTGAACTTTTCCTGCATGTTTGTGTAAAGCAGGCATGTTACAGCAAAGAGGAGCCCACAACATGCTCAGTCGCCAAGTCAGCAGGATGGATCTGCCTTGAGCTAGCCTGGTAGGGTTGTTAGCTGGTGGAACACGGTGCCATTAAATCTTCTTTGTACTGAACATAGTGTGCTCTTTAATGATATATAGGGCATTGTGGACAATTTAGCCCTAGAATTTCAGACAGATGGCCAGATATCCTCTCATTACGGTCACTGTTAAAGAGCTATGAAAGGCTTAGATAATCTTAGTGGGGAGGATGCTTGTGTTCTCATCAGTGACCTACAAAAGCAGTTGTCTACAGGAATACTAACCTGGTTATTGTCACTGCAGGTCAAAAACATGTCAGTGTTGCTGTTCTTCCACAATGGAGGGAGTTATAACGCTGAAGCGGGAAAGACAACCATAGATGGATCATACCTAGCTGCCATCAGCAACATCATTGTCGTGACAGCAAACTACCGGGTCGGTGTTTTTGGTTTCCTTAGTACTGGTAAGTCATTTCTAGAACAAACACAGCTACGGGATAAATTGCTTTCTGTAACGCTTCTGTTTCTAATTAAAAGAAAAAAAAGTTATTTTTACATTTGTGAAGCCTCTATCTTTCACTTTTTTTGGGGGAAAAATGACCATGATGGGGACTTCATCTGAAGTGAAAGGGGAGAGACTGGAGGCAAAAGAAGAACAAACAAAACCCAAGCATCTATATCAAAGCAGATCAAACTGTGGATATTGGGTTTTGCAGACACACACGACGATAGGTTAGGCATTAAAACTACTCAGTGGCCTGTCATTGTGAATACGGTTTTCAGTGTCTCCAACTTCCAGCTGTTCCATCCATGAAATTTTGCTAATGCTCGATTGTGCCCGCGTCAGAGTGGGGAAAAGGCAGAGAGGGATAACTGCGGGTTATTATTAGGTTTTATTAGATTTGCCTGTTTACGTGAGTAGAGAACACTTTTCTTTCTACCATCCATCAATTCTGACTGGGGCAGGGGAACGTAAGGTAGAGATCCATTGAAAGAAAATGCAACAACTGCAAGTGGAGTTCTGACTCCATTGGTTCGGTGGCGATCCTTGGTCTTGCTAGTGGACGTTTTAGTACATTTATAACTTTTAGGAGGTTATATTTGCCATGTTTGCAAATACCAGATCTACTTACTTTGCCTCATTGATTCTTTTGAGCATTTACTGTGATGCTGTGTGGATTTTGCCTTGTTTGGGGTTATAGCTGCAGCTATTGGTTGTTGTTTCCCTTCTTCATTTTACTGTTTTGTTCAAAGCTCACTCCCAGCAAAGCCTGTTTTTCAGTCAGTAACTAGAGAGCTGGCACTACAAACTCCTTACTCATTTAGATATGAAGCTGGTGATAGGTATATCTGAGGAAAGAATCACGGTTGTCATCACTGCAAGCCAGATGTTTATGAAAGTGATACCGTGGCTTCATTTTCGCTAGAGCCAAATGTGGTGTGGATACATGCTGTGCAAGCTTCCATTACGCAGCACTGCCCACGCATCACCCACTAACCTCCTTCAGCCCTGTGAATCTCACCTAGGTTTCTTCCTAAGTGGAAACTGATAACTGGGCTGAATATTAAATAGAGTAGTGTTATGGGATGGCCGTAATTTAGGGATCAGGAAAATTCTCCAGCTTCTTTTTCATAGAGATCTGCATGCGTGTCCCAAAAAGTCAGTGCATGAGCATAATGTAATACATTTTTTTGCATTCCAGATGGGGAGTTTTCAGGGACCTGCTGCTTCTCTGTACTGCGAAGCTGTGGCCAGGAAATATTGCAGTCTTTTCTGGCCTCTTCCCCTGAGGGAAATCCATGGTGTACATTTGGGAAAATCCCATCACTCCAGAGGGCACTGGAGCAAGTAGGAAAAGCTCTTTGCAAGAGTCAATGGAGCAAGCTAAGTACCACATTCATGGGAAGCCCTAAAAATTCCTGCAGTGCCGCACTCCTGTCTCCCCTTTAGTCTATGTGGGGGTGATGAGCTGTGGTGTGTCAGTGCCAGGCTCCCTGTCAGCATGTGTTTTCAGTCATACCCATCCTGGTGAGCAATGCTCCCACTGCAGGGTCTGTTCTTTGGTCCACCACAGGGTGGTGGAGTACCTCTGACTCCTTCTGTACATGACCTGTTGCCACTGGGGTTTTTTAGCGAAGATTATCAAGCTGGGTCAAATACTGTAAGGGTTTTTCTCAACACTCAGATGATATTCCAAGAATGTTTCCATTCTTACTGAAGACTTGGACAAACCCTGGTCCTTTGGAAGTTTTGCCATCAGTTTCAAAGGGGACAGGAGCTCACCCTTAGGACAGTGGGGACATTAGCAGCAGGACTGTTAGAGGGCCCTGAAGTTACAAACAGAAGTTATGATCTTGTAAGCAATATCAGTTTCATTGTCCAACTAAGCGAAGTACTGAATCCTCTCACGTTGACTTGTTATAAATTTCAAAACTAGAAATGAAGATGTTAAATGGAGATTTTTGTGGAGGACGGGTAGCGAAAACAACAGATTTCCTTTTTTCTGTTCATTTTTTTTCTTAGTTCTGCAGTTGTTTTGGTCTCTCAATGACAGGGATTTTGCAAGCAGTCAGAGTTCTTATTTTTCTAAGTATACAGGATGTTTAGTTTAGTTTGCTGTCACCCATTGATGTTGCAAAAAGTGATGCACATTCTTACTAGTGCCTTCACCTCTCACTTTGCATCCAGAAAAGTTAAGGTGAATTGCCAGTGATATGGGTGGCAAGAGTATGGAGAAGACAGTCATGTTTTTAAGCCTGAGTCTATGAAGAGTCTATGAAGTCATATCAAACAGGATGGTTTGCATGCTTAAATTTAGCGCTATTGTTCTTATCCAGTTTAGTAATAACAGAAATTCATATGCTTGTCACTGCTTCCTTCTGGACACCATTTTCTTTTCATCCTCCTTTGGTTCCCACGAATGTGAACTTTTCTTGCAAAAAGGCCGCTTACAAGATTTATATCCAGGCCTGTCCCTCAAGCAGTGGAAAAGATTCCCAGCAGACACATTTCTTTTGGTCTATGGTGAATGTCCGTGCATGCATCTGTTCCCCAGTGTGGTACGTTTCACAACCTGGCTGTAGTTTTTGCCAGGGCAGAAGCAACTGGTTATATTTCCCTCCTCGGTCTTGTTGTTTAGTGTACTGGTAGCAAGGCACATTGTGTGGCTAAAACACTTACCCAGATTTCAGTTCCTCTGGGGAGGCCTCATGAGGCATGCAGCAAGCCCTTGAAATAAGGGTTCCCTTGTAACAGCATAGAGTGGGTTTATTGCTGAATTCAGAACCCTGGGAATTGGTCATGTTTGTGCAGAACAAACTAAAAAAACCCTAAAAACTAAAACAGGGAAAGTTTTGATGGTTTGGTGTGTTGTTTTTTTTTCCTCCATTGCTTCGCTGATGTGGCTTGGCCTGAACCTCTGAAATGATGGCCGTAGGTGGAAGGTTGTAGTTTCTGGGGGTGTTTAGTTCTTGGCTGTCCTACTGAAAGGGCACTTACAGTGATGGCTATTGTGATCCGGGTATCTGTAACACGTGCAAGGCTGTCAGTAATCTGGTCTCCTCTGTATTCTGTGGCGCTGCTTACATTGGTCTCTATATCTCAGTAATTCATTATGGTAGGCATGTGGATATCTGCTACAGGATGGATACTTTCCATTGCTCCTTGCCCGAGACAGGGCTACCTATCCACAAAGTGGCAGCTTTTTATTCCACTGTCTATTCCTTTTAATTCTCTAGTTTCTGAGTCTACTCCTTAAAACTGTATGATTTGGTCTTGGCAATGGAAGAAACAAATAGTTTTAGTTGTGTTTCTATTCCTAGCTTTTCTGTCTTTTATTTTTTTTCCCTCAAGTTTTGAATGTGGAGGATTTAAAATCATTAAGAATGAATGGCTCATTGTGAATTAAAAAGAAGCAGACAGTGAGTAATCATTTTCTGTTCCTTTCTTAGGGACTGTGTAGAAATTACTTATTTCTGCTTTTGTAGATATAAAACTAAGCTTACCTAGGCATTTGCATGATTAGATGCTTTCAGCATTATTTTCCTATTAATCAAAATATCAGGTTACCAGTGGTTGGTTTTGAAAAGAAAGTAGTCTTTTCAGTGGTGATAGCTAAGCTTTGGAGTAGGTGATTAATTATTTTTCTTCTGTTTTCATGGAAACAAAAAAATGAATACATATAATCCATATCTCTATCAGTTAGACGTATGTCAAAGGTATATCTCAAAGAATATATACTGAGATATTACAAATTGTAAAACAATACCTGTATGTGTGTAAAGAAATGCAAGATAATGTGACTTGTAAATGTTTGGTCAGACAGGTAAGTGTAAAAAGGATGTAGAAAGCAGAAAGATGCAATTAGGTGTACTCCAGGGAAACAGGATAGTTTCAATTGAATTTGGCAAACACGCTGATTTTTTTGTTTGTTTTTAATTTGTTTTAAGATCAAGCTACTTATTTAGAAGAAGAACCTCATGGCCTCAATTTAAGGATACTTGAGCCTGAATTCATGTCTCCTGCCATGAGATGTTCAAATCAAGCTTAGAAATTGCAGTGTTATTTTTGTATAATCAAGACAGACAGTTAGGCACCTCCAGGGATGCAGCTGGAAGAACCGCTAATTATGTTAACTTTCTATGAACAGTCGTTATGCGGCTTGGTTTAAAAGCTCCTGCAGAGTGGTGGCTAGAGAAAGAGATGATCAGATGTTTTTGAAAGTGCTGCAAATTGAACAGAATAATGTTTCATTGCTCTTAGTTGCGTCTTAGTCCAAGTATGGGTGCAGATGTGGCACTTCGGGACGTGGTTTAGTAGGCATGGTGGTGTTGGGTTGATGGTTGGACTTATCTTAAAGGTCTTTTCCAGCCTGTGATTCTATGATTCTATGAATATTTTTTTTTCAGACAGAGACCACAAAGTCCTTTACTCTGGCTTGCATCACTCTTGAATATGAAAGTGAAAATTTTAGTTGTTGGGGTAGGGAAGTCTTACAAAATAACTGGTTATTTCAGGGGCTTAATGAATAAGCATACATGGTGACCGTAGCACTGAATACTAGCTCTCGTAAATTCTTGGAGTAGTCAAAACTGAAATGGAGTCTGTTAATATAGTGATGGCATTGGAAGAGATCGCTTCAGGCTTTTAAGATCCGGTGTCGATTTTGTCAAGGGTCAGCTGCAAGAGCTGCTGAAAATGTAACATTTAATCAAAACTTCAAATGTTTATAGTTTTATTTCTTTTCACACCTATTTATTTTCACAATAGGCTCTCCTGAGGTGAGTGGAAACGCTGGCCTTTTGGATCAATTGGCTGCTTTGAAGTGGGTGCAGCAGAACATCGCTAGCTTTGGAGGAGATCCAAGCCAGGTTTCTTTAGGAGCTGACCGCGGTGGGGCAGATGTTATCAGCATTCACCTGCTCACAGAGGCAGTGGATATGGACCTCTTCAGGAGGATGCTGTTGATGGTAAGTCCCATTCCTGCCACTTCGGCTTCTTTGTGAAACGATGTTTTACAGATGTGAGAATGTTGCAGTGTGTGGTGGGTGCTGGTTTTGTCTCATCCGTACCTTGGCAGCACTAATAGGGCTGTTATTGCTGTAGTTATTTTTCATCTCACCTGTGACTGCTGTCTCCAGGAGCTTAGTGCTTCACAAGTATGTACTAGAGATGCACTTTGGTGATTGATTTAGTCATAGTAAGAATCTGGTTTTCGTCACTGTGGTTTTTTGTCTGTTATATAAATAAGTCTTTTTTCATAACATAGGTACAACAGGTTAGTTTCCATTCCATAAATATGGTTGTTGATCAGCAGTTTTTAGACTGTAAAACTGATGAGCCAAACATCCGCATGTTTAAATTATCCAATCTTTTTATCTGATCTCATGATAGATTTCATTTAAAAGAAAAAGGAAGTTTCAGAGACAGAGTAAAAATCCGTTTACCCACGGGCTTGTTTGCTGTCAGCTTGGACCATTTTCGCAGTCGCTCCAAGTGATCTGTGTTTTTACAGCCCTTTCTGTGTTGAATCTCGGGACTTTGAGATCAGCTTTGTCAATGTCGATACTACCATTCATCTTCCCAGTCTCAGATGACAGTAGTGTACTCTGAAACATGGCTTTATCTTCAGTGGAGGTTTACATGTCGAGCAAAAAAGATACTTGGACAAAATGATCTCTTTGCTAGCAGAATCGACTTGGAACAGTGAGCAGAGGAACAGAATTCTTGGTCTAGGAAACTTATCACCCAGTTAAATAAAATCGTGCCTTGAAAATAATGACTTCTCTATTGACTACTTGATTTTTCTTCAGGAAACATTGCTCCAGGAAACACAACTTGCCTTTTGCATCCCCACATCTCAATAAGATTATTTTAATTGCATCACTCTAGTGGGGAAGGCAAAGGAAGCTGTTGAAAATTGCTGTTCAGTAGTTGGGGCTTTTGTGTAATTCTCATATAATTCCTCACACAGTTCCTAGATTTGTACTCAGCTTTTGGCATAGCAGTTAATTTTCTAGTAGACCCAGAGTCCTTTTCTCTCAGGCTACAGTTTCATCCTCCTCTTTCTCTGAAGTCAAAAACCCTTTACTGACATGGCTCGGGATGGGGCCCTGTAAAAGCTGTAACAGGATACAGTGCGATTTACCAGTTGAGCAATTGCTGAAAGCGAAATGCAAGGACCTCTTTGCTTTTCATTATTTCTAGAGTGTAGTTCCACATTACATCTTTTCTTTTATAAATTAAAATTTGAACTCCTTCTTTCTCTAACAACAGGACACTGAATAATGGAAAACAGTGGCAAGTGCAACGAGCAGGCAGGTGAATCAATTTTTCCCACTAATCTAGTGTTTCTAACAACAGTTTTCTTCCTGGGACTGTGCAGACCACTGTCTTGGCAAAAGCAGAATCTCCACTTGCTTCAAAGTAACATCAAGTATTTATCCTTACAGTGTCAATGTGGATTTAGTTTTCTTGTGAAATACACCGATAAAATAAAAAGCAAGCAGTAACAGCAGTGGCTTAAATATATAATTTATCCTTTTTTGTTTTTTTTCTCATAATGCAGAATGCAACCATTGGTTTAATCAGATTTCTCACCTAGACCTCCTGCAAGGGGATGAGTCTTGTTTTTGTTCCAAGACACCAAAATGATTGTGTACTTTTAATTTTACTGTAAAAAAAGGAAGTGCACACAGACTAAGATTCACAAAAATGAGACTATACACCAGATATAGTTTTCCCGAGGGAAAATCCCATGAAGCAATACAGCTTTTCTGCAAAAGTTAGCTGTGCGCTCCTTGATTAGGTCTTTGTCATGCATAAAAAAAATGGTACTGTTTCTTAGCATGCAGAGAGGTGTGACGGGCGAAGCTTTCTGTACAAGATGTGCATCTGAAATAGAGAAATGCTTTTGAGTTTCCTGTGTTTGCCCTATAATAGACGTTTTTTGGAACGGATCTGAAAGAAGATTGTACAAAATCAATGAAGAGCTGTCATGGGGACTTTTTATAACTTATTTCATCTTTCCGTAATATGATTTGAAAAAAATAGTCTCAGTGATTATGGTCTCATTTTAAATCATTGAAGAGCATGAACATGGCATATGACTTCATCTTTTGATTAACTGATTTATTTACCACCGCAATTTTGATGTAAATGAGTGGATCAATGATATGGATTTCCTCCATCTCTTGCAGGAGACTGTGAAGGGCAGATATGTTAGGTGTCCCCTCCTCCAGGTGTTCCCTGGCAGGAGTCAGAAGGAGAGGTCCCAGGCTTCCCCCACCCATGACAAAGGAAGATAACAGTTCCTTCCTGGCCATGGAAGCAGGTCAGCCAATGGTAGAAAGAGCAGATACATTGCTCCACCGAAAACTACTGCAATCAGGTGTAGGGCTGTCTGATATGGACCCGAAATACCCCTGATCCTATGATTATCTACCATTCATATCCCCTAGCCCAGACAAAAGAAGGCTCAGGGGGATCTTATCAACGTATATAAATACCTGAAGGGAGGGTGCAAAGATGACGGAGCCAGGCTCTCTTCAGTGGTGCCCAGTGACAGGACCACAGACAGTGGGCACAAGCTGAACACAGGAGGTTCCCTCTGAACATCAGGAAACGCTTTTTTCCTGTGAGGGTGACTGAGCGCTGGCACAAGTTGCCCAGGGAAGTTGTGGAATCTCCACCCCTGGAGATATTCAAAAGCTGTCTGGACATGGTCCTGGACAAGCAGCTCTAGGTGGCCCTGCTTGAGCAGGGGGCTTGGACCAGGTGTCCTCCAGAGGTCCCTTCCAATCTGAAACAGTCTGTGATTGTGTGAACATGCTGTCATGAGAACCTGTCATCATGAGAACATGTCTTATTCCCTTCCTACACAGCATATTGCAAGTGCTGCCCAGTTACATGGGCTCTTGGAGTCTTTTGTCGCATTCTGTCAAAGATATATTCTGGCAGTGTCATTACAAGACCGGGTGTTTGTATTAGTTGCACGCTAGGTTTTCTATTTTGTAAAAGCAATATAAAGTAGTTATTGGATATTATTTTAATGAATAAATATAAGTCATGACTTAGAAATCTGTAATGCTCCCCATATACATTTCACTGGATAAAATGCAGTCACCATAATGTATTAATGAGCAGTAACAGTAATGAGTTTATACAAATGTCTAGAGTTTCTTGAGTTCATTTTGCTTTGTGGTATTCAGTGTTTACCAGCCAAATTACATTCATCCTTTAAGTTCTGAAATATGTTTAAATAGGCTGTGAACTATTTTGATCTCTGAATCTCTCTTGCTAGTGCAAATGATCTGTTATAAGATCTACAGAACACAGAGATATGCGCTAAGAGGTTTTTACAGAGAAAACATATATATGTTTTATATATATATATCTATCTATAAAACCCCAGTTCCACATCTCTCCAAATCTTTATTACTCAAATCTGTGCAAAAAATTATGACAGAATATTAGATTGAAATGGTCTTAGCTCAAGAACGTAGATTGCAGTATTTTACACCCCCAGATATGAATGACTACTGGATTCAGAAAGCAACCACAAGTCAGATTCAAAGGACCATGCTAGCTGCTCATTTATAACTTAGCAAAGGGTACATATGCATAGAATAATTCCCTAATTCATGAAATTTCAGATAACCCAGTTACAAATCTCTAAGCAATTTGATGAAATGTGTCATTACTGTTTGACATAACTCTGTTCAGACAAGAAATTCAGAAAACTCTTTAACATCCACTGTTGCTGATTTGCTCTTTTAGTTTTATTATATATAGAAAGCTGATGTTTATATAAATATTACACATAAATATAGGGATGCCTTCACAAGATGAGGTTAAAATCTGGTCCTCTACACATAAAAGGTCACACCTTTGCAAGCCTACTTTCGCAGATAAGCATGATGATGCCAGATTTTACTTTTCACTTTAAAACCCCTCTTTCTTTGTTGTATATCTGGTAGACTTTTAGCAGCTGAGTTATACTTTTAGATATGCCTGTACTCCCAGCTCAGGGCTAAGCAAGAACTGCTTTTCCCTGTGAGTCAAGCCTGTTCTTAATTATGTGACCTCTTGGTGATACTGCAGGCCATTACCAGTAGTTGAATTGCATGCCACATGGAAAGTCAGTGATTGTAATTTTTTCCCTAAAAGGTGAAAATGACAGAAGTATGGAGTCAATATAATAGATGTTTCTTGGATGCCAGGTGTTAGATACTTTCTTGGGGTTTTTGATGACTTTCTGACCTTCTGTCAATGACAATGGGTGAGTCTATATGGAGAAGATAAAAAGGCTTCTTTTCTCCGTGTAGGTAGATTCTTTAAAGATGTTTTTCAGCCTTATGAGCAATGCCAGAGCAAGACTTAAATTAAGTTCTTGAGCTGTAGTTACTCCTTCCCTATGCAATCACCTTTGTGCAATGGTGGGCATCACCCATGCTGAGGAGTCATCTGCCCCCCTTGGCTCTTGACTGAGAGTCTGTCTCAGTTCATCCTGCTTGTGAGCAGATTCTAATTTCAAGTGTACAGGGCACATTCCCAGCATGTACCATGGCTGAGATAGCACCCTTGAGAAGGTCTCTGGTTAACATTCAGAAGAAGTAATGCAGAAGCAGTGCCAGCATTTGATCATCAGCTGTTGTGCTTGTATCTCTCAGCTGTCAAAGGAATGCAGGACCACAGAATGCTCTGGGTTTCTCTTCTAACCCCTCAGTTTTTTTCCCCCATGGTTGTCTTACGTTTAATCTTCATAGTATGTAGGTGGCAAGTGAAGGGTACTCTTATGTTTGCTCCCTGTATATATAAGAGATTGGGCTTTCTTCTTTCTGGTTCTTGCAAAAGAAGCGTTGTCATCCCCTGTTAAGGAGAGGTAGGAGGCGATACTTTCCCTCAGGCCATAGCTGAGACAAGAATCATCCATTGCTGCCAGGGTGGTTTCAGTATCTTCAGTCGCCTCCAGCCTTCAAAAGAACAAAATTATGTTACCGTTTCAGCGACTTGAACTGAGCATATTAGTATAATTTTAAAAGTTGTTAAACCAAATAATGTTAATTTTGTTGTATAAAAAATTTCCTGTGTCATAAATCACCAAACATTTCTGTCACTTAGAGATTTTCCAAAACAATCAGTACAACAGTAGTATCTAAATATTTTTTGGCATTTGAAAAGGAAATAACATCCATATGCTTTCTCTCTTTCTTCTTCATCTGTAGGAAAAATGGCCTTGATGATAGTGCACAAAATTTTCGTGCATTTGTAAGCAAATGAATATGCTTTGTGAAAGAAGGGTAGTGGAGGAAAATTTACACTTCAAAAATTAGAGGTCCTTGTGTTTCTGAAGGTGGTTGTTTCACCAGCTTCTGAAACCTGACCTACTTTCTCTAGTTGCAGTCATGATATTAGAAATCTCATGAACCTCGAGCTGGGCTGTGTGTTGAGAGAGACACAGCAGGAAGGATTTATGCTGGTATAATGCCTTCACTGTACTTGTGCTGCTTTGTGCATGGCCACCGTGTCAACAAGGGGGAGGCATTTCTGACTATCGAGGCTCACCTGTAAGCCATTGCACATGCATGTGCCACTGGTGGTGGATCTGACTAGGCTTTATGGCCTGGCTCTTACTCCTGCCCCTTTGGTGGAGAGGGCTTATGAGTCCCAAAGGGACTGCATGTGTGGCCACACTCTTAGCTGCATAGGAGAAATGGTCGAATGTTAACTCGACTTTCTTTCAAAGTTAGACCAAGATTATCAGTTAGAGAGCTGGACATCCAGTTTTCATGGGTTAACTTGCTGTCAGCAGCTTTGAAGATTTTCTAATCTTTAAAACTCATCTCAGGAGAAGAAAATGACTGTCTCTTCTCTGTTGTAAGTATGATTACATACAAGGCTGGAAAAAACCCTTGTTGTTTCTGGCAGCTTGTGTTGTAGTGGTACCTGTGAAAACTTCTCCAGTTGAAGTTTTTATTGCGCATCACCACAGGAGGATCTTGATTCATCACGCTGTTGTTGTTAGTGCACTGGGTAAGACAAGGTGTTGTAAGGACACAGCAGAGACCATCAGCAACTTCTGAACAGAGAAATGAATACACAGACAGTTAATCTTTGCTCACTGTTATCTCCACTGTTTTCCTTCCCTGATGAATGCTCAAAGAAACAGTTTCGGACATGGTAGTAGTAATCAGTAAATAGTGGGTTCTCAGCAAAGACACTGTAACACAGGCTTAACTTTTTCCTTTTCTCATATATTTGCCTTGTGCTTTATCATGGTATGTATTTCCCACAGTACAAGTGAGGAACTGAGACACAGAAAAACAAAGTGTCTTGCCCAAAGTTTCAAAGGAAGTTTGTGACAGAGCAGGGACTTAAACCCAGGTTTCGTGAATCCTCGGTGAGTTCTGCCTTTGCCTTCCATTGTCTCAGCCATGCAAACAGAGTGTAAAATAGATGCAAGATACAGCCACTCAAACGGGATTGTATGTGCCCCCATTCTTCTGTGAAGTATGGCTATGGAATGAATCAAGGTTCACATGTTACTTTTGTCTATGTTTCATCTGTCTCCTCCTCCTTGCTCCACGAGGAACATTGCATGTGTTCTTCTGCTCAAGTAGAGAACATAGTAGCTGAACGCTAGTGTTTTCAGCGTGAGGTTCTGTATCATATCTTAGTGGGGGAAGGAGAGCTAAATCTCGCTATATCTCCTCTTACACCTATAAATCAAGTAAAAATATTAATTGTTGTAAGTTTTGGGTCTCCCCTACCTCGAATTTTAGACTTCGATTGTTTCCCTATTTCTAAATGGGGAAAGGTGTCAGCTAACTACAATGTAAAAACAAAAAACAAAAGTCTCCAAATTCTCACTCCTCTGTTTATACCATTGGACTTGAAAGTTTCGTTTGCATGTTTTGAATGTGAATGTAGCTTTTCTCCCCAGTTTATCAGAGTACTCTTTGGCCAAAACACTTTTTCTTTTACATATGAAATATGCAAATACGGTAACTTTACACTTTTGAAATAATATAGTACCCATTGCTAGTTAAAGCACAGAACCTATTGTTCTCTCGCAGCTGTTATGCAATAAACTTATTGCAATCTTCCTTCCTTATTTTAAAATGTTCTCATTTTAATGCATGGTAACTGCAGGCACTTAGTTGTGTCGTTTGTCAAGTTGTCTCTCTGACACAGGTTAAATTGCCACAAGTCTGGAAAACTACCATTGAAACAGGTGTTATCCAGTGGACTGATACCAGTAAAAATGACAGCTGAATCTAGATTTGAGCTAACAGCTTGAGCCGCCTGAGATAACTTCTGCTGATAAAATCCACCCATACTCTTCTAAAGTAATAGGGAATAAACTAATAACATTTCTGAGAATTTTCTGCTGTGGGTAAGGTTGTGTGATGTAGTGATTCCCAAGAGAAAGGTGATTACAGAACCTGGTCTTGCATGTTCTGATGCTATCTGTCTGTCTGTATGGTAAATAAATAAATGTCAGACATGTCCATGCTGGTAAAAGTGAGCTGGGAGTTGAACCCTGGTCCTGGGACTGAGAAACACGACTTGTATCTGTACAGCCTAACCTTTTTTGTACACCCAAACTTAGACTTTAGCTGTGCTTTGAGAGGGGCTGGGCATCCCTGACCTGCACTAACCTCCAAACTGTATTGGAAAGTTGTCTAGGGAAGTGCTAGACGCCAGAGTTTGGGCCAAGTAGTGTTAGGGACAGCTCTATTGACATGGTTATACAGTATCACACACCACTGCAGGCAGACCCTATCTGTCTTTATTTAGCTGAGTTCTTGGGTTGATTTCAGTTGTACTGTTAAGGGTAGCATAATTTGTATTTAGGATCAAAAATAAAGTAAATGATATAAACCAAAAGTTTTTCTGTTACTTGTTCCGTGACAGATGTTGCAAGTCTCCAATATAGGCAAAACTTCTTGTTCTGGACCTTTGATAGACAGTTTTACAGCTGCCAGTGGAAAATGTGTTTATTCTGCAGTTCTTTTTACCTGAGTAGTGATTCACAAGGTCTTCAAGGCACTGAAAGGTTTGCCGTGGAGAGATGTAATACCAGTTGTTTGGAAGGCGGAAGATCCTGTAATGTTTCACTTGCCTGTGCCGCACCGACAAAGAATATAACCCTGGAGAAAGAGGAGAACTAATTACACCAAAGCAGGGCCCTAATTCTGGATGGACAGCAGTGACTGTAGCCACAGTATCTGTAAGATGTGGTGCCACGATCCAAAAGTTCCCAGAAAGATCTGAAACAACATGAGTGGCCATCCTAATTTCTACTTACGTAGTGTACTTTATACACGTACTGAAGTAAAACAAAGGGAATAAAGGGCCCAACATCAGGGCCTGAGATTTTGGTTGAATTTAAATTTTTGGTGTGTTTTTCCTGTATTTTTGCTGGTATGGGATTTTTTGAAATCGTGTAAAGAACATAGAGCTTTACGAAGTTGTTTCTTTTCCTCTAAAGGGGGGGACCAGACTCATTGAGGTATGCTGATTTAGTCAGCTCCCAATAATGCAGTAGCTGATACCGAAATAATGCACTCCTGGCAGGAGATGACAACTTTGATTTCCCTGCTTCTTTGTTTAAAACTATTGTGCAGGGCTTAGTTGGTAAGGACTGATTGCAGATCCTAAATTGTTCTGAATTTACTATGGGTATTATGAAACTAATTGCCTTGTGGTATGCAAGAGGCCAGAGTATATGATTTATTATTCACTTCTAACTGTCTATCATGATATTAGGATGTGTTCTGGTGCTTCAGAACAAGGGAAGGTATCACATTGCACAATGGGACATGTATTCCCATTGAAGAGAATAAAAGTATAAAGTGTGTACAGTACAATTCCCACGTAGTAACAGAATTGCTATGAAAGAAAATAGATTTGAAGACATATAATTTTTAAAAAATAAATAAAGGAACCACCAGTTTATATAGCAAATACACTTCTCAGCCACCCCCGCTGCTTGATGTGTATTTTACAGCTTCTTCAGGCAATCGTTTGGGGACCAAGGCAAAGCTGTGACTTTTCTTCCATTTGAAAAGTCCCACTGCCTAATAAGCTTTGCATGAGACCAAAGTAAATAGTAGTGTTTAAACAACTGTGTCTTGTTTGTGCTGGTGCCTGTGGAACTTTCCATGGCCATCGCTAGCCCTATTTCCGGCACCGCACATAACGTAGGTGACTGGTGAAGACTGGCATGTTGCACTGAGTGCCTTTGCCTTCCCAGTACATACATTTTCTGGTTTCGGATTGATCCATATGAAGCAGGACAGAAAGTGATTTAAAGAGCTGTAAAACTGTTAATGCCTGAGATCAATGGGGAAAAAAAAAAATCATGTTTTCTCACCTTTCCTAGTCTCACTCTCTCTGATCATGAAGGAGCCGACCTTGGTGTTGGGTAGCTGTAGAAGTTCTTCTGCTTTTTCTCTTCCCAGCCCTTCAAATAACCAGCTGTGAAGCAGGAAAAAACAAATTCTGAAATTTGGACACCAGTGAAACAGGCAGCAGCATGTGGCCGAGCAAGTGCAGCATTAGCCAGGAAAAGTGACTGCAAAGCAGCACTGTGGCTTTCTGTAGTTACTCTCTCAACTGTGTCCAGGCATATTTCCCCAGTTTGTGGAGAAAATCTTGCTCTCTTTGAGTTCCAGTAACTTTTGTGAGACTAAGAGAAGAGTGCAGAAGGTTTGGACTTACTAGGGAAAACAAAACTTTTCAAGCTGCCTTGATCTGAATGGTTGGGGACATATCCATGTGGTATATTGATGGCATATCTGGGGCATTACTTAAATCCCTCCTTCATTTGAACCACTTTTGTTAACTCCAAATTACATTTTATTGTATAATAAATAAAACCAAAAGAAAATACAAGTATTCTGTTTATACTAGGGAACAGTCCAGCTATTTAAGTCAATTTGCTTTGTGGAGAAGGGGAACTGGAATTAGTCCTGCTGATGTTCACCATAGCTTGGTGCGCTGCTGTATTTTGCCACAGTTGGTGCCTAACCATGTGACTGAGCTTGCTTGGCTGGTGTAGGAGTTACTGGCATTTTATTTTAAAGTTGTTCTTCTGGGTTTGATCCAGTCTGCCATCAGCAAAATAGTCTTGGGGAAGCTTCAGACAGTAGCTTCCATTACGGTAGCTGTGCTCTGTCTTTGGGAAAGCATCTCTATTTCAGGAGGATTTAAAAGCATACTGAACTTTAAGCATTTGCATAAATTGCAGTGAAGCTCACAGTTCATATGCTTAACACCAAACAGGTGTTAAAACTTTTGTCAGAAAAGTTTTAAGTGTGTGCTTTAATGCTTTTTCCTGACGGGTGTCTAGGGCAACAAGAAACCTCTGAACCTTCCTTAGCTCTTCCAGTGTGGGAGTTTACATTCTTGAATGACTTATTAGTCTTTCTATTTGTTCTTTGTGGTCTGTTTTTCATGAGCAACTTTAGCTTAAATTTTACTCTTTGTAAATATTAAAAAATCTTTCTAAGTAGGGTCTCTTTCTCAATGTCTTAAAATTAGAGATCAGTTCATGCAACAGAAGTATTTAAAATATCTTACATGACATTTTTTAGCCTTTTCAACATGTAAAACTAGGATTTCCCTTTTATTTTATAATCTAAACTTGGATGTGGATTTGATGTTGTCAGATTTCAAAGGAAGTACTTTAGACTGTCAATAAATAAAATTTCTGTCTGTCTAGTCACTATTGGCATTGACACTGAATAACTAATCAGGGCAGTATGTGTAGAAATGTAGTGTTGGAAGGCTATAGGAAATACATTTACTTACCCGTGGTAAACCTTGGCTACATATTTTCCTGGAATGTAGTTTTCTCGACCTGTTGTAAGGGAATGGACTCTCCACCAGCCTCCTTCACTGTGTGAAAGGAAGAGAAGGGATATTTTCAGATGTAGTTTCAGAGCTTGTCCTCACTTTAGAAATTAGTTAAGACATGCAAATTAGCCTGTAACCTTCTGTCTGTGTTCCTGAATGTATGTATTCAGAAAGGGACTCAAGTTTGTTTCATTTAGAACAGTTCCATTTCTAAACCTACATCAGGATTAAATTTGGACACAGAAATAAGCTACATTCGTTCCATTTAAATTATGTAAGTAATAGAATATTTTACTGTAGTTAAAAGAAGAAAGGGTAAATACTCAGTGGTTAAACCATGCTGTGCTCTGCCTTCCCACAGCTAGACTTGTGCTGGTATCCAGAATATTCAGTTTATGGCTGAGCACACTGTGTCTGGACAGCCCTGTGGTTAGTCCCATAACATCAGAGTAGAGATTCTCAGCAAATGGACCTTGTCTGCCTGGGAGCAGGTTTCCAGTCTAACAGAGCCTAGTTTGCTCTTTTTGCTTTCTTCAATGAGTTGCTGACCAGACTCCAATAAAAAACATGTCATAGCTGAAACTAGGTGACTAGGCATATATTTCTTCGTTGATGTATCTTAGATTCTTGCTGTGATACTGAATGCTGGCTTTGGCTTTTGAATCCCTTAGGAAGGGCAGGGTAACAAGAATTGTTGTAGGGATGCGGAGATTTAGTGATTAGTACAAGGATGGTGATGATTGATGGGTTCTCTCCACCGTTTCCTCTAAGAGTTTGAATCCAAATAATAGTGTGTCTTGTGTTTGAATGCTGTTTTTGTGGTCGTTCATGTAAATGCTCCCAAATAATGCCTGGACTGAAAACCAGAGTCTCAGGAGAATGTCAAAACAGCGGAGCTGAAAACTCTGAGTTTAAACTGTGGTCCGGAATGTACATTCTGAGGGAAAAAAGGAAGTGTCTACTGCTCAGAGCTGGAAAATTCAGGACCCCACAAGTTTTGTTTGTGGATTTCCAGCTGACATTAAATTATCTGTGAGAAGTTTAGGTTATTTTGGGTTTTTTCCCCACAACTCTCCCAGACAGAAACAAGAATTGCAGTAACAAAAAAACCTGAGAGACTCGGCATCTCCCTCCCTCCCAGCTGTAATGTTACTAACCCTGGACAATCCCTGTGATGATAAAAAGTCCCAAAGCAGCATATCTGTCCTGGGGCAGGAGCCACAGAAATTATGTAGACTGGGGGGAGCATTGGAGGGCATCTGGTTTGACTACTGCCAGCTAAATGCAGTTGTTCATTTGGTAAAGAAAGGTGCCTGACAAGTATGGAGAGTGAGAAACTGTGCCACTGGTGCTTATCTAATCCTGCCAACCCAGAGAAGTCACAAATATCTGTGAGGAGTTGTATTTTCTATGGGGGTTCCAGATATTCTGTTCCTGGCAGGATTCGTGGGGCAAATTGCCGCTGCGCATAATTGCTTTGCTAGAAGGAAAAGCTGTCATTGTAAAGGCAGTATGCGCTGCCTGCTCATGATGGCTTCGTCATAGTGGCTCCTTGTCACTCATGCTCTGGTCATGCCTGCCATGCTGCTCTTCACTTCCACTGCATTTTGCTTCTTTGGATGGCTCGAGAAAAAGATTACACCTACAGCTTATGTGCAGCAAGAGTCTGTAGGCAAACAGTTCCTATCAAGACCAGCAGATACCCCAGCAGGGCAGAACAGGTCCTTCATTAGGCCACTGTGCATAGAGCGTTTCAGTGTCTGGTCTGCTGTGAGCAAGCCGACTCAAAACAGGAAGAGGATGGTTCCCATCAAGGCTTGCTTTGGCTCCTATTTGCTGTTAGGAGATGCTATTGATCACTGCACAACAGACAAATATGATAAAAACAGCTGCTGCAGAAGCCTAATTCTTTTAGAGTTGATCATCCAGTAGATCATACTATGCAGCACAAGGATGCATATGATGCCACATATATAATTCCCATCGGTACAAGCATATGTAGTTACATGGTGTTGTCAGGGCTCGTAGCTGATAAAAGCTGGAAGTGAGGCTTTAAGATGGAATTTCCAGGCTAAAACAATTGTTGTACCATGTCGTGTATGTTATGCAAACTGCAGCAAGGTTTAAACAGCTAGAAGTTACCAGAGAAGAATTCCCCCGGTTTGGGGAAGATCTCCATCAGCAGAAAATTCATCTAGTGGTATTGCCTGAGCCTTGTGACCTCCAGGTTCAGTGAGGCAGGGAAAGCACGTTGTCAGCAGAAGATAACTGCGGCCATTCTGGGTCAGACCAAAGGTACACGTAGCCCCATATCTTGTTTCTGACAAAGGCCATTGTAGGTCACAGTGGCCTGAAGAAGAGTCTGAGAATTCATCAATCATCTGTGATACTTCTCTTTAGTACTTCTGTCTTCCAGCCATTTGATGTTCTGACTTCCTGAGGCAGAGAATTTTTTTTTTATGAATATAGAAATGCTCAGAGGATTTCTCTCCTGTGAATGCATCGGGTCTCCTCTTGAATCCATCTGCTCCACCAGCTGCAAAAATGAAAGCTTTCATTTTTGTTTAAGTAATTAGTGCAAACAGTGGTTGTGGGGCAGAGTAACTTCTAGGAGGTCACTGTGTGCTGATACAAGTTATGTGTAAAAGAATATCAGGGCTGCTAGCTTCCTTTTTCAAGAAGTGTGCTCTCTCTTGTGTGTGGCAATATTTGCACTATGCTCAAGGTCAGTCTGAACTAGATCTCTTAAGCCTATTTCCTTCTGGGGCTCATAAAATTTTGAATGGAACTGGCTGAGAAATCTTTTACTTTTTTTTTCTTCACTAGGAAAATTCAGAATCTAAAAAAATTGAGAAGGAAAAAACCACTATTTTTGGTATTATTTTTATTAGAGATGCCTTAAATCTAGGGGGAAATTCTAAGATGTAGTCATAAAGCAGTTGTTAGATAAAAAGGATGAGAGAGAAAATGAGATACACATTTGACCTATGAGATTCAATACATTTTTTCTCTTACTCTGTTTTCCGCTAACATGGGGGGGCATATTTTCTCAAAATCACTTTTCAAAGCTGAATTCTGGTTTGAGTCCTACTTTAGAACACGGTCTGAGTCCAGCTTCAGAAACCATGTCAGAGGAATCCAAGGATCAAAGAGCAATCTGAAATCCCAAATCCTTTAACTACAGGGAAATCTACACCATGGCTAAGCATCCTTCCTTGCAAATTCTGAGCTCAGTTCATTTGCCTGAACTGCATCCATTTTGAGTCGCGTACATAAAACAGAGCTTTGCATTGATGGTAACAAAAGCTAATTTTAAAAAAATAGATCAACTTACTCTGATAGCACACGTAGTTTTTCCCCTACATGAAATATAGGTTGGCTGATGTCTGCTGAAGGATAGTCATAGAGGACAGCAAGGAAATCGCTCTCCTGACCTGTTAAAGAAGAAAGAAAATGTCACTTGAAAACAGTATAGAGTTCTGAAACAGAAATGGATTTTTCGTTATGTATGTTGTATTTTACATAGTAGGTCAAATGGGAAAAAATCTCACTCTGAAATGTCACTTGGTAAACATAAAGACCTAAAGGTGAGCCTACAACTTTATAAAAGGATGTGAAGAAATGAAAAAGTCATTTGGTTAATGGTAAGCAACCAAATTTAGACCACTTTTTCTAGTAATTACCATATTTAAAGCACATAGTGAGTTTGAAACTAACAAAATAATTATTTTTTAGTATTAGGAAGTAACCTAGTCTGATTAATGCCACTGTCTCTAAATGCCTCCGGCTGCAATTTTGAGCCAAGTTGATGCATTACTTTGAAGGAAAGGAAGATGCATGTTGAATTGTTCCACCATTTAACATCACTGATACCTTTCAAAGGTATGAAATCAGTTTAGATCAAGAGCAATGAGAGTGTAGCCATTATTGCCCATTTCCCATCACTTTTTAAAAATGACTTGGTGAACAGACAGAGTGCTTTGTTCTCTCTCCTTGTGTGGAAACTGTGCTGGAGGTAGCACATGATGCTTTTATCTTCAATTAAAGAAGAGAGGCAACACAGGTGTTTACAATTAAATCATTGTACAACTGCAATTTGCAGAACCAAGGTCAGTAAAGAGACAAGACCACCTTTTACATCACATGGGATGACTCTGGGCCTTGCAGCACTGTGTAGAACATATGCTGAGGCTCCTGGGTTTCTGAAGGATGGAGGAATGCTGACAGGTGGGAGATCAGAAATGTGTCATGCTCGGTGTTCTGAGCTCTTTGGCAGAAGCCCTGGCAAGAAGGATAGTGCAATACACTGCCTGCGTTTGTCCTAGCAGTAGGTCCCTTCCCTCTGCATGTCGCAGTACCCTCCACTGGCACATGGGGAGACAAAGCTTTCCCTCTGCCTCCAGCAGGATCAGAGTCCCGTTTCTTAGTAAATCCATCTAGCAGTATGTTTGCAGAGGTGGTTTGATCTCCATACTTGCCCACTCTGTGCAGCTCAACATGTGCAAAAATGGGAGTGAATTCAAGGGAGGAGAGAATGAAATCACCCAGAGAGATAGACACACTTCTGTATCTTGTTAGGTTTTCTCGTTTAATATACATTCCTTGTCAACCTGCCTTTAAGGAAGACATTTTTTTAGGGAAACCTACAAACAGCATGCTGAATGAATGCTGTCCTGGTTTTGGTTAGAAGAGAACCAATTCTCTGTTAGTGAATTTTTCCTTTCAGCTATGTTCTTCTAAGTGACAATGCTGAGATTGGCTCTGTGTTTTCAGCCTCTGTGTCCCAGGGCCTGACAAGTAACTCACAGCAGTAACGATGATAAGCTGAAGGAAACATGCAAGCCTGCAGCAAAGAAATATTTTCAAGAGAAGAGGTTTTACACTTGTTACCCTTACAGCAGTGATGACGAGAAAGTAAGTGTTAAGGAAAAGATTCCACACCTGTGGTTTGAGGGAAATAAAAAGCAGTGTTCTCTCAGTTGATTCTGAGTAGCTGTTTGTGGTTATGTTACAGGGACTTGTGTTATGCAAAGTAGTGGGTCATTTTACCTTGGTATTCAAACTGACTGTAAACATTTTTAGTCTTGCTAGCCTTTGCCCATTGAAGTAGTCCCATGATATAGTTAGTGAGCACCCTTATAGATGCGTAGATGTGTAGAGTCTGGAATAGACATTGGTTAGTTTGATGGTGTGTTTAGTATTAGTATTGCCATGGTTTTCTTGGTTAATTAGTGCCACAGAATTAAACAGGAGTAGTCCAGCACCTTTGTATGAACAAGTCAACTGCCCTGATTAGTCTACTGTAACTTATTATACAATTAGTTCAACTATTCTGATGAAATTCTATGCTAAGCGTGTCTTTGATTGCTTCCCTGTTCTGCACTAAAATTTAAGAGAGACCTTTTCTGTCTAAAAAACTGCTTAGTACCTGAGGCTAACAAGACCTAAGTATCGGTGCTGAGTCTTTTGCAACAAAGCAAAATCTTTACCCAGGACAACGAGAAATATATGCCAGGAGGTACGTTGTAAGAACTGCAGGATGAGGATAAAATTCAGTCACCTAGTTTCTCATTGCAGATTGTTAGACAGCAGTTCTACACAGAATGGCATACTTTCTTTTTAGCTTAATGACAATGCCTTTAGCAGTGCTTTTTTTAAACTTATGCCGTTTATTTATAAATGTTTCTTTCATACTGAAAGTGTGGAAAACAAGTGCTTTTCTGGTCTCCTTCCTTGCGTACTGGTGGTTTGCATTTCGTTATGCACTGCAGGGTACGTGACTTTTTCTCTACTTTAGTGAGATCTATGTTACTTTGCTTACACTTTCATCTTTATATTCGTTTTTGTTTCAATTTTGCACATTAATTTGTAGTTCTGAAAAAGGAAGAAATTAATCGTAATGTTGGCTGCCACATCCATGCAAAAGTTACCTCTTAAACGACATGTACTTATATTAGAGTGAAAGTAAAGGGGTTTAGTATGACCCAAACCCTTTCAACCCTCCTACTCCACAAACAAGATCTCATTTTAATTGGTATTTAAATCAAACCTCACTGGGTTTTTTGGTCGTGTAAGATGCTCCACCGCACTCCACAGCATTTCACAGAACCCATACTAACTCCTTTCAAACACAAAAGCCTCGAACCAGGGACTAAACAAATTACACTGTTTCTCCACACCTAAATTTCACAGTGATCTAATAGACTGGATCTAATGAGCTCCCCACACTTTCAAGTTGTAAAAGAAAAAAGAAGATTTGCCTGAATTTTTCTGAGACCACCTCTCCTCCACAGTTTGAGTGTAGGTTACATCTGAAATGGAACAACTCAAAAGTTAGAGTGGAAAGATCGAAGCACAGTCATTTCCACTGAAACAGGTGTTAATTCTGGTTTTGTTTCTTTTTTTCGTAGGAGTAGGAAATGAACATGAAATATGTGCTAGTTTTAGATGTCTGCATCCCTGGATAGCTTACAAAGTGTGAGACTGAATATTGCATGCTTCAAATTATTCATTGTGAATGGACTATGAAGCACTGTTACAGAGAAGGGAGAGCATAGGCAGAGCATCCAGATCCAGCTCATCGCCCTCAGAAAGCGCTGTGCTGTGCACCAGTGTGGTCCCTGTCTGGAGCGGGAATGAGCTGGTCAGAGCTCGGCTCCCTACATCATCCCAACTTTACCGTCCAGCAGAAATACTGTGATTTATGGCGTGGTGTAGACCAGAGAGGGTAAAGGGCAGCACTCGTGTGTGTCTGGGAGGCTGTCTGTGCAGCAACCATAAGGTGTGGCTGCAGAGTCACACTGGCGTACCCAAATTAGGTCTAAACCAACCAGCTAGTGAACTGAGAGTTATGCAGGTGCAGCTCAGTAAGGATTAACCCTTGATTCAGGGTCCCAAGGGAGGAAAGAGGAGGGGGTGGGCACACAACCCACGCCGACCCCTTGCTGCTGTAGCTACTTTGTTATCAGTACTTAGATTATGCCAGGGATGCCCATAGAGTGTGCTTAAATGGAGCACAGTCATACATGGAGTCCAAATGCCTCCCTGGGAAAGGCAGCTAATGCGCTGTTCCTTTTCTCAGGACCAAGACTGATGCACTGGAGGTGAGGAAGGCACAAGGTTTTGCTCCCAATGCAGCTCTCAGGCAGCACAAGGGGCTTATAGGGGTCTGATAAACACATTCATATTGCAGATCAAGTCTGCAGACTCCAAATATCAGTTTTCTTCCCCCTTCTTGTTGGATATCCTGAGAGGCTAGGGTAGGCTGAGAGAGTTGGGGATGTTCAGCTTGAAGAAGAGAAGGCTCTGGGAAGACCTCAGAGCAGCCTTCCAGTACCTGAATGGGCCTACAAGAAATCTGGAGAGGTACTTTTTACAAGGGCATGGAGTGATAGGACAAGGCGTAATGTCTTCAAACTGAAAGAGGATAAATCTAGATTAGATAGAAGGAGGAAATTCTTTGTTGTGAGGGTGGTGAGGCACTGGACCATGTTTCCCAAAGAAGCTGTGGCTGGCCCCTCCCTGGCAGTGTTCAAGGCCAGGTTGGATGGGGCTTTGATCAACCTGGTCTGGTGGGTTGGAACCAGATGATTAGGGTCCCTTCCAACTCAAACCATTCTGTGATTGTTATATTCTTGTCTTTCTGTCTGTCTGTCTTTCCCTCCTGTTTCAGTCCTTCATTTGCTTTAGTCTTACAGAAATGAACCAGTGTAAAACTTGCTTTTCCCAATAGCTGTTTGGACTGTTTTAAGTTTGTGGACTGGACACTCCACCTCACTTAAATCAAAGGTGGCTGTTCTTGGCCAAGAGGAGATCTTCCATGCTTGTTGATGCAATTGGGAGTTTGATCTGCTGAGGATGACAAAAAGATACAGACTCGTTGGATTAACCCAATATATGCTTTTAGTACCGAGTTCCTTTTCAATAGTCTGTCTTCACTGGATTTGGATGACGGTACTAATGCTTGTATTCCTGACTTTAATTATTAACATTTAAGCTATTATTAATGATGTTGGTCTGATTGAGACTAAGAGTTAGATCCAAAGAGCTATGGTGGCTTTTAAAGCTGCATTTGGATGCTGGAACATAGCTGTTCTGTGCAATATTAGCTGTGTGAGTGTCTGAGACATCCCTGTGGCCTTGTCAGATGCCACTGCAGCTATGGGAGACTTGTTCCCTCCCAGGGTGGCAGCTAAAAGTCAAGCAGGATTTGACAAAGCACCTCTCTAGATGTGTTAGACAAATAGGAAAGTGAAAGCAGATTGAGCCCTGAATTCCTAAATGGGTAACTTCTCCATGCCGTAGCTGTGCTATCAATGTTTGCTGAGTTATCTTTTAGGGGTATGTTCTATATACATCACTGGAAGGGATGAAGTTGGCTTTAACCTTGGTAAACCTTGGCTTTTAGCATGCGCAGGAACAATACAAACTTGGTCATAGCCATGGCAGTGACCCTTCACTCCCCTGCTCATCAGCGAAGTCCTGCTTATCAGCGAGGTCCTGCTCTGAGTACGTGCATGTCTTTGTTTTGATGCTTACTGTGCTCGTGACAGCAGTTGTTGGGAAGATCCGTGTAAGGCACTCTTCTTCACAGACAAAAAAATTGTCAGTTCACGTTACAGGCCTCTGAGTAGCCATTAACGGTATTTGGCCTCTACTTCATTAAGACCTAGGGCTACACAACTGCCTGTTCAACCAGTTCTTGGCCATGCTAAAAGCAAGGCTGGGTTTCCTTTCAGCACTAATGAAATCAGACTGATTCCCTATCCATGGAATTATAAGCAGCACAGCTGGACCATTTTTCGTGGAAAACCCACAAATTTTGATTAATGCCTTCCCCCTCTAAAACAAACAAACAAACAAATAAACCCAAAACAAAAAAAAACTGTTTTCTCTTCCTCACCTTTGGGGACTGATTTGTTGCAGCTCTTGTACCAGCTGTCTGCCACATTGCGGCGTGAGAGCTGAGGCTGTACTGACTCTCCACCCACTCGCTTGCAGTCTGGGAGTCGCAGGTCACTGAATCCCTCTTGCTTTCCCCCTTAGATGCATGACCTCTACCAGCCTACAATGGAGGGGCTTTGAAACCTGATTTTTTTCACATGTGGATGCATGGGGAAGATGTGTTATATCGACCTTTGGCAGTTTGGCCTGTGAAATGTGTATTTCTGTATAATCTTTATTGATAAACCTGGGGACAAGTTGGCTGCATGCTACTTTTAATGCAACTGTCTAACAGTGGGCTTCAGGTTCAGTGCAAGCATAACATCATTAAGGTTTTTAACCTTAAATGCAGCAAAACCAAATTTCACAAACAAATTTGTATAAAACAGCACATGCAAGTATGTCAAAATACAGTATTTCTGGTTTCTGAAGTAGTGCTTCAGTGCTTTCTGAATAGAAAGGAACATATTTCAAGGAGCACCAGCAAATACCAGTTTTAGCATTTGGGTTTTTCAATTAAAGCATTTCTTGGAAAATGAGCTAGAATGTACCTAAAAATAAGCACTGTCTACAGGATGCCCTCCTTCTCTCATAGCAGTCACGCATTTGCTTGATTTTACTACATCAGGCAGATGAAGGAAGACACATGGATGAATGTACCATATATTTTGAACATCTTTTTCTCTTGAAAGAAATTAAATGCCTGCTTACCCATTTGGCTCGGCAAATTTGTTTCGTTGGAGGCTCTTGGCGTTTTCACAGTATTTCCCATTGTGCTCTCTAATTCCGTCAAAGCTCTTCAGAACTAAACCAAAGGAGACATTGAAATTGAACATCAGAATAACACCTGCTGTGCCAACAGAAGAGAAGTGACCTGGTTTGGGTGTCTCCAATATTATACAGTTTTGCTTTTGAGCACTCTTGTGTCAAATTCATGTGAGTGTTTTACAAACTTGCTAAACTCTCACCACTTTCATGCTTTTATCAGGGGAATAGCAGAAAACCACAGCTAGGGAAGTTGCTTAGAAGAACGCAGTGCAGTAAAAGTTTCCATTACCAGTACCTCAGCACAATAGGAAGTCACAGCAAAGCCATGCCCGTGCAGTCATTTCATATACAAAATGTTCTGTTCAGCATTTGGAGTTCTGAAGCTACAAAGAAATTAATTAGATTGACGTATCTGGTTTTCTACGCGGTGTGTATATTATGCTGCTCCATTGCTGAATGCTGAGAACGTTGTTCGGTGGGTTTTTTCTGATGCAATTGTGCTCTCAGCAAATGTGGCAATGTTGTTTTTCCTCTTTCTTCTTTCTTTTTTCTTTTTTTGAAGTAACACCCTGCCTCAACATATTTGATCTCGAAACACTCCTCCTGCACGAAGCCAATGGTGCAAAATCTTCAGATACTTCTCTTAAAAAGTCTTTGAGTATGTACAAGAAACAGTATCAGACAATCGTGGAGCTAAATATTGTGAGATGGGGAGTTCCTTCTTGTGGCTTTACTGCACCCATTTTAATTCTCCTTGATAAAGGGCAGAGAGAAAAACCCTTTGGATGTGGAAGGTGTCTCATGCTATGGTACATTTTCAGAGGCAGAGCATGATAAGGTACATCTGTTTGAAATCATACATTAAAGCAAAATAACCCAACACCACTAGCTGATAGCTAATTATTTTTCAAAAATATTTTTCTGTCCATTGTCCCGTAAAAATGAACATAGGAGCTGTAGCAGCATCATGTGGGTGTTTACTAAACTCAGGCGCAATCTGAGTCTTTCAGTCTCTTCTACTTTAAATATTTGAAAGGTGATGACTGCCTTTGGTACGCTGCTCTTTACTTACAACAGGCTAGAGCCTGATGGTGTTAGCTGGTGAGGGGTCTAACTTGAGAAGCAGTACTGGTGAAATCAGAAAGACTATTAGTAATTGTCTTTTGGAATAAGAATGACAGAATTGAGTATATTGTTTCATACCGTAATTTTTTAATAGCTTACAAGGAGTTTAGGGAGACGCCCTACAGAAAAAAATACCATTCAAAAGAAAGACAATTTGTCTCTTATCCAATGCAAGTAGACCAGTGCTAAAACACAGTTTGACTTGACCTCATCTGATCTTCAAGCTTCTTAGTGCTCGTTCCCAAAGGCTTTTTGCTAGAAGTCTCTGTTTCATTGGCCAAATGGCACATTACCCCTTCGCTGTCAGCATGCAGGAACTAGCTTGTGGCACATCTGTAGGATGCAGCTGTGCCAGTGTCTTTCTGACAAGTGTCTGAAATCTGCTTTCACAAGAACAAAAAACTGTTTCATCGCCTGATATAAGAAGTCTAGAAGCTGAATAAAAGAGTAACCTTAAATTTAAATAAACTATTTGGGTGTCCAGATTTGAATAAAAAGGTTGCTCTTGAAACAAACACACAACCATTCTCCATTTAAATGCACCGAAGCTTCCAAAACTGAAATCAGAATTCATTTTGGCAGACACTGTCTACTTGCAAGATTATAATTTCCTGAACTGAAGATGAATATTGTTTCAGAAGACCCAGCTTTAATTTCTTCAGCATTTTTGTCAGTTCTGTCCCATCAAGAATAAGAGGTATACGCATAGGAATAGTGCAGCCAGTACTTTGGCTACAAATATTATAGATGTTCCTGGCTCAGCTTCAAATTAGCCAGCGAAATTTCCTGGGCATGCCAACAGAGAGCTCAACAGGGCTCAAAAACTCAGCCAGAGAAGTGGGATAAATACCTGGACAGATAACCTCTGCTCAGCTCTGTGCTGTAGTAGCTGCATTTTTGCAGTACTTCAGAAGGATAGTTCAAATCTGGCGAAGTGTATAGTAAGGTGCAGTTAACAAGAATTTTGTGCAATTCTAGATAGGTGCCAAGCATGCCAGCATAAATATCTTATGCCCATCTATAATTTTAACACATGCAATTGTTATTTAGATAAGAATAGTACTTGAATTTTGTGTCAAAAATGTATGGAAAATAAAAATAAGAGAGTCTTACCTCTATGTACCCCTTTATTTGAGGGCCAGGAGAGCAAGTCATCCTGCTAGCGATCAGACTTGTGACAGAGTGCTTTCAAGGGCGTTTTTCCTGCTCTTAAGATGCAGTAGATAGAATTTTCAGGTGTGCTTGAGTCACTTTGGAAAGTGATACGTAGCATTTGTACATGATGGAAAGACTTCTGAAAACTTTACCTCACACTTACAAACCTTCTAAAATCATGGCATGTTTGAGCAAGGCACCTTTGTTTTCCTAGATGGTATTTAGGGATCTAAACTCTAAACATTGCTTTAAAAATACGTGACGTAGTTTTGAAGGTTTGCTTGTACATAGTTTGTAATTAAACCACTTGCTGTCTAGACCAGGGGGATTAACTGCCGGACAATTGGCATGCGCTTATTTCGTATTTTTGCAGAGCACATCCAAAATTGTCCTGGCTCACTTCTGCCATACAAATCACCACTTGATATGACCTTGTTCTTCATGAAGCACCTCTGAAGTCAACAGGATAGAGCGTGCAACTCAGTGCTGCTACTTTAGAGGCGTAAGAATCCGACTTACGGAAAATACAAATGTTATAAAGTACTTACGGTAACAGTGAAGAGCAATGGCTGTTTTGACTTTGATGTCACTAGTGTGACAGTTTGCTGTGTCTCATTACATCTTCCATGCTGTTTTACTGTCACTAATTACCACTGGTGGCAGCATAAAGTCTTGAAAAGGACAGAGAGTTCAAGATGTTCTCCAGACTCATGACAGAAGTGTTCAATAAAAACAAGCAAATGAAAAGCTGTGGCCACTGCTGTTGATTCACTTATCCAAAGTGATTAAAAGGAAAATGACATCTCAGGCTAGGCTTTCTCACCAAGGACACTTGCCATTATGCATTTGGGCAGAGGAAAGGTGCCTGTAGTCCACTCAAAGGTGGTGGAATGAATGCCATGAGGTATGGCTCAACTCTCAGACATTCGAAAATGTGATGGAAGTAGAAGAAATCAGAAATTTTAATTGAAATAGAGGGGGAAGAAGATTGTTTCTAGCTACTTGCTGGCAATGGCATATCACTGTTTTTAGAATAACAGCATATGAATTAGTAACCTGAGTATTTCTAAAACAACAGCGCACATGACACTCAAGTGAGTGATAGAACTGAATGGCTTAAGTAGCTTGTGCTTGCATCGAGTATTAACAGCACAATACAAATGCATTGTATCACTATATGATAAACTGTATGGTGGTTTTCTGAAATTTTTAGATACTTGGCAGAAATAGACTTACAGGAAACAGTGGAGCATCTTGTGGCTGAGCTGATTTTTTTATCATTTAAGTCAATAGCGGAACAATAACAGTTTTATAGATCTTCTTTTGAAATGGCGAATCTGCCCTGGGCACTGCATCTCACTTCAACTTGGTGACAGAGTTTGGGATATGAGTAGAGGCAGCATCCCTCTCTCATAGAAGCAGATAATTATGCCAGATCCAAAGAAAATGATTCACTGAGCGTGATTTGGGAAGAGTTAATGAGAGGTGATAGACTCTAAGCTCAACTTGTCTTATCAACCCAAAGCCCTGCATGGAGGAGTGCAGCTGCTGTTCAGCTCGGAGGAACCGCTGTGCTGCTGGGCTGCAAACCAAACTCTACCTGCTGCTTTCCCTGCTCGCAGGCCACCTCCTCAGGCTTGTGTGGAAATTTGATTTTAACCATGAAGATCACATTTGCAGTGTTCCGAGCTTTGGCCATTCCTCCCCTCCTCTTTCTACTTGTGCGTGTGCTGTTGAAGGAAGGCCAGTCACTGCAGCCATAGCTGTGTGCAAACACACAACTGATGAGGTTTAGTGATCTTTACCACTTTATTTTTGCTGCCAAAAGGAAGGTGAAGAAACATCTACAGCCCTAGTCCTGCTTTGTGTCCTAATTATCAGTGGCAGAGCTCTCAGCAAATACGAACTCTTGACCTTGAGACTGGAATCTCAATGACCTACATTGTGGGTCCTGAGAACCTGTGGTACAGTTTATACCTTCCGTGCCTGTGTGCAGCACATGTAGCAGTGTTTTCCTCTCAAAGAATCTGTTCTCTGAGAAAATGTGCTTCAGGAACAGTTAAATAGCACAGAACATAGGAAAATCCATTGATTTGTAAGAACTTTTTCAAAGTTATATTTAAAATGATTTCAAATTAGTAAATACGAAGAAACTCAAGTAATAAGAGAAATAAAATGGCAAAATAAGCACCTCAGTAAAACCTCTCTGCAAGAAATACTGCATACTAGTGAAATTAGGACATTCATCATTCTTGAGATGCTCTACCCTGTTTTACTTTTGTTACCTGATATTCACATTTTTACTGCCAAGTTCTTAAAATTTTATTCTCAAGAAGGTTCACAGGTAATGTCTGAGTCCCATTTAGCTTGAAAATGAAAGCACCAGCATCCTGTTATTTTTCATGTGGGGAAAAAAAGCAGCTTAGATTTCAGAAGCTGGATATGTTTTTGTGAAATTCCCTTGGTTTGTCATTAATCAAATTGAGCATCCTTTCAGTTTTTAGGCACTTGTACCTTTGCACTTAGAAAGAACAATGTAATGCTGTAGTCAAGGTAGCTCACAGACACATGCAACTATGAAACAACACAGAAATACCACACTATGCAAACTTCTAAAGCTTTGAATAAAAAGCCCACTAATCTGTCTGTGACATTTCTCATATTTTGGGTTATACCGAGCTGCAGTTTGCTTCAGCATAAGGTCCTACGCATCTGTCTTACTGTGAGCTTTAAGTAGAAATACTCCTTGCTCCTTCTATCTTTAGTACAGCTCCTTATGAAAAGGCAAGCTTTTCTGTTTCTACCTTTGGTGGTTCTTGAAATCCATGGTCTGAATACTGTCATTGTTAATGAAATAGAGCTCCCTTTTATATAAATAAAATTGAAACATTTGGTCCCTTATGCAGAGAATCTAAAATGTATCAGAGTAATGATTACCTTTAAATGCTAGGCATGATATTCCAGGTTGCAGTATTTCTCAAAAAAGCCGTAGTCATAACTCTGCTCTCGTGCTGCCAGCAAGGTTTAGCTGATCAAGTCGAGGAGCAGCCGGTCGAATGAGTGTGTTGTGAAGTTCACGCTGTCATGTAGAGCAGCATTTGCCAAACAGGCCACATACTTCCTCTCTGAGAAATAAGGAAGGCTCAAAGTGTTTGCAACAGATGAGGTTCCTGTTGCAAGCCACTACTCAAGACACTTTTTATCTATGGGCTGAGGAAAACAGGGAGGTTTGCAACATATTGCATCAGGGCTGGTTTGAGCAGATATAAAAAATGAGCAGAATAGCTTGGTTTACATTACTTCTACGGAAAGGGTTTTTCTTTCTCCTTTTTTTATTTTCTTCCAAATTCATTTATCCAGTGATGTTCAGTCCCCAACTGTTTTGTTTTATGTAGTTCCACTAGTTTTTTCAGACAGAAGGGAAGAAGCACAAAACTTTTTCTTCCACTCTTATTGAGCCTCAGTGGGAATGCAAGATTTTCTTTATTCTTTACCCCAAAACACCTTTGTCTGTAAATAACTGAAACTCGATATCAGCAATGAAAGGACGTGGAGTGAAAGCCGGCCTGTGAAGCACATTTTCACATCAGTTCTACAAAATGCAAAAGCAGGAGCCCCAGGACTTCTCTCATCTCAGTGTCTGAGATAGGGAAAACAAGATACTAGCCTGTTAAATAACCTAACTAAAGTCACTCAGCAATATAGTACTGCAGAGATGAATATACGAGTCAAAAGATTTTATTACCATTTGCTCTTTGCTTTTATGCTTTTATGATCAAGATGTCATCTGAAAAGCTCATATACCAAATTTTGTATAGTAAAATTGAAAAAAAACCAATCTCCCCCCAACCTAACAAAACAAAGCAAAGCCAAAAAAAAAAACCCACTCACCAGAAAACCCAGCAAACCCAAGCAGAGTTCCTACATCACACCAGAGTAGCTCTGAGTAGTTGTTCATTGTAATGCCCATCTGTTTGATGAAAACTGAAAGTTGACCAGTTGGGAGCTGCTGTGTGAGTGTTATTGGAACCAGAAGACACTGATCAAATTCCCAAATCTGTGCTAAAATTTGGAGCTATGGTAATTTCAGGAGAATATCGTTTCTCTTTGATGGGCTGTGCTAGCAGTCCTCACTTTGAAGGGGCAGGAGAGCATTAGGGAGCTTGATAAGCAAATCAGTCTACAACACAGAGATGTGACAGTGTTACAGCCAGGACTCTGGGGAACTGGTTTTACTATAATGCCCCACCATTATCCCCACCAGTTATATTTCAATTGTTTCGGCCCTTATTGCTTTCTTCCTATAACAGAGATGTGGCATGCTGCTTCTTTCATGGCATTCACTGAATGGATGTAGAATGTCTCTGGCATTACTAAAAGATGACGGGTTGGAGGATGTCTGCACCACACGTGGGAGCAGGCAGGGGCAGAGCTCTGCCTTTTCCTGATCCTTCTCACCATTATGTGCCTTAGGCTGGCTCAGACACTCTTTGTGCCTTTGCACAAAGTCAGGTTATGTCCCAAGATGCTCTCACGAATGGGGCAGGTCTCAGACTGAGCAGGAAAGATTCGTCACACTAAATAAGAGGTTGGACGTGCTTTATAGAGCATGGTCCACTGGAAACACGATAAATCTCAGCCATGGTTTGTACCATGCTTGTAGAGGAACAGATGAGTTTGCAGTGGAAGGAGATAAATAAAATTCTCCATTTCCATGTGATTTCTGCCTGTGTCTGCTGGCTGTTTACTCTTATACAGTGAAGAGAGCCAGTTTAGCCTTTCAGTAAGTTCAGCTGATAACTTGTTTTAAATGATAAGATAATTGATAAGGTAATGTTTACATCTAAATGGAAGAAAGTTTTGATATGAATTAAGTGGCGCTTTATATGTCATCTTAAAGGCATTCATATCCTGTTATTCAAGTCACTAACCTGACACAGGCACTCCGTGAGTCGCTAGAGGGAGGAACATTGCCCTTGCAGGACTGCCTCTGATAACAGCAAAAAGGGATTTGCCAAGAGTCACGTATAAAGAAAGAAATCTTCCTGCTTCAAAACATTATTTAATAGAATAGAGAGGACCATCCCCTTTCCCTCATTTTTATCTGGAAATCACTGTTCTAGTGGATGGTTATGGAGAGAAGAACGTCTGTATCTCACTCTGCCTTTCCATTGCCGGATGACCTGCCAATTCCCTGTTCCACTTTGTGTGCTAGTGTTTGCCACGTGTCTGCCGCCTAGCTCCCTAGCAGTGACAGAGAATCCCTGACTTGGTCCCAAAGATTTCCTACTCCTTCAGATTCTTGAAGACAGACTTTGTCTAAAAGCCTGGGAAAATGCCATTAATGTCTTCACATAGAGCCCTGAAACCTTGGTGTGTTGTAAGCACTTGCCGCTAAGCAAAATTAGATGTGTATGGAAAAGCAATGCAGGATACTGAAAAACAGCCCTGCAAGAAAAACAAAGGGCTCCAAATTGAAAACAACTTCTGAAAATACTTCAAATCCAGCCTTTTAGAGAATAATCTGTTAAGCTAATTGGAAAGAAGAGTTAGTGGTCACTTAGTTGCAGATTGCTTATTTTTGCAGGGAGGAAAAACAGGATATAAACAGTCTCTTTGATCTGACACTAACTGAAACTAAAGCTATCCTCAAACAGAAGTAAGGTGCAGCTTTCTGTCAGTGGACCAATTATCTTCAGGCAGAAACTGCAAAGCAGAAGACTGTGGTATCCATTTCTCTGTCTCTGAGCTGAGCTTGAATGCTTCATGCAGGATCGGGCTTTAGTCAAGCACAAGCCATGTTTTAAGTGATAGGAAGCACTTGAGCTCAGCAGCTGGGAAATGGAAGAGCCTTGGCTATCCCGGAGGTCAAAACAGATGGTCTTACAGATACTTCTGGCTGGGAACTGTACGCATCTGAGCCTGGAGAGTGCCTATCTTTAACAAATAAAATATTGCTGTACAGCTAGCTCTTCTGGGAAAGTGGAATTACAAGGACATTTCATTGGTTTGAGTGTTTTCACTATAAATTTTTTTATCTCGGTTTTTGGGTGGCGTTGCTTTTATTGCTGTTTGTATTTCTATAGCATGCTTCTGGGCAGACAGAAAGCCTGCTTCGAAAGGAGTCTGCAACCTTACAGCCACCAGAAAAACTTCATTAATTTGAAGGGAGTGCATGTGTTGAAGAGATAAACGTGGCTCAAGCAGGGTTTTCAGTTTCAAGTCAGGTTGGCAAAACAAGAGGTCATGATATGAGGAGAGGAAGAAGGGTTTGGGTTTACACACTGTGCGTGATAAGAACTAGTTGCAGTGAAGTTTCTAATGGTTAGATCTGTTGTGAATCAGTTTTGCAAAACTTTACAGAAGCATTTCCAGAGTAAATGAGGAATTAAAAGACATTCAGCACTGCAGCTTATATTACAATTGTCTTTTCCAGGAGAGGTACAGCTTACAGTGATAATTCATATATTCTTTTTTTATTATCTCATCAGAATAGCGACAACAGTTTCTATTTAACTAAAAGCTCCTGAACTGTGAGACATCTGAAGCAGAAAGTTAGCTAGACGAGAATGGTTAGATGTGCCCAACAAGTGGAGAGAGAATTGGGATGGACGGTGATAGCACCAGTGCTGGTCTGTGAGCTATGGTCTCCTAAGAGAGAACTCAGATGATCATGGCCTGACATCAAAGCAAGAATTCACCTTCACGTAATACCGATTTGCATTCATCAGCTTCTCACCATTGTGAGCTGCAACATTTCCTAATATCTGAATTTCTACAGTCTAGCTTAACCTTTAAGTTTGAAAAGAGAAGTGCTTGTAAAGCTGCTGGTCCATGAACTAAATAGTACTGAAGGCTTTGCCTTCCATTTTTGATGCCATCACTTGTTACAGTAGGTACTATTGCCCAACGTTGTAATTTTCCCACTATTCCTATGAATTTAGGAGGACAGTGTAATATTGCTGCTGTGGATTGTGCAACACATCTGCAACTGCTTCTGCTCCGCTGTTCAGTACTGAATGTTTTCATCCTGATTGCAGTCAACAATGTCATCAGAACTTCTTCTGATGACAGCGGGTCAATCCGTAAGGACAGCTGACACAAGAACTGCGTATGGCTTCAGTTCCTGGTCAAGCCCTTCTAAGTGATGATGAGATAGGAAATACCCCGTGATGGCAAGATGGCTAACATTCACAATTTTATTGTACATTTCATATTGTTTAGAGGTTTGGTTTCAAAAAACTACTCTGCAGGATTATCTGAAGATCTCAGCTGTTAGTTTTAAAAGTGAATTATTTAGCTCTTCTGTTTATAGGTACAGGAGAAATCCTGGAGAATTACAAAAGAGAGGACTAACACAAAGAACACAGTGTCTGTTATTTTTGAGCTGATCTCATGATTTTTGGTTTCCTGATTCATGATTCTGTCACGTTGATGGTAATATGGCTGTCATGTAATGGAAATGAACAGTCCCTCCACTATTTCTGCTTCTACCTAAATAGCACTATTTTTTAGAGCACACAACTCCTTCATTACTGAGTGCTGGGACTAATCACACAAATAAGTTGTAGTTCTATAGGGAAGGAGGGGAATGCTGAGTGTAGCTATGTTATCCTCTGTGTCCTGAGCCTGCCTCTAATGTGGCTACAGTGTTTAGGGAAGATTTCTTTTTCATGTGAAAACTTCAGGCTCAAAAAGAAATTTAATTCTGGGCGGTCTCCAGCTTCTGCTCTCACTTATTTGTTCCTGAGGTTTTTTGGTGAGAGTGAGGAAACAATGAGCCTAAATTGTGATGTGAATTTGAAAAACAGAGAACTGGTACAGTTTTGCTTGCCTAACTTCTGTGGCAAGAGGAGCCTGTTTGCAGAGCCTGGAACATATTCCAGATGCGCTAGGGGAGGTAACATAATCGTACAGCTTCCAAATACTGCTTGGATGATGTCCCAAGTTCCTCTATCACCCACTTCCAGTCCCAATAAAAATTAAACATGAAAAACGGTAGTAAATACCATGTCTTTCAAACCCTGAATGCAAGACATGCTTCCTGAATGTGGATGTTGTCAAAAAAAGCACACTGGGGAAGTGACCATTACCATGGAAAACAGAAGGAAAAAACAGAGCAAAGAAGAGCGTGTAGATGTGTTCTAACCGCTCGCACAAAGCAGAGAAAATATCCACAGCTAGAGTAAGGCTGCAGACAAGAACTCTCTTCACCTTTCAAATATATTTGCAGAAGTTTTGGGTTTTTCTTTTACTCATTGAGCTCAGACTGTATCTAGTGATATCCCATACACGTCCAGTGCTATGACATGAAGATTAGTCTGTCCAGCCTTTTAGCTGTCCTGCTGCAGAGAGGACTTGTGGGACACTTCAATCCTTTTGCAGTCGTTGAATGACCTAGTACTTGACCCAAGGGCAGTCTTTCAGTTTGTAGAGATCTCAGAGACAGGGGAACTTTGCACAGGTTTTAAAAATCAAGCACATGCTAGGATGTTTTGCTTGGTCCCAGTGAATTTTTAAGACAACTTCAGAATTTTCACAGAAACTGCCACTTTCAAAAAATTATGAAACTTTCAGAATTTGGAAAACTGAAGCCCTTCATTTTTTTATGGTTTTGTTTTGTTTTGTTTTAAATGAATGCCATTTAGAGGTACTGCGTACTTGATAAGATGAGCACATTCAGATCTGACATTGAAGAATATGTTTGCCAGATCAGTGGATAAATATTGTGCAATCTTAGATCTAATTTCTTGCTATACCAAGGAGGCACATAATTCCTTGCTCCAAATGAAAAGCAAGGAAGCTACTCTTCTTAGGAAAGCTGGCATGCTGTGTTATCCCTTTTCTAGTCTCACTTATCTTTGTTCTGGTGAACATGCTCTTCTGAAGGCTAGGCAAAAAAGTGTTGTTCTCATTCTGCATCCTGGGGACACACACAGAGATGCTCTCATCAAGGATATTTTTCTTTCTCTCTCATGACCAGCTGAGTCAGTGCACCTAGTCAGCAGCTGGCAGATATCATGCCTTACAAACGCAAAATAGGCCACCGCAAATCCCACATGAGGATAAAGCCCATTGCTCACTTGAGTTCTCATCTAAATCGAGGGCAGAAGCGAGGAATAAGACCAAGCAGTGTTTATTTCTCCTTCTTTAGTTCTTCTGCCCTCTTAAAACCAGAGATGGCTCTTCTAGTGCCCCAGGATTGGCAATCTTAGCTTTTTCCTTTGCTCGTCTGCAACCATCTGCATCTCAGTCATTAAGCTAGTAACAGTGCTTACTTTCCAGATCCCTTGAAAAGTAAGAGAAACCTTTCAGGAAGGTAGTAGCACTAGAAATTCTACATACAGTGAACTAAAAAGACTGTTGCTATGTCCAAATAATAATGTCATTCTAATTATTTTTGAAAGCAATTCCTCCAGTTGAGAGCAATGGTATCCTATTGATATCAATTGATCTGCTTGCTTGAAATACAAAAAAATGTCCTGGGTGCTGGCCAGGGCTGCACAGAGTTCTTTGGGCTCAAAGGATTGAGACAATTTCACATTAAGGATTTGCTATTTGTTTTCTGTTTATTTTTAACTTCCTCCTGTTTTAAGCTTTTTCAGACTTGTAGTTATGCTTTGAGCAAATTCATTAAGAAGTAAGTTAATCAGTTGAATAGATCGGGGTCTTTCATATCATGCATCTAGGGCTTGTTATTTTTTTAGAAGAAGGAAGCTAATCTTAGCAGTTATTATAGTAAACTGATGTGAATGTTTGGAAATTAGTCATTTGAACCATGTCAGAGCAATTCCAGCCTTTATGTTCTAGGTCAGATCTTATCAGATTTGTGTTAATTTATCTGCATTTTCAATAAGTAGTTTTCGTGGTTACTCAATAATGTTGTACCATCTTTTCTTGGTGTGAAACTTTTTCAATCTGGCACAGCTGTAGGAAAGAAACAAAGAGTCTGGAATAGAGACTGGACTGTAGCCTGCGCTCTGATTTTGATGTGCTCTGGCTCTGACTGAGCTTCTACAGCTTAGTTTAGCCTTTTGTTCCTACTACCTCTGCTCATAGCTCTTCTAAAATCTCATTGCTCCTTGGGTTAGCTATCTTAGTGTTTCTAGCCTAAATTTATTTACACTCAATGTGAATAGTTAATGCCCATTTGGCCTTGTACCAGCGTTGTCCTAAGGTATAAATAGCATTCTTCATGGATTCATTTATAAAGATCATGCCTGCTCTCAGTCCCTGTTTATCACAGTTAAGGAAGTAAAACTCTATTTAGTCTCATCTTGTAAGATGGGCTCTCCATTCCCTGGTGTGCCTCATAGCACCTTCTTTGTATCCGCTTCTGTCTGAATGTTACGTCTCCCAGCAAAGTTTTCACAAAGATGTGTGACTCGACTGTAGACATACTATGAACACTTTTCAGAGGTCTTCCAAAATAACCATAGCAGAGCTGGGAACCACCAAACCTATCCTTCTCCCCTTTGCTTTGATCATTCAAACTTACTGCTTATGATTTGAATACCAGTGTTTTACATTCTTCAAGTGGTCAGATTTTGCTTCTTATCTTTTTTACCTAAACCAGAGGACCAGGTGTTTTAACAGCATGTGTTGACTGATATTGTCTTTCTTTTCCAGGGAGGTTCAGCTTTTTCTCCAGCATCCATTATTACTAAGAGGAGAGCACAAACCCAAGCAGCAGTCCTGGCTGAAGATGTGGGATGCCTTTCATCCACCAGTGAGGAAGTTGTAGCCTGCCTCCGCCAGTTGCCTGCTCGTGTCCTCAATGATGCACAGACTAAGGTACACCATGGCAAAATACATGCAATTGGCAAGGAATCAAAAACTTGCCACTGACATGAAGCTGTGATGAACCTTAAAAAATAAATTGGGCTGAATCCTTGTGAAAGAGAAACTGGACTAGCTTTGGTGGAGTGATGCTGATATCCATGACACCCACCTCTTCCCTGTGAATACTCACAGCTTGATTCTCCTTTAGACTAAATTCTTTTTACACTACTTTGACCACATCTTCCTAAATTACTCTAAATATAGTTTTTACCTGCTTACAGTCTGCTCTCATCTGCCCCTGGGTGTTACTCTAGAGGAGAATCAAGTGTCTGTAGCTTCAGTGACTGCATTTCTGCAGAAAAGGAAGTGGGGAGGGATATCAGTGCTTGGTCTCTTAAGTGGGAGACTTGTGAGAGCTGCAGTATAAATGATTCTAGAGATGGATCCTTTACCCACAGATTAAAATACTCACTAGCAATACCTTTTCTGACCAGGAACAGCATAAAGCCAATCGCTAATTTAAAACAGTATTTTTACAACTATAAGTCCATCAGTTCTCTTGGCCTATTCAGCTAGTCTCACCTACTGACTGTCAGCAAAAGCATTGCTACTTGCCAGTGATGAGTTTGCACTTACATTAGCTGATCACTTGTTCACCTGGAAGCTATTAGCTCAGTTTTCTGAAACATAAGTAAAATGGAAATGACCAGGGTAATCTAATTTAACTGGACTATTATTGCTTTTTTGCTGATATAGCTCCTAGCTATAAGTGGCCCATTCCAGTACTGGGGTCCAGTGATGGATGGAATTTACCTTCGGGAACCTTTAGCTAAAGCCCTGCAACGCCCTCAAATTCGGAAAGTAGATCTGCTCATTGGAAGTGCTCAGCAAGATGGATTGATCAGCAGGGCTAAGGCAATTAAGGTAGGAAGAGACTCGCTGTTAATGAACTGCTGGTATTAATGTTATTATAGTGATGATAATAGTCATATGCAGCAAAGACAGTATGATTTTTGATTTCTACAATTTGTTAATTATACTCCATGCAAATATGCAAAGGCATTGTCCATCTCCAGCCGGTCCTGTTTAGGCTGATTAACAGCATTATTATGTTTGTTGATTAACATTACTGGAGGAGATATGAAAAGTTAAGAGATCAGCAATGATTTAGCATGTATTAATATGCAGCAGTATGTTTTACTGTCTCTAAAATTCTGTTTGTATCACAAGCTCAGCTGTATCTCACAAAGAAGAAAGCAAACTCATAACTTGCCTATGAGGTTCTTCATAGTGCAGCAGGCATAAGTCAGTCTTTTCCATGCCAATAGTTTTTTTTTTTGCGGCACCCTTTTTTCTCTGTTGCCTTTAAAAAGCACGTATTCCTGTAAAGATTCTGAATACGGACTAGCTGTGACTAAGAATAGCACTGGCCTGATGTGTGGGCTAAGGTTTCAGGGCATAAACTAGTGAAATGAAGAAGAATTGCATCCGTACTGTACTTTTTGGACATAAAATTCCATGAAAGCATGAAGGTCTACCCAGAGGGATTTTGTGTCTTGTGAACCCTCTGGCACTGTCTGTTGCTCAGGAAGCATATCAACCTCTTCCAGTTCATTTGTCCTTCTTACGATGAGAACAAGAGCACTTCCCTGTTTAACAATGCCAAATTAAATTAAATGTTCCAGTGTGCTCACATATATGATAAGAAATCAACAGGAGAATGTAACATGGCAGGGCTTATTTTGAGGGTTATCTAAGAAAACTGCAGGTCTGTTGCTATCTTTCTGTAACTGTGTGGATTTAATTTCTTAGGAGGCAGTGAAAGGTTCATCCCAGCTTCTCTTTGCTGGTAACCAATAGCACATAGACCAATTTAATTCACAGTTAATGACAAAATTACCTCTTTGAAAGAAGGATTTTTGACCTACCTGGATAAAGTTCATAGCACTTGATTAGTGTCCACTGGGTATTTCTTGCTTGTATCTGTCTCTTTTGGAATCAATGAAAAGAGGAAGTCAGGCATAGGAAATGGACTGTGGTGCTGGAGGTCTGCAGATGATTGTCCAGACACTGTGAGAGGTGAATAAACTTCAGTAACCTCATTAAAAGTCATATGATGAAGACTAGGAAGTGAAATTCTTTCCTTTACCACTATTTCCACATGTGACAGTTGTCTGCAAAATCAAAATGAAATTCCGCGATGTGTTAGAAATCATACAACAAATCATGGTGTTAGTGAAAGCCACAGGTGCTAAAAGCTGGTGCTGTCAGGTTGAAATGAAAAGGAAAAATGTTTGTAACTGAGAGCTCAGCAGTAAAATGTTGGCCTTCCAAAAAGAAAATCTGGAATATCTCTTTATTTAAAGGCTTGCAGAAAATAAGATTGGAAGGGGACTCAAGAAGCTGGTGCAACTCAACCCTAAGAAATGGTCGTATCAACTTCAACCTGAGACCTGTTTTAAAAATCACTCACTGTTGGAGATCTTCTGATCTCCTTTGGCAAAGATTTAACTATCCTTACTTAGAAGGGGAGTTAACTTCTTTACTAGCTATTATAATAGTACCTACCTTACTTGGTGCTACTGCTGTAAGTCAGATTCCATCTCTGTTTCAGAAAATTCATGATGTTCATGGGAGGTGGTTATATTTTGTTTTCTCCCTTTTCACTTCCTTAAGCTGTTTTCACGTTCTCAGTAGGAACTGATCATTTAACGCACATTTTCCTCAGTTTCTCTTTTCCTGTGACTTCAGGTTTTTAGGGCTTGAGGGAATATAACCGTTTTGACCAGTCTGTATTCCTGTCTGCAGATTGTTTGCTTAAAGACCTGCTACAGGGTTAAAGTTTCCTGATTTCTTCCTCGTCCACACAGTTAGTGTATTAATTTCTGGGAAACTGTAACGCTTCCTCCGTCATTGAGCTATTTAAGAACGTGCATTTTCCAGGTCCTTGAGCATTTCAACGTCATAGCCATGACCATGCATGGTTGCAGTCAAAGTCAGATGATAAAGGCCACAGACATATTTAGTCTACAGTGGCAGAAACTGTTGCGGGTGGTGGTTGTGACTGAGAAGTCTGTGCCCTGTTTCCTCCGTCATAATGTCATAAGGGATCTTAGATCTGTGGTAACTGTCCTCTCCCCACAATAGACCTAGAAGAAGGATTTGAGACAACGCACACTGTATCCCACTCTTATACTTTATCCTTTTTAAGGTTTTAAGATCTGACTTGCATCTTTCTGGGAAAACCCAAAGCTTGTTTTACTGATCTATCAAGGAAGGTGAGAGGGTTTAGGTGGTGGCTAGAGCACTGAGCTCAAATTGGGCAACGAAGGCATAGTTCCTAGTTTGCCTCTGACTGCAACAGTTATTTAATCTGTTCTGCAAAGAGGGGACCAAACCTCCCTCGGGTGATAATCCATCTGTGGATGTGCTCCAGCTCTGTAGAGAGAACAACTGTGCATGTATTTAGGTAGATAAATGGCACAGCTAAAAGGTCCTGTGGCAACTGTAAGGAATTGTCCTTTATTTCCATCTCCTTTAGAATGACAGATTTCAGTGTAGTAAGATGCAAAGAGTGGGGGACAGAAAAATTTAACCCCTGCTGACCTGTTGCACCAGTTCCTGGGAATAGCTGTGCTGGCAAATTCAGGCAAGGGCTTGCTCTGTTAGTCCTGGTCTTGCTCTGTTAATACTGAGCCTGTAAATGGTGAAGAGACACTTTTAGCCATTTGGATGCAAGCAAGCTTGAGACGTCATGCAAATCTTATTACCTTGAACTGAAGCTGCATGCAAGTTTTATAATCTCCTAGCAGTCAAGTCTTAGGAGTGAGGGTAAAACCTCTAGAGAGCAACCAGACCTGAAAGTGGTAAACTGGGTGACACTATGTTGTTCTGTGGGGGCTTACTGGCATTGGACTGTGCTGGGTGTATCTGTAATCCCACTGCAACATTGTGCTTATGCCCATTAAGACCTTTACTCTTAAAACTGAAATAGAAAGACAGAAGGCACCACTTGTGTGCTAGCAAAACATTAAAAGTTTCAATGTTCGATTTATTCATAATTAAAGGCTGAGGTCTCTCAGTGCTGCTTGCAGCAGAGAGTACGCTGAACATTCGTGCTTAATGTCTTGCCCATGGAAGTGACCATTTTATGGCATTCACTTGAGTGCTTATTCATGTGAACTGAGACAGATTTGCCACTTCCTGGACCACTTTGTACTCATCCCCAGTGCAGCCATCAGATGGTTGAAACTAAGTGAGAAACAAAGCCAAGTTTGTTAAGGGACTGGCAAGTGGTACCATAATGCACTATTACGTGACATATGGAGCAGTTAAGCCTGAACCCGTTAGCTGCAATTCCCATGGCAGACCTCAGAGATATTAGCTTTGACCAGTCATGGATTAGGGCAGCTGAGCAGAAATCTCTAAAAATGTTGATTTCAATTCCCAACTGGGCAAAATTTTATCCCTGTCCTGTATGGGATGCTCAGTGGAAGGATCTAATGGTTCCTACTGGCATTAAATATACGGAGTCACTCATCTGCTCTATATCCGTGTTTGTCTGTATATGCATATAAACCAGCGTGACCCTGTTTATATACTCCATATGTTCTGTGCCTACTATGTGATCACCACATTGCAAGGATTGTTAACTTTCTATTTAGTTGGAAGACTAAGGTTGTAGTTCATGTGTTTTCTCTGTTTTTCTTTCTCTCCTTAGTACAAATCTATCTGACTACAGAAACAAGAACCAGGACATAGGGGAGTGGATAGGTAGAAATATAGTTTATTTACCTCATGTAAGCAACCAGATCTGTGCAGACCAGAACTTCCATCCTGCACTATATTACAGTTAATAATTTCTTATCAAATTTTTTATGGATAAAAGTATTCAGCAACATACAACAGATGGCAGATATTTGTGTGTTAATTGTAATGACCAGGGGAGCAGTGTCCTGATAAATGCCATCAGTGAGAATGGGCTGATATCAGTTCTTTACTTCATTTTGCAATTAGCTGAAATCCTTGAAAGACTCTGCTGAATGGCTGGCAGTTCTTTCACCATCTTTTGTGACAACGTTTTATCAAATGCCATTTAAGGCAGAAGGTCTGTGCGTACTCTGTAAGTGTTACCACTATTCCAGTTTGTCAGAAAAGTACATTTTGCCCCTTGGAAAATGTGAACGTTTGGTCCATCTACTGCTAGAATTTCTTTTTAAATGAAGTACTGGACCAGATTCATTCGTATGCTCCAGGAGCTATGTTGCAGCAACAAGAACAGCGAGCACGATTTAACTAATTATTTAGGCAATGTTTATAACAGCTTTGCATCACCAGAACAGCAGAAGGCGGTGCACCTGCTGTCTTTAATTATTTTCTTACTTACTTTCTAACAAATGTTGAAAACCCCACTACAACTCTGAGGTCAGTTGCTAATACCTCTTTAAAGGTTAGCAGTATGTAAATTATTTTACATAATGTGCAGCTGTTTCTATTAATCTGGTAGCAGCTGTTGTATCTACTGCTACTTGAAAATTGTTCCTTGGTCGTATATTTTCTAATGGGAAACATTTGTTGGACATGGAAAATTGGTCAAATTGAATCAATTTCTGAAAAGGTGAAATGCTTTTCCTTAGTAATGTTTCATGCATTTTAATTTTAAGGTTTTGCTTAGTTTTGTCCTATCATGTTAAAATCAGATGTTTAAATTTTATTATATTGTAGCCAAAGTGGCACTTAAGACATCATGTTTCAGGCTGTGCTATTTTAGTGCTGATTGGGATGAAAAATCTCAAAATGTCTTACAAATGCCAGTTGTGTTTCTCACCCATCTCTGCATGACGAGTTCTTTCTCATCTGACTTAACACATCTGAAGAACCCCACTCTATTATCAATGATTGGTGAGAAAGGTCACCACATTTTTTGGGGCATTTTGAAGATCACAGAAACTAGTACATAGGCACAGTAGAAACTTAAGACCAACCGCACTGAGTCAGATCAAAGGCCTGTTTAGCACAGAAAATGTTTTCAGCAGAGGTGGAGAGTGGATGTTTGTAATAATAGGGTAAGCAAATCTGGTACTTCTGCTAAATCCTCTCCAAACCTCTAGCACTTTGCAGGTCAGGGACTTTCTATCTTGAATTGTTCTTCCCGTGTTTAATAACCATCAACTGCTTATTTTTATTTACATTCAAAAGCTTGTTAATGAAACTTCATCTTCACCAGTTTTGGCATGCGCAAAACCAAGTGGCAAGGAGTTCCTCGGTTTAACTATGCATTGTATGTATGATCATCCATCTCCTTCTCTGTGTTTTTCAACCATAATAGTAATTTGATGCTTGGTAGTTGATGAGGCAGTGGAGGATCAGTTCCTAGGGTACATAATCAATATGCTAAACGTTTTGTCTCTTTCTTTTTTTCTCTAAGTATCAAGGACAGCTGTAGAATAAGGTAAAAATGCCATTTAGAAAACAAAAAAAAATGAAAACATTGCATGAAAGTTGCTTTGTACAGAATGTTCTACACATAAGAACTTGGCCGCTGCACTGACACAGAAAAACGTCTATTCTTATTGACACCGGTGCTGTTTAACATCTTTGTCGGTGACATGAACAGTGGGATTGAGTGCACCCTCGGCAAGTTTGCAAGTGACACCAAGCTGTGTGGTGGAGCCAACACACTGGAGGGAAGGGATGCCATCCAGAGGGACCTTGACAGATTTGAGAGGTGGGCCTGTGTGAACCTCATGAAGTTCAACAAGGCCAAGCACAAGGTCCTGCACATGGGTCAGGGCAATTGCAAGCAGAAATACAGGCTGGGTGGAGAATGGACTGAGAGCAGCTGGGCAGAAAAAAACTTGGAGGTGCTGGTTGACGAGAAGCTCAACATGATAAGGCCATGTGTGTTTGCAGCCCAGAAGGCCAACCGTATCCTGGGCTGCGTCAAAAGAAGCATGGCCAGCAAGTCAAGGGAGGTGATTCTGCCCCTCTACTCTGCCCTGGTGAGTCCCCACCTGGAGTCCTGCATCCAGCTCTGGAGCCCTCAGCACAGGAAAGATATGGACCTGTTGGAATGGGTCCAGAGGAGGCCCACAAAAATGATCAGATGGCTGGAACACCTCTCCTGTGAGAAAAGGCTGAGAGAGTTGGGGTTGTTCAGCCTGGAGAAGAGAAGGCTTCGGGGAGACCTTAGAGCAGCCTTTCAGTACCTGAAGGGAGCCTATAGGAAAGCTGGAGAGGGACTTTTTACAAGGGCATGGAGTGGCAGGACAAGGGGTAATAGCTTTAAACTGAAAGAGGGAACAGGCCGGAATAGGTTGCCCAGGGCTGCCCAGGGAGGCTGTGGAGTCTCCTTCTAGGTTTAAATCAGCTATAAGAAAGAAATTCTCTACTATGAGGGTAGTGAGGCACTGGCACAGGTTGCCCAGGGAAGTTATGAATGCCCCCTCCCTGGAAGTGTTCAAGGCCAGGCTGGATGGAGCTATGAGCAACCTGGTCTAGTGGAAAGTGTCCCTGCCCCTGGAAAAGAGGTTGGAACTAGGTCACCTCTGAAGTTCCCTTCCAACCCAAGCCATTCTATGATTCTGTGATTCTTATCCATAACTGCTAGCCAAATCAACCAGCCCCAGTCAACAAATGAGAGATTCCTACTTAGGCAAAAGCAATGCTCCTACTGGTTAGTAGGGAGCTGAACTGATGTGTGCCGAAGCCAATGGGAAGATTGCTTTAGAATTCAATAAGGCTATGGTCAAGTCTTCAGCAATAATTTCTGTTTCTTGCAAAAAAATGTACGTGTCCTTGCTGTATTTAAACTGAGTGATATTGCGGACAAGTGTGCTACGCAGTTTCATATGTGGCACTTGTGCACATGAAGCGACGTGTCATGTGTGAGTTGAAGATCTTTTTTGAAGTACAGCTGTATTACTAAAACTGGCACTGTGTGACACTTTTCACATTGCATGGGCCAAAATCTATCAAAAGAAGAATTTTTTACAAATACAAGGAAAATAGTCAAGATATTTTGGACCTTTGGATAATTGTGAGTATTTTGAAATCCCTTGTAAAGTTGCTTAATCAAAATGCACAAAGCACTTAAATATGTGCATAAAAATGCAAATCAGTAAGGACAGGCCTCAGACTCAGCAGATGGAGACATATTTTCCATCTTTTGTTTCTTTGAATCTGTTGAAAAGTAATTATTGCCTCTGTACTTTCTGTATAGGATTGTGGAAAGACTTCCTAGCAGTGTGATGAAAACCATCTGTGGGCCATCAAAATAATATATTCAGTAAAGCATCTATGGTAACTGGGCTGGGCAGGCACCAGCCTATTTTGCATCAGACTGACTGCCCAAAATAATATAGGTGGTTTATTAGATCTTTCTGTCTGTAATTCTTATACCAAGCTTCAGCCAGCGTACATGTGCAAGGTGCCCTCTTTAGAAGGGTCTTCATACACAGGAAAGTTCAGGTTGCAGTTTTTTTCAGGAAGTTGCTGTGTTTCTGAACTTGAAATAAATTCTTTCAAAAAAAATAAAAGTGAAAAGTCTGAACTGATAAATCAAAAAAGTTCCCCAAAGAAAGATGCATTGAAAACTGCCAGCAGTCTTTACTTTCGGTAAAAATAAGATTGGGTACACAGTTTGGCATAGAAGATGGTCCCTCTGCTATCAGTAGTTCTGCAGTGACATGAGAACTCTGCTCTGGGGAAAATGCCTTTATGTCAGCAAAGGTTTCAGGCCACAGATCTCAGGAAAAGGGTATTTCACAGTAGGTCTCTCTGAAAGACCCTAGGGGTTATGAAGTTTGAAGATCATGGCTGCTACTTGCATTGGGATTTAGAGGAGGGGGATTTCTCTTCCAGGGCTAAGAAAGATATTATTCCAAAGGGCGCGTAAACAAAGCCTTTGGGGCAGCCACATTTTTTTGTCTGTGTTTCTAGAAGAGGCAGAGTGATATAGCCATGAAATGGCTATATGACATGTTCGCTTTCTGGAATTTCCAAAGGAAAGGAGCTATAGCTCCCTCTCTCCCCTCTAGTTTTTCTTCATGGAGCTCATCAGAAGGGCAGCACTAGGCACACCTACAGTGGAGAACTATCCATGTGGACTACTTCTGTGAGAGCCAGTGGGGTTTCTGTAGTATTAGAGTTACATCTGTGCAGTATGGTAACTATGAATTAGACTTAATAGATCCCTATTCAGTCCTATAGTATGTTCTGAGGAAGCCAATACTGCTGGCTGGTAACAGTCTTTGGAAAGCAAAAGTAGGACTGTTCTCTACGTTTTCCCCTGGGAATCAGAGATCACAGCAGAGAGGACTCGTTCCAGCAGAGGGAGATCTGAGCCTGTATTGTTCTACTAAAAATGTGTCTTTTGTTTTTGTTTGTAAATTCCATGTATGCATTTTGTTCTCAGAAATTTGAAGAAAGTCAAGGAAGAGCTAACAGCAAAACAGCCTTTTATCAGGCTCTGCAAAATTCGCTAGGAGGAGAAGACTCCAACTCAGTCGTTGAAGATGCAGCTACGTGGTATTACTCACTTGAACACTCAACCGATGATTATTCATCGTTTTCCAGGGCTTTGGAAAATGCCACCCGGTAAGAAATTCATCCTATTACAACTGTATTATCGGGGTTAAACAAGGTTTGGTTTGCTTATCTCAAGTGTGCATTTACATTCTGAAAAACTTGAGAAATTCTTATGAAGATGATCAGAAAATGGGCAATATGATTTAATTTTCCAATGTCATTAGTAAATAGAAATTGAGCTGACTTTTAAGCCCTGTGAAACATTTAAATTGTCTTTCCTGAACTGTATACTGGATTCAGACTACTAATGCTTCTTTATGTACTCTTTCATGTCAAAGATGTCTTCGTTGTTTGCATTATTCTGCATCAACTCTTCCTTGAGTCCTCTCATCCCTGTGAAAGTAGAAAAGCTAATAGACTGGCTTTTATTCAAAACCAGTCACCTAATTATACAGTTAGATACTTTTCCTAGTTTTTGGAAAGCTGGAGAGTGGTCAAGTTTGAAAACTTTTATTTCAACAATTACATTAACTTTAGTATTATGAAACCTGGAAAATATATGTCTTCACAATGTCAGGCTTTCTACAGGTGAGTATCCTGTGTAAAACGGTGAAGCATTTGTGAATGTTCAGAAAAGTGGCTTCCAACCCTGTTCTGCGCATTGCTGATCCCCATTTTACCTATGGCAGAAGAATCCCTTTAAGCTTATTCATGTATTTCCTTGACCCTTGTGTAATCATTTATTCCCATGTACAGTGATTGTATGTCACCCAATCCGCATTTTTCTCCCTTTGTGAATGGTTTCCCATGGTGAGATAAAGCAGAATCAGGCAGCAGGATGCTCCTGTAGGAAGTCTTGTGGAGGTGAAAGGAGAATACACAATATCTGACTCTTACCTTGTTTGATCCATCAGGACACACCCTAGATTCGCAGTGCCTCCCAGCCTGTTCTGAAGGAAATAGTGATGAAATGTCAGCAGGCATGTGAGCAACTTATCTCCAGTATTTACAGTCTCATACTTCACATCGAAACATTTAAGGCAGGGACCATTGAGAAGTGGAAGATGAGCAGTGGGCCATGTTCACACCACTTAATATATATGCACAGCTTCGACACTTAATAGAGTATGGCATCAGGGTCCAGCAGTTCTTGGTAACAGTCAGTTGGAAAAGCTCATTGCCCTTTTGAACTAGGATGCCACAGCAGTCATGACCACCTGCATTAGGCCATAGACACTGGTGGATATCTTTAGCTTGGGTCCCATGGTGGCTTGGTCAGCAGAGAAGCCTAGATTTTTCTTTTTCCCCCATGGGCAGCCAGTTAGCCAGTTACAGATCTAGAGCTGTGGGAGAGTGGGCCCGTTTTTCTGCAAGGAGGCAAACTGAGGGGTTGTCTCCTTGCCTCCTTTTTCCCACCTCTGTGCAAACTCAGGGGCTGAATGTTA